TCCACCCCCCCGCCCAGCCCCCCCCCCCCCCCCCCCCTCTCATCCTCGACCTCGCCTCGTTCGAGCTGATGAAGCTGACCTCGTCTTGCCTCGCGTCCTGGGCCATGTTGCGCAACAGCCGATGGATATGCCCGATACAGAGTACCCGTCCGAGCGCGAGGCGCGCATCGCAAAGCGCTACAACACCATGGTCAGCGAGATGAAGTTCACCCCGTTCTGGATCGACGCCCCGGCACGAGCGAGCACCGGTGCGCCCCGTCTCTCTCGTCCGCCCACACCTCCTTCGAAACTGACTCGGGCGATAACCGGCGGCGCGCGCAGACATCGAGCGCTTCTCGGACAAGTACAAGCCGCAGACGGCGAGCTCCGACAAGGCGACCACCGCGCTGCGCACGGTGCACAGCGCGAGGCTGTACGACCGCGACCTGTTGCCGCCTTCTGTCTTCGAGGCCGTCCTCGAGAGAAAGCTCAGGGCCAAGGGCAGCTCGCGAGGTGCGTCCGCCTGTTCCTCCCCTCTGGCAACAAGCCCTTTCCTCGAGCTCGGCTGTCGCGCGTTCATGAGCTCTTCTTGCCCGTGTACTGACACCTTGCCCCATGTCCCTGCAGCTGTTCGCAAGACGACCGACGGCAACATCCTCGCGGGCGACGATGTGAGTTCCCGCTCCCTCTTGCTCCCTCGTCTGCGTGCTTCGCCTGCCTCGCCTGCCTCGCCGAGACGAAGCGCTCACACACCGCTCGTGTCACCTCTTGCGCAGGACCAAGCCGTCGAGGAGGACGAGGACCAGTCGGAGCAAGAGGAAGAGCTGCTCGAGGAGGACGACGAGGAGGACGAGGACAACGACTACGAGGCCGAGTACTTCGACAACGGCGAGAACGACGACTTTGACGACCTTGGCGGCGGTGGCGGAGGAGGAGACGACGGTGCGTCCAACTTTCGCCGAGCCCTTGCCCGTCGACTCTGGTCGAGAAGCTCGCAACTGACCTCTCGAACTTGTCGTCGCGCGCACGCTCGCAGAAGGTGGCATCATGGACTAGACCGTGCTCCTTGTCTAGTGTCGACATCGCAGCTGCACTGCATCCCTCTTTGTGCGACGAGCGAGACGAGAGTCACGTGACCTCTTGTTTGCGCCGAGTGCGACGAGAGTGGGAGAGGGGAGCGGCTCGTCCCCCAGAGAAACACCACCATCCGCGCCCTGCACTGGGTCTTGCCCGCACTTGGTCGCTCTACACGCTCTACTCGGCCCGCCTAGCATGGCCGCCGTCCCCTCCACGCCCGTCGTCGCCTTGCCGGACGCCTCGCTCAACCACTTCATCATCGACTCGCCGACACACGCCGACACCGACTCGCCGCACGGCCCAGCAGAGCCCGAGTCGCCGAGCAAGGCGGCCAGGAGACTGCGCAAGTCGTCGGCGAGGGCATCGCTCGCCGCGCGCGACTCCAACGAGCGCGAGGGCTTGTTGGTCGACTTTGGCCAGGACGAGTCCAGCCGATCGCGTGAGTCGACAGCCTCCCAGGTCCTCGTCCTGTACGACAGAGCAACCAACTGACTCGCCTGTCGTTCCATAGCAGCCCCGTCGAGCCTGCACCCTCGCACCCCGTCCGCCTTCGCCCGCTCCCTGCTCGACAAGTCGCCCTCGCTTCTCAAGGCGCACCTGTCGACGCCCCTCATCCCGCTCGGCACCCCTGTCACATCCCGCAAAGCGCGGTCGACGAGTCCCGACAAGGAGAACGCGACGCCGTCGGCCCGCCGTCGCGCCAAGCACCACTCGCCCGACTCGCCGTCCCCGGCCGCCGAGTCGCCGCACCTCACCAGTCGCGCAGACGCGCCGACATCGACTCGCACGGTGCGGTTCTCGCCGAGCCCTCGCCGTACGCGCTCCTCGCCTCGCAAGGTGGCCGCATCCTCGTCTGCGCTCGCCGGCACCCCGTCGACCGTCGCGTTCCACCAGCCCACCTCCTCATCCACCTCGTCTCGCCCCATCCATTCCCTCCACCATATCGGCCTCGCCACCCCGAGCGCCACGTCTCGGACGCACCTCTTCGCCTCGCCGTTCCCGGCCTTCTCCCCCTCGACGCCCGCCATCCGCAGCCACACCTCGTACGACACCGACGAGCTCACCGACGCCGATGCGGACGGCTCGATCTGGGAGGACGAGCCGTCCTTGTCGTACCCGGCGCCGGCGCAGGCAGACGCCCAGGTCGACGAGGTGGCGCTCGCCGTCGGCGGCCTCTCCCTCGGCGAGTCGCCGGCCGTGGACCCGGCGCCGATGCGGGACGAGCAGGATGGGGAGAACGAGTGGGAGGAAGGCGAGGTCTCGGGCGAGGACGAGCTCACCGAGACGGAGACGGCGATGAGCAAGGACGACGAGGAGGAGCTCGCGGGCAGTGCAGAGGAGCTTGCGCCGGCGTCGCTTGCGGTCTGCGAGGCCGCTGCGCAGCCGCCGACGCAGCTCGACGAGCCGGCGCTTGATGCCGCCGACCACGTCGAGCTCGCCCTTGACGAGCGCGTCCTCGAGCAGCACGCACCTGTCCTTCCCGTCGTCGAGGACGACGCCGTCACTGCGGTCGAGGCGTCTGCGGCGTCCGCGCCCTCGATCTACCCCGACACGTTCGCTCCAGCGTTTAACGGCGCCGAGCTACCTCGGGCAGACCAGTGCCCCAACGCGCCCGTCGCGTTTGGTCCTGGGCCCTCGTCGTCGTCGCGGCCCGAGCCGGTCCAGCAGGGCGTCGAGCTGCCGTCTGAGCCTGTATCGTCTGATCTCGACGTCGCAGCGCCTCTCGAGATCGAGGAGCACGGCCTCGTCGACGCCGTCGTTACCGAGGCCCTGAGCGACTCGGCGGCCGAGGGACCCGTCGTCGCCGGCCTCGTGGCGCCCGATGCACCCTCGGCCCGCCGCGGTCTCGACAAGCACTCGGAAGGCGTCGCCGCCGCCGCGTTGCCTCAAGCCGACATCGGTCGACGAGCGACACCCCCACCCTCCCCTTTCCTCGCCGCGTCCGCCGCCTCTCAGCCGGCTCCGCCGCTCGCAACCCCTTCTTTCCGCCTCAACACACCCTCCCCTACCCGCATCAGCGCCTCGGCCGCAACGCCGGTGCCGTCGGCGACGCCGTCGGCGCCGCAGCCGGCGCAGCCCTCGGTCTCGGCCGCACCGACCTCCCGTCGCCAGCTCACCAAGCTCACCTCGGCCGCCACTTCCCGTACCGCACTCGCGACGGCGACCAAGTCGTCGTTGACGACGCTCGTCCCCGGCTCAGCAGCCGCGTCGACGAGGCGCCTCGCCGCGCCTTCGCGCCTCGCCGTGCCGACAAAGCGCTCGACCGCCACCTCGTCGATCGCCGAGGCGCCTGCCGTGCCCGCTCCGTCCGCCAATGCGAGCGATGCGCCCAGGGTGGGCGAGCTCAAGTGCCCCGCCTCGGCCTTGTCGGCGTCGAGCGCGTCCACAGCTTCGACCGGCTCCAGCGCGCCGTCGAGCTCGTTGGGCCGTCCTCGCGCAGCTGTACGAACAGGCTTCAGGCCTACGGCGACGACGAGCGCGGCGAGCGGGCTCGCGAGGTCTACCTTGGCGTCGTCGGGCCGCTCGGCCGCAGCGGCTCTCGCCCACGCGCCGACGGCGAGGCCGACCGCAGCCACGACCTCTCGCCTCTCGCGCCCTCTCACGGTGCCCCGCCCAGCACCGGGCGCGAGCGCTGCATCGTCGTCGCGCCTCGCACGCTCGGAGACGAGCGCGACCGCGGCGTCGTCGCGTCCACTTGTTGCGAGCCGCGCCGGACCTGCACTCGGCGCGACATCGTCGGCGCCGAGCCTCGGGCCGAGCAGGGCTCCGACACGAGCCCTCGGCGCGTCGTCGACCGCGAGGGCCGCGCCGCGAGCTGCACTCGCTGTCCGCCAGGCTGCAGCAGGCGTCACGGCGGCGGCGGCGACGCAGCCGACAATGACGTCGCCGAGCAAGGCTCGCGCCGTGCGGGTCTTTGACGGCGTCGTGGTAGCCTCCAAGGCAGCTGTGCGTCCCCTCTTTCCCCTGCACCGCCGTCGAGCGCGCACTAACTTGACCTTGCCGCAGCCTTCCTCATCGTCCGTCCTTCCTCCTCCTCGGGCCGCCTCGCCGCCTCCTCTTCCCCGAGTCGAGCTCCATGCCCGCGACGACGACCGTCCGACCCTCGCTGCACCCCTCCTCGCGCAATCGGTGGGCCCGTCGACCCGTTCGCCCTTCCTCGGCAACCCGCACTCGCCTCCCCCTTCTACCGCCGCGAGGGCTCCTGCCTCTCCTTTGCGCAGCCCTCATCGGGTCCCGGTCAACTCGCAAGGTGCCGGGCCGGCTCCTTCCCTGCGCGTCGCCCCGTCCCTGTCGCTCGCCCCGACCGCGCTCGTCGCGCCCGCCGACAAGCTCGCCCCGACGGCGGCCGCCACCCTGTTCGAGCCAGCCGTCCGCTCGACCGCGCCTCCTGTCGTCCGCTCGGCTGCACCTCGTGCCGTGCGAGCCCGTCGCACTCGGGCGACCGAGGCAGAGCTGCTGGCTGCGGCCGCGCCTGCCGTCCTCGCCGCCCCGGCCGCCGGCCCTCATGCGCCTGGGCCCGTCGCCGCGACGCGCACGACCCGTCGTGCAGCGACCACAGCGGTCGCGCCACCGAAGCTCGCGCCTGCGCCCGTCGCGCCCATCGTCCGCTCGGCGCGCCGACCTGCGCGACGCGAGCCCTCGGCCGAGGAGGCCGTTGCCGCACCGGCGGTCCCGATCGAGGACGACGCGTCGAGTGCCCCGACGTCGAGCTCGAGCGAGCAGGACGCCGCCGAGAGCGTGCGACCTCGCCCGGCGCCGCAGTTCCACCCGGCGCCGGCCGTCACGCAAGACGAGCTCAACCGCCTGACGCAGCGCAACACGAAACGCAACGAGCAGCACCTCAACAAGCTCAAGCTCGTCACCGTCTACATGGACACGGACCGCCCGCCCTCGCCGACGAGCAAGCTCCGCCGCTCGTTCGGGTCCGAGGCGCCCGAGGTCGTCCGCGCGTCGACCAAGGCCGGGCGCGAAGCGCGCGCCGCCAAGCGCCGCAACGCCTTGCGTGCGAGCGTCGACGGGACCGAGCTGGCGCAGCTGGCGGCCGACCTGCTCGCCGAGGGCGAGGCTGCGGCCGGGGCGACCGAGGCGACGGCGGGGGAGCAAGAGGACGAGCGCCCTAGGCTGCACTTCCGCGCCGCAGGAGACGACGAGCAGTACTCGACGCCGACGAGGGCGCCGCCGATCAAGAGCAAGACCGGCACCAAGAAGCGCTCGAGCGCTGCCGAGGACGACGGCGAGGCCGACGCTCGGCGCGACCACAAAGCCGTGCGGTGGGACCGTGCGCTCGTCTACGAGGGCCCGAGGGAGGGCGAGGGCCCCGTCCCTGACGCGAGCATTCTCAAGGTGCGCACCCTCTCTTGAACCCATTCTCGGCGCCCCTGACTGACATTCTCTCGATCTCTCCCTCGCCCGTGCAGCTCGCCGACCTCGACGACTGGGGCAACTCGACGACGGCGACGACCAACCTCGGCAAGGCCGTGCCCGTCACGATCCACATGCGCGTGTTCAAGGACGAGCAGTGAGAGGACGGACGACCCTTTCTCTCTCTAGATCCGCCCGCTCCCAGATTTGCTGTACTCTCCCCTCTCTGGCTCGTATCGCTGCACTGCACATGATTTATTCACCAGTTCTACACAGAGAGAGAGAGAGAGAGAGACGGAAAGAGCTCGAGGAGGCTAGTACCGCATCGTCTCGACGATGCCGTCGAGCTGTCGCAGCAGGCAGGCGTCAGGGCTCGCGCTCGTCCTCGACGATACGAGGGGAAGACACGCACGATGCGGATGTGGTCGGGCAGATAGAACTTCTCGTAGGCGAGCTGGAGGAGGAGGACCGAGCGGCTTGTCAGCCTCATCTTCTTCCCGCTCGAGACGAGGAAGGGCGAAGAGAGAGAGAGAGAGAGAGGACGCACCCCGAACGGCGTATCCCACCCGGTGAGACGCTTGACGGGCGCCTCGAGGCGGAGGAAGCACCGCTGCTGGATCTCGGCGGAGAGCTCGCTCGCGACGCTGCCCGACTGCGGCGCCTCGTGGACGACGATGCACCGGCCCGTCTTGTTGACGCTCTTGACGACCGTCTCGATCTGTGCGGGCACGCGCAGGTCAGTAAGGGCTCGCGAATGGGGACAAAGAGTGACGGCGACGCACGTCGTAAGGGACGATGGTGCGAAGGTCGATGAGCTCGACGCTCAGGTTGCGCAAGCTCTCCGGGATGAGGGGAGCGAGCTCCTCGCTCGGGTGCTTGAGGTGGTGCAGCGCCGTCTCGATCGTGTACAGTGGCGGGCCGTACGACACGATCGTCAAGTCGGCGCCCTCGCGCAAGATCTCGGCCGACGACAGCGGCAGCTCGTAGTCGCCTGTCGGGACCTGCTCGACGGCCGAGCGGTACAGGATCTTGGGCTCGAGGAAGAGGACGGGATTCGGGTCGCGGATCGCGGCTGCGGAGGAGCGGGAGTGAGCGAACGTCGGGTTTGAGAAGGTCGCTTGAGAGAGGACGCACCGAGCAGCAAGCCCTTGGCCTGGATCGGGCTCCTCGGCACGACGACCTTGACGCCTGACGCCTGCAAGAAGTACGCCTCGGGGCTCTGGCTGTGGTAGAGGCCGCCGTGCCCGACGGCGGAACAGGCTGCGCGCAATCGAGCTTGAGCCTCGAACGGACGGCCGAGAAGAGGACAGGCTCGACGCACGGCTGCGGAAAGTGAGAGAGCCACAGTTGAACATGCCGCCTGATCGGAAGCGGTACTTTGCGCTGTGGAACGAGAAGGTCGGTCGACGCTCGGGACCGAAAAGGAGGTCAAGGCGCACGCTCTGCGGAACGAGAGGGTCAGTGCGCGTTCCTCGCGAGAGGAGGAGTGGGCGCACGCACTCGTTCACGATCTGGTCAAACGCCGGGAACTGCGGGAGGATCCTTGAGTCAGTCGGTGGCCGACGAAGGCGGGCGAGACGGGACGGACGATGTAGTCGGCGAACCTGCGAGGGCGGCATCGTCAGTCGCGCTCGTCTCAGACCCAGATGAGGCGAGAGAAGACGCACTGTAGCTCTGCAACCGCCGTGTGGCCCATGGTCGCCAAGCCGATGCCAAAGCCCGCGATGCCCTGCTCCGTCCTGCTCGAGAGAAGCTGGTGAGCCTCCTCGACGCGCCAGAACGAACGCGAGGGACGCACAAAGGGGTGTTGAAGACGCGCTCCTCGCCGAAGCTGTCTGCGAGACCCATCGTGCAGCGAAAGACGCCGCCGAACGAGACCTGCGCGCGCGAGAGAGGGTCAGGACGCGGTCGTGTGCGGTCGTCGAGCAGGAGCTCTGACTCACGTCCTCGCCAAACACCATCGCCAACGGGTCCTTCTCGAGGGTCGTACTGCGCAGGGCGAGTCGGAAGGCCGCCAGGTGCAGGAAAGAGAAGAGGGGACGCACTGCAGGGCGGAGCGGATGGCCTGGTACATGCTGCGGGCAAGCGGACGGAGGGTCAGGTCCTGCGTCGTGCGCGCCAAGGCAAGCATGTGGACGCACTTCATCTTCTCAGTCACTCGGCCGCCCTCGTCTTCTGCCCGCAGGTCGCTCTCCTTGAGCTCTGTCGCCGACTGCGCTCCAGCGAACCCGACGCCGACCTGCTCCTCGTCGCGCCACCTCAGGCCGGGTGTCCACAGGGCCTCGTCGCGGCCGGTGAGGAGGAGGCTCGAGTTGGCGACGGTGGGAGGCACGGCGACGGCGGTGTGCGAGTTGGCGGGGGAGGAGCGAGGGAGGGACGACGAGAGGGAGCGGGTCGCGGCCGAGCGGGCGAGCTGCTGCATGGCTCGGTGGGTGAGCATGGCTGCTGGTCGTGGTGCTGGGTGGGAGGTGGACAGAGCTGTGTTGCGCAGCGAGTGCACAGCGAGCGCGAGCGCGCGGTCGAGAGGGATGCCGTCTCGACGGAACCCGACCGGCGCCCCACTTTTGGGCCGATCGCTCGTCCTGCTCGCCGAGGTTCCCCTCAAGCGCGGCTGGCCAGCGGCGCCCCTTGGCCTGCTCCCCTCGCTCCTCGCTCCCTCCTCGACCTCGCCAAGCAGCCTCTGTGCACCAGCGCCTCGCGCCACCCAGCCCATCCCGTCGCCGCTTCGACCCCGCCCACGCGCCCCTCCACGGCATCCCCGCACTCTCCGACGTCCGGCTCCGCTCGTCATGCCGTTCGACCAGCACACCGGCATCTATACGCGCGACCTGCCCAAGGTCGCCCTGCCTCAGAAGGCCCTCACCATCTACGACTTCCTGTTCGACCCCGAGCCCGCCGCGTTCGAAGGCTCGTCCGGCGCCCGACTCGAGCGACCCGACCCGACCGGCCGCACCTGGCTCATTGACGCCTCGAGCCCCCGACAGTACACGTTCGAGCAGACGCGCAAGCGCACCGACGACATTGCGCGCGCCTTTTGCGCCAAAGGCCTTGAGGCCGGCGACACGATCCTCGTCTTCTCGCCCAACGACCTCGATTACGGCCCCGTCCTGTGGGCGGGCTTTCGTGCCGGCGCAGCTTCGTCATGCGCAAACCCGAGCTACACGCACGCCGAGCTAGCCCTGCAGATGGACACGGGTGCGTCCTCTCGTTGCCGTGGCAGTCCTTTCCTTCGAGTCGACGCTCACCTCTGCTTGCTCGCGCGCAGTCAACAAGCACTACCCTGTTCGCTTCCTCGTCGTGCACCCGGACGCCATCGAGACGGCCGTCAAGGCGTGCGAGACGTCGGGCCTGTCGACCAAGATGATCGTCCTCATCCGCTCGCCCTGTGCGTCCCTTTTTCTCTTCGCCCCTCCTGCGTCTTGCCCCGAGACTGACGTCGCGAGAGCGCAGCCGACTCTCCCGCCAACATCAAATCGCTCGCGAGCGGGTTCCCGACGCTCGACGACCTCGTCTCGTCGACGAGCAACGAGCCGCTGCCGCCCAAGTTCTCGCTCAAGCAGGACGAGGCCAAGACGCGGCTCGCCTTCCTGTCGTTCTCGTCCGGCACCACGGGCGTCCCCAAGGCCGTCATGATCCCGCATTTTGCCGTCATCAGCAACGTGTGCGTCCTCGCGCCCTCGGATTGCGTTTGAGAAGGCCGACTAACCTCGCCGTCGCCCTCTCGCAGCCTGCAGGATGCGCTTCACTGGAGCAAGTCGAACAACTTTGTGCCGTACGACGCCAAGACCAAGAAGGGCGACGTCGTCATGGGCTGCCTGCCGTTGTGCGTCCCCCGATTCGCCTTCTCGTTTTCTCGCTCGAGGCTCACTTTTTCGCGCTCGGCAGCTACCACATCTACGGCCTCGTCGTCATCCTCCACCACTCGATCTGGCAGAACACGCCCGTCGTCATCCACTCCAAGTTCGACCCTCGGCTGTTCCTCGAGTCGATCACGGCCCACCGCATCTCGACGCTCTATCTCGTCCCGCCGCAGGTCATCTTCATGGTCAAGCAGGACGACCTCGTCAAGCAGTTTGATCTGTCGAGCGTCAGGATGGTCATGGCCGGCGCTGCGCCGTTGACCGACGAGGTGCGCCCGTCGGTTCCTCTCGCTCTTCGAGTCGGACCTCGAGAGGCTCACTTGCCTTGATCCTGCAGACTATCTCGGCCTTCCGCACGCGCTTCCCGCACATCGCCATCGGCCAGGGCTACGGCATGACCGAGAGCAGCACCATCATCTCGACCATGGACGCCTCGCACGACTTTCCTGGCGCGTCGGCGGGCTACCTCTTACCAAACGTCGAGTGCGTCTTCCTCTTCTCTCGCCGCCCACGCCTCGTCAACAAGGGGACCTGACTGACAGACCCTCTGCCCCTTCCTCGCCGGCAGGGCCAAGATCGTCTCGCCCGAGGGCAAGGCGCTGCCGCCAAAGCAGGTCGGCGAGCTCCTGGCTCGCATGCCGTCGATCGCCCTCGGCTGTAAGTTCCTCCCTCTCAGACTCTGTCGTGCGCCGAGAGCCGTACCTGACGTCGAGCTGTCCTGCGCACAGACCTCAACAACGACAAGGCGACCAAGGAGACGTTCGACGACGAGGGCTTCCTGCACACGGGCGACGAGGGCTTCATCGACGAGCACAGCCGCCTCTTCATCACGGACCGCATCAAGGAGCTCATCAAGTGCTCGGGCTTCCAGGTCGCCCCAGCCGAGCTCGAGGGCCACCTCCTCGCGCACGAGGACGTGCAGGACGTCTGCGTCATCGGCGTGCCGGACGAGAGGAAGGGCGAGGTGCCTAAGGGTGCGTCCACTTTCTCTACCTCTCTTTCTCGAGCACCGCTCGTGCAGCCGAGCGCTTTCCCCTGCCCCCGCCCTCTCTTCGCCCGGACCTCCTCCCTGACCCCCCCTCTCTCTCTCTCCCTCCTTCGCGCCGACAGCGTATGTCGTCGTCTCGCCCGGCGCAGCATCGCGCGTCAAGTCGGGCGGCTCGAGCGCCGAGAACGCACTCGTCGACAGCATCAAGAAGTTCGTCAGCGACCACAAGATCAAGTACAAGTGGCTCGCCGAGGTCGAGTTCATCGACGCGATTCCCAAGACGCCGAGCGGCAAGCTGCTCCGTCGTGACCGTGCGTCCCCTCGCTCTCCTTGTCGCCGCCGTCGTCGAGGCCCGCCGTCGAGCCGAGCGTCCACTGACTCGTCGTCCTCGTCCGCGTCGTTCTCGCGCCACAGTCCGCACCCTGCACGCCCAGAAGGTCAAGGCGCAGAAAGAGAAGCTCTGAGTACACGAAAAGAAGCCTGCAGTATCACCGAGTGCCCGACTCTTGCAGCGAGAGCAAGTTTCGACCGAGAGCTCGAAGCGAGCGGGAGGAGCAGGGGCCGCTTCTCGGCAGGGTGGTCGACGGGGGACTGAGAGAGCTTGACAGTACCGAGAGCAGCACTGGGCGACTCTCTCGCGCCCAGCAAACGCCTACCTCTGGTGCGACGAGTCGGCTGAGGGAGCGACGTTCTCGCGCTTCGACGCGCTCTCTCTCGCCCGACACTCGCCATGGACACTGCTGTACCTGTCGAGGGCGTTCCCTCGCCGACCAAAAAGGCCTACAAGCCGGCCGCCGACGCGCCCGCCGTCCCCGAGGGCCCCTCCGACCTCCGAGGCTCGCTCCGCCCCCGGACCAACTGGGACGAGCTCCTGCGCGTCAAGCCTGCACAGAGCCGCATGGGTGCGCCCACTCTCGCTCGGTCTAGTCCTGCGGGCCCGCGACTGACCCTGCGCCTGGTCCCGCAGCCGTCGCGCGCGGCCACACCACCACCGCCTCGTCCTCGCACCGCCGCCCTCTCGGACCCGCCGCGACCGAGCCCATCCTCTCGTTCGCCCAGCCCTCGGTCCCGTCCTACGCCGGCTACTTCAAGTCGTCCAAGGACGCCCTCGACGAGGCGTACGCCGCCGTGCACGGCGCGCCCGTCCCGAGCGCGACGGGCAAGCGCGCAGACGAGCTGCGGCCCATGTGGGAGACGGGCAGTGCGAGCGACGCCGCCTCGACCCGTGCAGCGAGCCTCAGGGCGGGCGACAGCGGGTTCTGGGGCGCGGCGGGCGCGGCGGCGGGACCGGTGCACGTGCAGGCGCACGCGCAGGCCGACGACGACGGCGACGGCTTCGACCTCGACGAGGCGCTCGGGCCGGCCACGGGCGGCCTCATGAGCTTTGCCGGGTTCAGCAGCGGCGTGGCGCAGGCGCCCACCGTCAACGTCGACTCGCAGGGCTCGGGCTCGACCGCGCACGCCGTCACGCAGCGGTTCAAGCGCGCGTTCGACGGCGACGCGCCGCCGTCGGCGGCCGCGCAGGGCGAGGTCGACGACGAGGAGATGGCGGCGACCGACGTCGAGGACGAGGGCGGCGACGAGCCGGCGCCGATGGGCGGGTTTGGTCAGGCGAGGCGCGTCGCCGGCCTGAGGAAGGGCTGGGGCAAGACGCAGAGCCTGCCGCCGAGCGCTTTCGCCTCGATGGACTTCTGAGCGGCGAGTCCCGCCTCGCCACCGTCCCCTCCATGTCTCCTCCGTAGCTTCCCCTCTCGAGCAGTGCTCCTTTCGTCGCCCCGTCCCTCTTGCAGCCCTTGTCACGCTTTCCTCGTCTGTTTCCGTCCTCTCGCTCTCGGTCTCTCGTGAGCGACAGTCGAGAGAGTGTCCGCACAAGACTGCGAGTTGCAGGACGCGCGAGATAAAGAGGCTGCCGCTCGAGCGAGCTCTACGGCAAAGAGACGCTCACAGCGGCAATCTCGGCGCGCAGCTCGTCGAGGCTGGCCTGGAGCGCCGCAGCGTCCTCAAACTGTCGGCGCGAGTTGGCGTCGTCGACGTAGGACTGGACGAGCGATTCTTGCCTGCGAACGAGAGGGCGAGAAGGGGCGCGCAAGGGGTCAGAGCGCTCTTCGGCTGCGTGCGAGAGGGAGATAGAGAGACGAGGACGCACTCGCGCAGCACGTTGAGCTTTGCCGCCGCCTCGAGCTCGGGTCCGACTCGCTCCGTGACGCGGTCGACGTCGTCCTTGTCGAGCAAGCTCGCGAGCGTCTTGACCGTGTACTCGCCGTCCTTGACGCCGCCCGCCGCCTTCTTGCCCTTGGCCGCCGCGCTCGAGCCGCTCAGCTCCTCGACGTTGCCGAGGCTGCGCAAGAGCCCGAGCTTGTCGCTCAGGTACAGCTGCGCTCGAGCGGAGAGCGCGCGCTGAAGCCGGTCCTGCGAGCCGCCCGACGGCGCACCCTCAGGCAGGGGCAGGTCGCGTATGCGCTTCGAGACGGTGTCGTACGAGGCGAGGTCGGTCAAGAGGCGCTTGCGGAGCGTCTTGGCGTGCTTGGCCGAGGGAGGGGTCGCCGACTCGGCGGCGGCGGCGGGATTGCTGTACAGGGACGAGGGGCAGGGTCAGTCTCGGGCCCGAAGGAGGCCAAGGGGAACAGGGCGCACGAGAGGACGACGGCGAGCTCTTGGAACTCGGGCAACGTCTCGTCGATGTCCTTCTCAAGCTGGACGAGGACGTCATACAGCTTGAGCCACGTCGGGGTGCGGACCGGAAGCGTCTTGAGCTGTTGGCGCCTGCGTTCGACAAGGAACGTCAGACCCTGCACGAGCGAGAGGGAGAGAGAGAGAGAGAGAACGCGAGACGCACAGGACGGTCCCGAGGCAGTCTCGGCAGACGCGCACCTTCTTGCGCTCGTCCTTGTCCTTCTTGACCTGCGCTTGCGGACCGAGTACCGCGTCGATCGACAGGTCTTGCTCGACAGGGGCCACCTCGACGACGACACCCATGCGCGTCTTCTCCTCGCCGAACGCCTGCGTCTCGTAGGTGAAGAAGGTCGAGCATCGCTCGCGGCGGTTGGGCTTTGGTGCGGGTGCGGATGGCGGGTCGTCGGCTGAAGGAGGCGTGACGGCGAGCGGCTCGAGGTACTGCGCCACAGGGGTCGGCGGGAGGAAGCAGACGACGCGGCCGCAGAGGCGGCAATGATGACGACGGACGCGGACGCCGAAAGCGGCGCTGCGGGCAGGTCCTCGTGGTCAGTATGGCGCAGGGCGACGAGACAAAAAGAGAACGAGAGGCGCACGTGCAGATCGGGCAATGCGTGGCGTCCTTGTCGTCCTGCCACTTGACGATGGCCTGCTCGGCTGCGAGAAAGGGAAAGCGTGAGCGACCGCCACGTCCGTCCTCGGGGAAGTTGAGCGACGCACCCCGTTCGACGTCGACATCGACGTTGCCGACCGCCGTGCGCCACAGCTCTTTGGCCGTGCGTCCTCGCAGCGAGTCGCCGAGCGACGACAGCGAGGCGAGCGTCGAGGTCTTGGTTGGCGCGCTCGCCTTGGCCTTCTCGTTCTCGGGAGGAAAGTGGAGCGCGACGAGCTGTGTGCGTATGCTCGAGTCAGTTTCGTGCGCGAGAGAGTGCTGGAGGGAAGAGGGCAAGGAGGAGGACGCACCTTGTCGAGCCTCCTCGCGAGCCTGCCCTCGTCGAGCTTCCTGGCCTCACTGCACTTCTGCCGCTGCTCGAGGAACACATCGCTCCGGTCCCTCCTGACCCCCTGCGGCTGAAAGCCCGCCTGGTACGGCATCCTGCGCGCCGCCGCCGCACCCGATCCGCCTGGTCCTCCTCCTCCTGCCGCGGCGCCGTGCTGCTGCGCGTGGTACGGGGCGGGCACCTTGTCGGGCGAGCGCACGCGGTCGGGCCTCGGGCTCGCCGAGGGGAAGGGCGAGTGGCCTGGGGGCACACTGGCGAAGGGGAAGGCGGAGGGAGGGGGCGTGGGTCCGCCCGTGCGGGCGGGCGAGGCGGCCGAGGCGCGAGGGGGAGGGGGCGAGCGCGCGCCGGTCGTGGTCGTCGTCGATGAGGTGTGGGACCGTGGTGCGGGGGACGCGGCGCTCGCTGGACCGGCTGCGGTCGAGGTGGACGAGATGGCGGACGAGCCCGAGAGGCCGCTCCACTGGGCCGGGAGCGCTGGCCGCGAGGGCTGCGGTGCGCGCAGGAACGAGCCCGTGTCGGACGAGTGGTTCTGGGGCCGGGCAAAGGTGCCCAGGGTGCGGGTCGCCGACGGGGACGAGGTGCCGAGCGGCGAGGGATGATGAGGCGGGGTGGACCCGAGTTGCTGCAGCGACGAGATGGACGACGCGCTCGAGTGGTGCCGCTTGGGCGTGTAGGTGGCGTACGCCGGCGAGGCCATCCCTGGCGAGTCGGGCCCGCGGGAAGATGGAGAGCGAGAGGATGAGAGGCTCGCGCGGCGGAGGAGGTGGGGGACAGCCAGCCTCGTCTCGTTGACGGCGCACCAGCTCGTGCACAGTGAAACTTCTCTCGTCGGGTACACATTCACAGTCTCGAGAGAATCGTCGAAAAGCCGGGCTCGTTGCGTTACAGCTTGGCCGCGCGTCGCGACAACGCCTCCTCGACCAGCTCGACCGCCGCCTCTGCGCTCCCCCAGCTCGACTGGAAACCGTACCCGCCGTGCCCATAGTTGTGCACGACTGCGACTCGCCGCCCGTCGCCCTCGAGCGCGCCGAGCTCGAGCCGGATCCCGCCCTCGCGCGTCGGCCGCAGCCCGACCGCGTCCTCGACGACGTCCAAGTCGTCGCTCGTGCCGTTGCCGCGCTTGTCGGGCGGGAGGAGCTCGGGGCACAGGGCGAGGCAGCGCTCCTTGATCTGGCGAGCCATGTCGGAGCGAGGCCTTGGATCCCTGCGGGCGGGCCGTGCGTCAGGGCGACGGTCGGACTCGCACGGCAAGTCGTTGAGAGGGAACGGCTGGGACGCACCAGTTGTTCTTCTCGGCGCATCCTCCGAGCACGACGTGGCCCGTCTTGGGGCGCGGGATCGTGTACGTGTAGACGCCGTCGCCGAGTCGGGTCCGGCCCTCCTTGACCCACGGCGCTTTGACGATGACGAGCTGCCCTCGGGTCGGGAACACCTTGTCGTCCGGTACGAGCGTACGAGCGCCGAGGCCCGAGCAGTTGACGACGAGGTCGGCGTGAGCGAAGGACGGGTGGACCGAGAGGACCGAGTCGAGGCTCGACAGCGAGTTGCTCCGGTGCAGGCTGCCGCCGAGCTCTTTGAGCCGGGCGACAAGCGACGACAGGTAGGTCGGCGTGTCGATGAGGATCGCCTTGAAGGTGGCGCCGTGGGCGATGCCGGCCGGCAACTCGTGCTCGTCGAGCCAGCGGAACTGCGGGAGGGAGCGAGTCAGGCCCTGTCGACGAGTCGATGCGGCGTACACGCACATCTGGATGGTAGCGCGACACCAAGCTGAGCTGCGAGAGCTTGCCTGCATCGCCCGTTGGTCGTGACTGCGGGAGAGCAAAGGGTCAGAGAGAAGAAAGAGGTTCGAGGGAAGGGCGAGCGGATGGGACGCACCTGCTCGCGAAACTCGGTCTGGGTGCAGAAGAACAAAGATCCGTGACCTTGCTCGATCATCGTCGACATGACCTCGAAGGTGTGCTTGTCGAACTCTGCGCCCGTAACAGGAGGGGAGGTCAGGCCAGAGTCGTCGGGGCGCAAGAGCGAATGGGAGACGGACCGTGCATGCGCATATCCGAGCCCGTCGCGACGCTGACATGATGAGCTCCCTGTGGTTGGTGGAAGGGATCAGCTTTGTGGGAGGGGAAAGCAGGAGAGGGGAGAGGACGACTTGCCGCCCAGGGCGAGGTGAAGGCGATCGACTTGGGGTCGTCGGGGAGGTCGCGCGCGACGACGTCGACCTTGTAGCCATGCTCGAGGAGCCTGATGGCGGTCGAGAGGCCGACCACACCTGGAGGAGAGCGAGCATGAGCCAAGTTGAGATGACACTCTGAGGAGGACGAGAGGACGAGGGCTCACCGGCTCCGAGAACGACGACGTGCCTGGCGGGCATGCTGGACCGAGGCAGGACAAGCTAGCGAGCAACCGTGGCAGCCTGGGCGACAGCGAGTGAGACGGCGAGAGCTGGCCCTCGTCGTCGTCCGAGATCTAGTGGGGACGCTCTTGCTCTTGCTCCTCGACTGCGCGGCATGGCGTCCCTCCTGGCCGTCATGATCGTCGCAAAGTCGAGCCTCGGCTCGCAGCTCGTCTACGCCTACCCGCCCGACCCTCGCGCCGTCCCCCGCACCCACAAACCCGTCTACTCGGCGAGCCGGCGACAGCGCGCCCTGTACCAGGCCTACACCTCGAGCAGCGACTCGGACTCGGGCACCGACACCTCGGACGACCAGGACGACCACACCCCCGACTCGAAGCACTTTCTCGGCTTCCCCGACAACGTCCTCGCCTCGCTCCTCTCGCCCTCGCGCGAGCTGTGCGACCAGCCGTTCGAGCTCGTCGTCGACCACCTCTCGTTCGTCGGCCACCCGGTGTGGCTCGGCGACGACGACCCGCCGCGAGACCGACCCGACGAGGCGGCCGCGAAACCCGACACCGGCGCGAGCGAGCGAGGACAAGACGGCGACGAGGACGACGACGACGACGACGACGACGACTCGAGCGCGGTACGGGGCAGGAGTCGACGGCCTCGGTACAAGGACCTCGTCACCGAGGACGACCTCGACCTGTCGGCCGCCGAGCGCGACCGCACTGTCGGCCCTCCCGCCAGTCGCAACGCCTCGGCACCTCCTCGCCCCCTCCTCATCGCCGACAGCGGCTCGCCTTCCCCGACTCGACCCGGCACTCTCGCCCGCAGCCAGTCGTCGACGTCGACCCTCCACCCGGGCTCGTCGCTCGCGTCGTCGCAGCACTCGCACAACTCGCTCGCGGGCTCGAGCCGGCTCGTCTCCTTCAACTTCCTGTGCGTCATTGACACGCCGCCCGACAGCCACCTGAGCAGCCACCTCGAGGGCTTCTACAAGGACGTCATCATCCCCATCACGGCCAACATCAAGGCGCTCGAGAAGAAGGACCTGTGGCTCGGCAAGCAGGCGGCCAAGTTGCGGCGCGCCAAGGAGACCGCCATCGAGAAGGGTACGTCGGCGTGCTCCCTCGTGCCCGTGCCCGATGTGCGACCCGTCCTGACCTCGCCTCGCTTCGCAGACGACCCGTACGACGCGTTCCTGCGCTCGCTCCCCGCCCGATCCGCCCTCGCCGGCGCTCTCAGCCAGCTGTACACGTCGCTCAAGGCAGACGAGCTCGCCGAGATCCATCTCGGCCCGCTCCCCGTCCAGGTCATCCTGCGCGGCGAGCTTCCGGCCGAGGACGACCTCGAGCTGCGCGAGCGCGACGCCCTCCTCCTGTCGGACCAAGCCGACGACGACCTGAGCCCGGCCGGCCGGCGCGACCGCAGCCTGTCGCCGGGCGGTCACGCGTACGGCAAGTCGCGTCCACCGCCGCTCTTCTCGAGGATGCGGCGGCGGCCCCCGGTGCACTTTCACCCGTGGGAGACGCTCCTCCTCCTCGAGGACGCGCGTGTCCTGCAGCGCGACGTGCTCGAGGACTCGCTCCTGTGGCGGTTCCTCGAGATCTGCCGCCCGACCTTGAGCTTTGCCGAGTACGAGACGCTGCTCGACCTCGACTCGGAGGACCAGCTCCTCGAGGACGTCGTCGACCACCTCGTCCACTGGAAAAAGGCGCGCGTCATCGACCTCATCTCGCTCAAGGGCTCGTACAGCATCGCTGCAGGGTTCAAGCCGACTCGGTGCGTCCCTCTCTCGAGCCTCTGTGCGGCCCAGCCGACGTCGACTAACCCTTCGTTCCCGCACAGACTTCCCTTCCTCGCCTCGTCCTTCGCCACCGCCTTCCCTTCCCTTCCTCCACTGCCCACCCTCCTCTCGCGACTGTCGCCCACCGACCCGTACCTGGCCGTCATCCCGTCGTCCTCCCAACGGAGCCTGTACCTCACCGCCCTCATCTGGCTCCTGCGCAACGACGTCGTCGACAAGCCGCGCACCTTCGTGCGCGTCGTCGCGTCCGAGGCCATCAAGCGCGCGACGACGCAGCACTGGGGCGGCCTCCAGAGCGGCGTCTCGGGCGCGACGACGTCGGGCACGGGCATCTCGGGCAGGGACGACTCGGCAAGCCAGCTGAGCACGAGCGCGAGCGGGGCGAGCGATCACTCGTTCGGGAGCGCGTACCGTCGCTCGAGGCTCGCAGTGGGCGGCAGTGCGCCCGGCGAGGACGGCGAGGGCGCGCGCGACGGTCGAGCAGGAGGAGCAGGGGCAGGAGCAGGAGGGGCCGACTCGCCGCGCGACTCGCAGCTGTCGACGAGCGCGAGGAGTGCGACGATGAGCGCACGCCCACCTCGGTCGCGCAGGGCAGCGGCGGCACCGGCGCAACGAGCCAAAGGGCTCAGCACGGCGACCTACTCGAGCCACTCGGAGCGGCTCGACGAGGGCAACTTGGCGCCGAGCGTCATCGTCGAGCCGGGCCGGCCGTCGATGCTCGAGAGCAGGTGGATCAGCGAGATCTGCCGCGACAAGGACAAGGCCGTCGTCGACAAGTTTGAGCGGTACGTTCCCTCTCTCTCGCTCGAACCTCTTTTCTCTCGAGGCGCACACAGACTGACCCTGCCTCGTCGTCGACGCAGCATCATCCGCATGCTCAACGGGCGGCACCACCTCGACGAGATCCGCTTCCGAGCGCAGCTCTCGCGCAAGCACCTCTCGCTCGTCCTCGCCGCGTTCGACGAGCACCTCGTCCTGTTCACCCACCCTTGATCCCTCTCCCTCGTCGACTACGCCTCGCTCTCACTCGCCCTTCCACCTCACCCTCATGACCGTCCTCCCGACGCCACTGCTCTTGCCCCTGCCCTCGCCCGCACCCCACACGGCCTCGACCTCTGCGCCTCGCTCCTCGACCCGGCGCCGGAACTCGAGCTCGCCGCCACCGACGCCAAAGTAGATGCGCTTGCACGCGACGAGGCACAGCGCGTCGTCGTCGGTGCCGCGCGCCGTCGCCGCCTCGAGGAGGTCGAGCAGGGCCGGGAGCGACTCGACGGCGTACACCGTCTCGCTCGTCAACACGACGTCGTACCGCTCGTCGTCGTCGGCGCGCAGGGCGGTCGCCATGCCCGCCCAGTCGCCCTCGGAGAAGCGCAACTCGACGTTCTCGCGCTCGAGGAGCGCCTCGAACGACGCGAGGAACTCGGGCGTGACGTCGAGCTCGCCCGGCTGCGGGTCGGCGGGCGGCTCCTCGTCGGCCTCGGGCGCACGAGCGGGCGTCGCGAGGTGCTGGGCGTACGTGAGGAGGAGGTTGGGCAGGGTGATGAGGGAGAGGACTGTGCGGGGCGAGGCTGGGTGAGCGAGAACTCGGCGGGGCGGCCGCTCTGGGGACGGAGTGAGAAAGGCGGGCGCACCCTGCTTGTTGTAGTCCTGCAGGTGTAACCGAGTCTTGCGCGGCTTGTCGGCGCCCTCCTCGGTCGGCGACAGGCGGATCTCGTTCAGGAGGCGCGCAAAGAGGGAGCATGACGGGACGGCGGTGCCGCAACCGACCTGTGTGGGCTCGCTCAAGGTCAGTTGGCGCTCGCAGTGGGAGACACAGAGAGAGAGAGAGCGCGCACCTCGAGGATGCTCTTGCCGCGCACGCGCTCGGTGTCGAGGTTGGCGTCGGGCGAGAAGGCTCGCTGGTCGAGCAGGTCGACGAGGTCGAGGCTGCACTCCCACGTCTTGAGACCGCCCTCGTACACGCCCTTGACGAGGTCGGTGTGCTCGTCGACGAACGTGTCGTCCTTGGTCTTGCCCTTGGGGTCGTGCGGCTCGTCGGGGGCGCACTCGTCCTGGTTGAGGATCTGGAAGCGGGCGTCGAACAGGTCGCGGCGGAGGAGGGTCGCATGGCGCGGGGTCTTGGTCGGCGGCAGAGGGCTGAGCGGGACGGTGACGGGCGTGTACGACAAGAGTGGAGGGAGGGTTGCGAGCTGCGGTGCCAAAAGTGCAGAACGAGGTCAGCTCGCCTCGCTCGCGGCGGCACCCAGGTGGGGGAGGGGGCTCACGAGGTCATCAAGAGGCACTTGGTGGTGCGGTATGGCGCTGGTCGAGGCTGCAGGGTGCTTGTCGTCGGCGAGCTGGAGGTGGTCGAGCGAGGCGGTGGAGATGGCGAGCTCGTCGTCGAGTTGTGCGGCGTCGATGTCCTGCGGTGCGGTGCGGGTGAGCTGGGTGTGTGCTGGTAGAGAGTCTGCTCACGTACAAACGCGAACGAGAACGACATGACGAGCGACGGCTTGTCAACCTGGACCTCCACTTCGGCTCGCACTCGGAGCAACAACGACGACGACAGCTCTCGCTCTTTCCCCCCTTGCACTGCTGCACAGCCGCACCCTGCTGTGCGCACCCCGCTTGCCTCTGCGTCCCCCCTTCCCCCTTTTTCCATGAGCGCCAACCTCGAGGAGCGCATCACCGACTACCCTCGCCTCGGCAAGTCGAGCCTGCGCGTGTCCAAGGTGCGCCCCCAGCTCTCCCACCTCGACTACGAGAACCCGAACCTGACCCTCGCACCGGCCCACAGGTCATCCTCGGCTGGTAAGCCCGCACTCGGTCCTCCTCGCGCACGCCGCCCGCGGCTCACTCTCCCTCTCGCCCTGCAGCATGTCGTACGGCAACAAGGTCCGCACTCCCTCCTTTCTGGACCTTGTCGACAAAGCTGACAAGTCGCACGATCGCAGGGCTGGGCCAACTGGGTCCTCGAGGGCGACGAGGCCCTCCAACACTTCAAGACCGCGTACGATGTGCGCCCACCGCTCTCCCTCTCTTCGTCCGTATTCGGCACTGATTCCTCCCTCGACGACAGCTCGGCATCACGACTTGGGACACGGCCGACACGTACAGCGGTGGCGACTCGGAGCGTCTCGTCGGCCAGGCCATCACCAAGTTCAACATCCCGCGCGAGAACCTCGTCATCCTCACCAAACTCGCCATGGTCGTCCCCGACGACCCGACCATCCACCCTTCGACGATCCAGAACCCGAACCAGAGCGGCTACGTCAACCGCTGGGGCGTCAGCCGCAAGCACATCTTTGCCGCCATCGACGCGTCGCTCAAGCGCCTCGGCCTCGACTACGTCGACGTCCTCCAGGTCCACCGCTTCCCGCGCGCCGACTTTGACGAGCACTCGATGCAGGAGATGATGATCGCCCTCCACGACGTCGTCAAGAGCGGCAAGGCCCTCCACATCGGCATGAGCAGCTGCGACGCCTGGCAGTTTCACGCCATGCAGGCGTTCGCCAAGGAGAACAAGGTGCGCTCCCTCTCTCTCACTCGAGTCTCGACGTCTCGACGAGGAGTTCGAGAACGTCGCCGGACTTGTTCGGCAATCTCGCTCACTCTCTTCCCTCTCTCCCCTCCCTCTGCCCTCGCCCGTCCGCCCTTCCCCTTCCTGCAGCTCACGCCGTTCATCTCGATGCAAGACGTGAAACCTTAAAAGCTTTAAAAGCCTTATATATTCTTTTTTTTCTTATAAAACTTAAAACCTTAGAGGCTCTGGTCGCCGCTCGCCCGGGGCTACCTCACGCGCCCGCACCGCGACCAGAACAACACCGAGCGCGCCAAGAGCGACCCCAACTTTGCCAAGTTCGTCGGCCTCGGCAACAAGGTCGAGGAGGAGGCGCTCCAGCAGATCAACGAGGCGTACGTCCGCTCGGTCCTCTCGCCTCGCCCGAGCGCCGTCAGCGGCCATTCTTACTGACATTCCTCCTTCCCGTCATCAGCGTCGAGAAGATTGCCAAGGCCCGCGGCGTCCCGATGGCGCAGGTCGCGCTCGCCTGGAGTTGCGGAAACCCGCTCGTCACGGCCCCGATCGTCGGCGTGAGTCCTGCCCTTCCCCTCTCCTCCCTCCTCTCTCCCTCTCTCGCACTGTTATTGACATCTCGGATGATCCGTCCTGGCAGTCGACCCGCATCGAGGCGCTGCGCGAGGCGGCCGCCGCGACGCACCTCAAGCTCACCGAGGACGAGATCAAGGCCATCAATGAGCCGTACCGTCCGCGCAACATCCTCGGGCACTAGTTGTAGATGCAGAGAGTGTATATGGCACGTGTATAGCTGTGTATGGGCGAGAGCGTCCGCGAGAGCTCGACCTTCTCGACTTTACGTCCGACGAGAGGCGACTCGAGGACAGCTTTGCGCGTCTCTGCCTTCCCGAGCTCTCCGTCTGCCTGTGCTCGAGATACAGTGAGCGAGAGCAAGTACCCCGGCGGTTGTGGCCGGCTCAGAGCGCGAGCGAGTCCATCGCCTGCGGGCTGGCTCTCTCCCTCGTCCTCCTCCCGCGGCCGCCCACACTTGCTGTGCCTTGCCGGCGCGTGTCCAGCTCTTCTGCATCGCATCATCTATCTATGGGGCCTGCTCCCGCGCCACCGCGAGCGGCCGCCGAGGGCGCAGGGCGCGTCACATCTTCATCAGTAACTCGCGTCGTCCGACCTCTCTCGACTGGTGGCAACGCTTCATGGGCCTGTGGGCATTGTCGTCGAGGACTATGGCAGCATCAAGGACACTACTGGGCAAGACGGTCGCGCTGTGTGGGCTGTGGGCGACTCGTGCGTCCACCTCCTCCCCGCCTCCCCGTGTTTGGCCCCCTTCTCCCTCTCCCCTCGCCCCCTCTACTACCTCGCGACGCGGCTCAGAGGTCTTGATGGACTGACCTGGTCACCTTACAGGCGGGACGGCTGTGCATGGCGAGCAGGGCGGTCTTCTGGGCGGCGCGAGGCGGGCTCTCGACGTCGAGGCGGCTCATGTTGTCCTTTGTACGTCTCGCACATCGCACACTCTCTTTCTTTCCTCCAGAACCCTCACGTGGGCTTGTACTCCTCGTCGAGCCCCGCACTGACCCTCTTACGTCGCGCCGCAGGTTAGTCGCGCCCTCGATGGCACCTCCCCCTTCTCGGCCCCGAAAGCTTCCCCTCGCGCCCTTGCTGCGCCGCGCGACAGCGCCCTCCCTTCTCCGAAAGCTCTCCTCGTCTCTGTCGAGCGTTCCCGGACCGCAGAGAGTTCTTGTTCGTCGTCGCACTCGTCCCGACGGCTCAGCGAGTCGAGCCGTCGCGGACGGGTCTTTACGAGGCCGCGCCCGCCCTCACGTGCCCCTGAGGGCAGCGGGCGCACTGTGGTGAGCCGCTCGCACGGCGCGCACCCCTGCGGAGCGCCCGTGCGCCCGGCCACCTACAAAAGACAGGGGGATCCTGCGCACCCTTGCTCAAACGCTAGCTCTTGATCTAGCGGGGTTACAGTATTCTGCTTGCGCGGGATCGGACGAGGAGGTGTCTGCGATGCAATCGAGCGCTTCTCCCGAGCCAATTCATCTTGTAGAGCGCGAGTTGTGAGCCTCGCCTCCCTTCTCAAGTCAGTCGAGGAGCGGTCCGAGAGCGGCTCTTCCTCCTCGCTCTTTCTCTCGCGAGGTGTCTCTTCATGCTTGCTCGAGTGCTGTCGGTGCGCAGGAAGGCGTGTGAGCCGATGCGGGCAGAGCAACCTCGTCGTCCTCGTCACGTTGCTCCTCGAGCTGGCTCGGGCTTCTGCTCGCCGGATCCCGCTCACACGGTCACGCCAAGGCTCGAGAGCGACCCGGAAGCCACCACGTCCAGCTTGACGAGGTCGGGCTTAAGCCTCTGGGGCCGTGAGGCCAGAGAAAGCGCTCGAGAGTCTCGAATCCGTCTCTCGCTTCTCTCGCTCTCGCGTCGAACGGCGAAGACTCGGAGCAACGAGGTCGTGCAGTGCAGTCGAGCGAGCCAGGTGTCTGTCTTGTTCAAGGCGAAGGGCAGGGAGCGAGTCAAGAGGGAGAGAGGGGGGCACTAGAGACGAGAGGAGGGAGAGGCAAGACCGGCGGCTCGAGAGGGGAGTAAGGTGGGCCGCCGGGAGAAGGGTATCGTGAGACCGAGGCTGGGGAGGACGGTGGGTGGCGAGGATGAGGGAGGCAGGAGAGGAGGCAAGGGTGGGCGGAATAGTGTAACACGAGGGCGCGAGGCGCGTGAGGAAGGGAGGAGGAATAAGGGAAGGAGTCGAGGGGGAAATTACACGGGGAGAAGGGGACGACGAGGTTGCACGGATGGCGGGTATCGAGGGACGAGGGCGAGAGACGTGAAGGTTGGTCGTGCGCTTTTGTCGAGGAGGGCGAGGTCGAGACGAGGAAGGAGGCGATCGTCGGGCGGCGACGAGAAGGGAGCGTCGAGCGCCGACGACGACGACGGGCGCGACGGGCGCGCTCAGCCGCACCGGCACGTGAGGAACTTTATGAGGCTGAAGCCGCCGCGGTGGGCGCCCTCGTCGTCGTGCGCGCCCTGGCCGTACGGGTCGTTGCCGTGCCCGCCCGCGCTCATGCCCTGCACGCCCGGCGCGGCCGCTCCTCCTCGGCTGTACCCGCCCTGCGCCTGCGCCTGGAGCTGCTGCTGCTGCGCCGCGCTGCCCGCCGCGTAGTCCGAGTCGCCGCGCTCGTAGCCGCCGGGGCCCGCCGCCGCGCCGGCGCCGGCGCCGCTCGCGTACGGGTGCCCCGAGCTCGTGCGGTTGGCCTTGGCGCCCGACGTCGCGGCCGGCGTCGGCGGCGTGACGCCCTTGACGGCCATGGCGCTCGCGCCCGGCTGGGGCGTCGCGCTCGCGCTCGGCTGCCGGCCGACCTTGGCCTCGCGCGTCGCAGCCGTCGGCGTCGCGGCGCCGCTGCTCCCGCCATTTCCTCCTGCAACGGCGCCGCTACCGCCTTGTGCTGCGGCCGCTGCTGCTGCGGCGGCGGCGGCGCGCTGGGCGTGGCGCTCGGCCCGCTCCCGCTCGCGGTCGCGGTCGCGCTCGCCCCGTGCGCGGTGGTGGCGCGAGTCGTACCCGGCCGACGACGAGAGCATGTTGCTCGACTGCGAGCGAGAGCGAGGGAAGGGGGTCAGGGCTCGCCCAGGCCCCGCACGATCGAGGAATGAGAGGGACGAGAGAAGGGGGAGGGAGGGAATGAGGGACGCACGCCTGCCTCCCAGCCCTTGCCGTTGTTGAGCAGCATCCAGTCGTAGACGCCGTCCTCGGCCTCGCCCGAGTTCTTGAGCACCTTGGAGAAGAGCTCGCGCAAGAAGTCGTAGTCGGGCGTCTCCTCGAACCCGAGCTTGCGGACGTAGTTGAGGTAGATGGCGAATTCCTCTGCGGGGCGTGCGACACCGAGAGTCAGGTCGACGATCTCGGGGGCGACCACGAAAAGAGAGAGACGAGGACGCACCGGCAAAGCCCTCGGAGAGCTCCTTGATCGGCGTCGACTGCTTCTTCTCGCCGATCTTCTCGTACTTCTGCTTGTTGGTGGCCGCCCCCAGGCCCTGCCACGGAAGGCCGCCGCGGAGGAAGTACATGAAGACGTGGCCGAGCGCCTCGAGGTCGTCTCGCCGCGACTGCTCGCGGCCGAGGTGCGTGTTGATCGACATGTAGCGCGCCGTGCCCGACAGGCTCTTGCGCTCGCGGTACGGGATGTGCTGCTTGGTCTTGGGGTCGCGGTACTGCTTGGCCATGCCAAAGTCGACGACGTGGACCGTGTTGGCGTGCTTGGTGCCCGGGCGGCCGATCAGGAAGTTGTCGGGCTTGATGTCGCGGTAGATCAGGTTCTTCTCGTGGATCGTCTGCACTCGCGTGAGCTGCGCGCCGAGAGAGGAAAGAGGGGCGAGTCAGTCACGGCGGGCCGACCGAGGGCGAACGCAAGGGAGAGAGTCGACGACGCACCATCTGCTTGGCCGTCATGCACACCGTCTTGGTCGAGAACTTGCGGCCGCACATGTCAAACAGGTCCTCGAGGCTCGGGCCGAGCAGGTCGATGACGAGGACGTTGTGCAGGCCCTCCTGGCCAAAGTAGTAGACCTGCGGGACGCCGGCTGTGTGGGAGAGCGCGCCACGGGCGTGCGTCAATTCTGCTCACGGTGGAAGAGAGACGGTGCGAGAGAGAAAGAGTCGACGCACGCGAACCTGCGAGGATCTTGTAGGTGCGGTACTCGTCGCGCAGCTGCGGCGCATCGCTCTTGCGCGGCTCCTGCGAGGCGTGCGGCGTCGTGCGTCAGTGGCTGTTCGTCGCACCGCTTAGACGTGTCGTTATCCCTACCGGACGCCTGAATGGAGCCGCGGCAGGGAGAAGCCGTTCTCGAGGAGCGAGCGCTTGGGGAGAGGCAGAAGAGGACGAGCCGACGCACAAACTTGATGGCGACCGTCTGCGAGTTGAGGAGATTGGTGCCTGTAGGCGATTCGAGCGTGAGTACGGCGGTCCAGGGCGCGACTGGGAGGCAGAGAGCGGGGAGGAACGGACCTTCGAAGATGACGCCGAACGAGCCCTCTCCGATCTTGCGGCCGACGCGGAAGTGGACGCCGATGACGTTGCTGCTGCTCGACGAGTGCGAGCTCGACGCGTGGTGGGCCTGGGACGACATGGTCGCGACGAGGAAGAGCCGAGGGCCGATGCGAGGGGTGCGGGAGGGAGGGGGAGGAGGGGAACCGCGGTCGGTGAGGCTGGCGGGCGAGCGGGCTAGGCGGTGCGCGTGGTGGAGGTGCTCAGGCTGCACTAAGGCGCGGCTGCGTGCTGCACTGGCGGCGAGGTCGAGGCGAGGGGGGAGTCGAGGTGATGGAGGTGCGTGGTCGAGGCGAGGACCCGAGGTGGACGGCGAACGGGAGGCGCTGGGGGCACGGGGCGAGCGGTGTGGTGCGAGTGGTGCCGGGGTGTGCAAGCTGGCAGCTGCCCTAGGCCTGACCTGAGCGTGAGCGGTGTCGAGCGAGCAGCGGGAGCTGGGCGGGCGAGCGACGGGGTCCCTCGTCTTCTCGCGCGCCTCGCCTCTCTCGACAATCGCAAACGGCCGCGCTCAACTCTGGTTTACACGCACACGGACAGAGCACACGAGGGTCTGTAGAGTCAAAGAAGAGAGAGGCGCAAAAAGGGGAAAGACAGGGTCCGTGGCTCGTCGTCGTCGCTCCTCTCCTCCTCACTCGAACCCGGCCGCCGGACGCGCCAGCGTCGTCCCGATCCGGTACCGCCGCCCCGCCGCCTGGAGCTGCCCGACGAGCTCCTCGGCACCGCGCGCGTTGAGCTTGGCGAGCGCGTGCCGCGTCGCGAGGTGCACCGCCGCAGGATCGAGCGTCGCCTCGTCGTCGTCGAGGGCGAGCACGCTGTCCCGGCGACGGCGGCTGCTGCCGCCACCGAGGAGCGACGACAAGGACCCGCCGAGGAAGCCGCTGATGTCCGACTCGGACAGCGGGCAGTCGAACGAGGTGCTCGACGAGAAGCTGCTCGGGAGGGGCATGGTCAGTTCCTGCCCGCCGAGTCGCGCCAGGACAAAGTGAAAGGGGGACGCACGAGGGAGCGATCGAGATGGCGATGATCTTGACGTGCACCTTGACCTTGTAGTTGACGGTGAGCTGGCGCTTGTTCGACCCGAGGAAGCCGCACCGCGTCGCGATGTCGGTCAGGACCGACAGGTCCGAGTCGTACGACGTCGTGTAGTTGATCGCAAAGGGGAAGTGGAGCGTATTGCTGTCGGGGCACGTCCGTCGTCAGTCGACGGGGCGCGAGGAAGGAAAAGGCAGGGGAGCGGGCGCACTTGGAGTACTTCTTGATCGAGACGTCGTTCATCTCGCCGCCGCCGACCTTGTCGCTGGGCTTGGTCGGGTAAAAGGCTGACGCCTCGATCTTGCTAAAGTCGGCGCCAAAGACTGCGGGCCGAAAAGGTCAGGGAGAGGGCTCGACGGCGGGCGGGGCGACGCGAGGGACGTACAGTTGGGGTTGACGACGTTGATCTGGACAAGCAAGAGAGTCAGTCCGGCCCCGCGAGAGACGAGGAGGACGCAGAGAGCGCACCTTGAGGCGGACGTTGAGGTCGAACCCGTCGGTCGCGACCGTCACCTCGCTGCCCGTTTCCGGGCCCTCGATGCCGTCGAACCCGACATCAGGCGGCTTGACCCACACTGCGCAGATGACCCGAGTGTCAGTCGACGGTCGATTCGGGGCGAGAGAGAGAGAGGGGGCGCACAGAAGAAGGCGGCGACGATGCCGACAAGGATGAGTATGGCGAGGATCAGGGTGCAGCAGAAGACGCGGCCGCAGCACCGTGCGCGTCCTCCTCGGGTGAGGGCGCCGGCGTGCTCGTCTTTGCGGAACATGCGCAGGCCCTCCTTCTTGGGGATCGAGCCCTCGGCGGCGAGCTGCGGGCGGACGAAGCGCGAGTCAGTGAGGGCGGCTCGCGTCGAGAGGGCAAGGCGAGGTGGACGGACCTGGGCTGCGATGCTGCCTCGAGTGACGGGCACGGGCTTCTCCCACGTCGACGAGGCGGCCTCGTGCTCGTAGGCGCCGGCGGCGTACTTGTCGGCGAGCGAGACGTCGCTGGCCTGCGGAGGCGGGTAGGTCGACTGGTGGAGGTTCCTGCCGCCGGGGATGCCGTCGCCGTCTCGGTCTGGCGAGACAAAGTCGGACTGCGAGTAGTCGCCGTGGGCGTCGCCCTGGTACGGGTAGGCCGAGGGCGGCTGGTGCGCGTAGGTCTGGGCGTACGGGTCGTTTGCGTACGGGTCGTGGACGGGCGGGTACTGATCCGGGTAGTCGTGGTGTTGGTGGTGCTGCGGGTAGGCGTAGCTCATGGCGCGACGAGAGGCGGGCGAGGGTGGAGGTCGCGTCGGGGGTTGTGTGAGGAGGCGAGGGGGGCGAGGACGGCGGGGTCGAGTGCGAGTGCGGCGCGTCGCGGTGGGGGGGTGGGCTGGCTCAGGGGAGCAGCAGTGCTCAGCTGGTCACAGCTGGTGGAGTGGGAGGACGAGGGAGGGAGGCGGCGGTGCAGCAGCCTCGCTCGTCGCCTCGTCCTCCTCCTCACGCAGCAACACCCGATCCTCCTCATCGCCTCACAGGACCCACACTCGCTTGGGCCACACCTGCTCACACACTCTCGACAACCCACTCCGACCCACCGACCGAGCCCCACGGCACCTCGGCAGATGCGGCCCTCGTCCTCATCTTTGTTCACCGCCTCGGCTCGCTCCCTCGCACGCCGACCCCAAGCCTCGTTCTCTGGCGCCCGCGACCCGCTCGACATTGCCAACACGGTCGGACCATCCGCACCCCAGTTCGACTTTCCCCTCACCCGCCCGACCCTCCTCAAGCTCGACAAGCAGCGCCAGATCCTCCACTACCTCCGCCTCGAGCACCTCCAGTTCCCCGAACTCGGTCCGTCTAACCCGTCTCGACTACCGACCCCGACCCAACCACTGACGAGCACCCGCCCGCAGTCGCCTTCCGCCAGCCCTTCACCCCTCCCTCGTCCAAAGCCGTCGTCCGCGTGCGCCACCAGCACTACCAGGGCGAGCCCCACCCGGCTTCGCGCAAGGTCACCATCTCGGCCCCGGTCGCGTCCCTCCCGCTCGACTCGCCCGCCGCGCGCCACAAGTTCAAGCTGCTCGCCGGCCCGAGGTGGACGCCCGCCCTCCCCGGTGCGGCAGCACGGCAGCAGCAGGCGCAGGACGAGGGCGAGGTCAAGCTCGCGTGCGAGATGTTCCCCTCGGAGCGCATGAACGAAAAGTGGTGCTCGGACACGCTCGACAAGCTCGTCAACGAGGCCAACGTGCGTCCCTCGTTCTCTCTTTCTCTCTCTCTTCCGGAGCACGAGCCAGACAGTCCTGACTTTTCCACTCTCTCCTCGTCCCCCTACGCTTCCTCCTCGCCACCCTCATCCTCGCCCTCTCTGCCACCCGACCCTCGCGCCACCTTCAGTCGGGAGACTCGTTCGCCGACGTCCCGCTCGACCCGCGCCCGGCACGCGCCCGCCTCGTCAAGAGCCGCAAGCTTAAGCGCAACGTCTCGCTGCGCGACTTCCCCAAGGAGTGGCTCCCGGCGGCGGCGGCAGCGGCGAGCAAGTGAGCGCGACGAGGGAGGGACCGGGCGGCAGGGGCACGTAGATGACGACGCGCAGTAACCAGGGCTTTCATGTCACAGCGTCTTGCGCGCAGGAGAGAGAGAGTAACGCGGCAGAAGAAGGCTCTCTTCCGCTAGCTCGTCTCGCTCGGGCCTCGCAGGACGACAAAGCGCTCATTCCTCGATCGGGCGCGCAAGATGGTACAGCTCTATCTACATCTGCAAGCGTGAGAAACCCTCTTCTGCGCTGTCCGCCTCGGGCGCACCGTCCACTCCAGCTCTGGAAAACGCCGCCGGCTCCCTCGACCCGCCTCGACTGGTCGCTCACTTGGTCTGCTCGGCCTGCTTCGGCTCGTCCGCCCTGCGCGCACATACGCCGTCCCATCCAAGGACGTCAGTCTCTCGAACCTGTCGATTGAAAGGATGCATTCGCTCCTGCACGAGGGAGGAGGAAAGGAGAGAGAAAAGAGGGACGCACGCGAGGAGGGCCTTGACGCTGCCGACCTTGTTGGCGAGCGAACCCTGCTTGTCGACGCGCGTGCCGATGCGGATGTCTGCGTCGTTGCGAACGAGGTGCGCGAGGAGAGCGAGGGGAGCGAGAGGGGAAGGAAAGGGGAGGGGAGGGGCAAGAGGAGGACGGAAGGGAGGAAGTGTCAGTCGGGCGCACTTTGGCTCGTTCAAGCCGAGACTGGGACGCACCGGTCGCGATACGGGGCTGCAGTAGAGGGGAGGAGGAACGAGTCAGCCCTGATCCGTCGGAGAGAGGGAGAAGAAGGGGAGACGGACGCAGCCCATGGCGTGGATGGCCTCGTGGCACTGCTCGATGACCTTCATGACCTCGCCGTACTCGCCCTCGAGACCGGTGCCGTCTGCAGGGACGCAAAGGAGCAGTCAGGGAGGCTGTCGCCCGATCTAGAGAGAGAGGGAGGCCGAGGACGCACAGCCGTGAAGCTCGTACTTGAGGCCCGACTGTTCGAGGACGCGCTGGCACTCGGCGATGTACTTGGAGACGGAGACCTCTACGCCCATGGGGACGAGGCAGAAGTCGGCGACGGCGTGCATGGCGAGTCGAGAGCAGATGAGCGAGTGGGGGCGAGGGAGGCGAGGTGAGACGAGGACGGCGAGGGTCGCGCTTGCGGTGGTGGCGGCCTGCGAGCTGGTGCTTGGCTTCTGGCGCTTCTCTGATGCAGCAGAGAGGTGTCGAGATGAGCGAGGCGACGAGACGGCGAGCCGCCGCCGTGCGTTCGGCTCCCGACCTCTGACCACCGCCGCAGCTCGAGCTAGAGCCCCCAGTGCAGCTGCTCGCCACCAGCCAGCCCAGTGCACCGCTCGGCCACACGCGCAGGCGCACCCACAAGGCCGCTCGTCGTCGTCGCCGTCCCCCCGACTTCTGCCTCATCTCGCGCGGGCTCCCCTTCGTCGTCACGTCGACTTGGCCTGGTCGGTTCTGCACACCGACAAGCACCTCGAACGAGCACATACACCGCGCCCATCTCGACACGCCCGCGTCCCCGTCCTCGAGTCGCACCCGGCCCGACGGCACCCCACCTCGCTCGTCCACCATGAGCTACCCGCCAGCCTCGAGCTCGACAGAGCCCTCGCCAGCAGCTTTCAACCCTCCTGTCGCCCACCAGCCCCCGCCTCGTCCGCCCGTCCCTGGCTCTGGCCCCACACCTGCCGACAACCCCTTGTCCTCGTCCGGCCCGTTCACCTCGGCGCCGCTCATCACCTCGGGCGTCAACCTTGGGCCCCGCCGCCCCGACTACAAGGGCAAGCGCAAGGCGAGCGAACTCACCGGCGGCGACGGCGCCTCGAACGACGGCTCGCCCGTCGAGGACGACGACGACCAGGACGTGCCCGTCGAGCCGCAGGTCGAGAACGAGCTCGAGGCCGCTGCCGCCGTGCTCGGCGGCGCCGCACAGGCCGAGGCCGGCGCCAAGAAGAGACGCGAGTCGGACAAGGAGAAGAAGAAGGTCAAGGTGGGCGCGAGGGCGAGCATCGCGTGCAAGACGTGCAGGTCCGTTTCCTCCCTCTCTCTCTCTCTCTCTCTCACCTCGTCCTCCAACCCGTTTCCTGACGCCTCTCGCACCTCTGCAGGAAGCGCAAGGTGCGCTGCTCGGCCGAGTGGCCAGTGTGCCAGTTCTGCCACGCGCGCAACCTCGAGTGCGTGTACGAGGGCCACCCGGCCGAGAACGGCGGCACCATGTGCGTCCTCGCCTCCCTCCTTGTCGTGACACCCGCACTCGCGCGCAGACTGACACCTCGTTTGCCTGCAGGTACGCTGGACCGCCGGGCGTCACACCGGGCGGGAACGGCGCGCCGCTCGAGGTCGACCTGCCCTCGAGCGACATGATCCTCGAAGCGCTCGACGCCTTCATCACCAACCAGTGCGTCCCTCTTCTCTCTCCCCACACTCGCACGAAGTCGACTGACGTCCCCCCTGCAGCTTCGACACGTTCCCGTTCGTCCACAAGCCGAGCCTGACGCAGGAGGTCAACGAGGGCCGTGCGCCAAAGGAGGTCGTCTGCTGCATCCTCGCGCTCGCCGCAAGGTGCGCCCGCTCTCTCTCTCTCTCTCTCTTTCCTCGTAGTCAGAGACCAGACCTGACCCTCGCACGTGCGCGCAGGTTCTCGCCATCTCTGCGCAACCTGCACCCGTCCTCGCCGACCGCCGCCTCGGAGCACTACGCCGCCCTCGCCTCTCAGCTCCTCCTCCTCCCCGAAACTTCGCATGGCCAGTCGTCCAACATGCCGTCGGCCGACACGCCCATCTCGCTCATGCGCTGCCAGTGCCACCTCATGCTCGGCTTCTACGAGCTCACGGCCGGCCGCGACAACTCGGGCTGGCTCAAGATCGGCACCGCCATCCGCATGGCCCAGACGCTCCGCCTCGGGTTTGACGACGAGATCCCCGTCTACGAGACGGCGCGCAACCCGACCTCGGCGGCGTCGACCTCGGCGGCCATCTCGAGCGAGCCGCGCGACATTGTGCGCGCCGAGATGCGCCGCCGCACGTTCTGGGCCCTTTTCTCGCTCGACCGCACCGTCAGCGACGGCAACGAGCGCCCGTGCGGCCTCAAGGTGCCGCGCATCGCGAGCCTGCGCATGCCCGGGCCCGACGCCGACTTTGCCGCCGGCCGCAAGAGCGTCGGCGCCAAGTTCGACCCGGACCCGCCGGCGTGGAGCGTCTCGGTGCGCACGACGGCGTCCACGTCGTCGACGGCGGCACGAGCTGGGCTCGACGAGGGCGCGTCACCTCGTCCGGCGCTCGCGGCGGCGGCGGCGGCGGCGGCTATGGCGGTCGACCCGGCCGACGAGCCCGACGCCGACCTGTACGGCTACACGTTGCGCATCGCCGAGATCTGGAGCAAGGTGGCGAGCTACATCGGCTCGGGCGGCCGCAACGTGGACCGCCGCGCGCCGTGGCTCGCCGAGTCGACGTTCGCCCAGCTCGCCGGCGAGCTCGCCGACTTCGAGGCCAAGCTCCCCGACGTCCTCAAGTACTCGCAACAGACGCTCATCGCCCACTGCATGGTGCCCGAGGAGGCCAAGCTGTTCGCGCTACTCCACCTCACCAACGCCATGGCTCGACATGTCGTACGTCTCTCTCTCTCTCTCTCTCCCTTTCCTCCGCTCGAAGCTCTCGAGACGTAGTCACTGACTCTCTACCTCGACAGCTGCACCGCGACTACCTGCCGTTCCTGCCGCCCAACGACTTCAACGCCGCGCACGGACCCATCGACGGCGAGCCGCTCTTTGGCTCGGTCGACGAGCCGTCCGGGTGGTGGCAGGCGTCGTTCGACATGGCGGCCAAGAGCGCCAACACGATCTCGGACGTCTGCTCGCACCTCGCGTCGCACGGCATCGTCCTCACGCACCCGTTCGCCGGCTTTGCCGCCGTCGCCGCCGGCACGGTCCACAGCCACATCCGCTACTGGCCCCAGTCGAGCTCGGTGCACATCGACGCCGCGCACTACCTCGCTCAAGACGCCGAGATCCTCAACGGCCTGCGTCAAATCTGTGCGTCGCCCCTTTCCCTCGCCCTTTCTCTCGATCGCCCTCTCACTGACCTCTCTCTCTCTCTCCCTCCTTCTCTCGCGACAGACCCGATCGCCGCTCGCTGGTACGAGTCGCTCGCCGGCCTGCAGCTCCTCTACTTCAACCTCGCGCGCGGCGTCCTCGACTCGGACCCGTTCAAGGTCCGTGCGCGCGTCCTCCAGCTCCTCCGCAGCGCCAAGGACGACGCCGACATTGGCTCGCCGGTCCGTGGCGGCGGCGACGGCGCTGCGGCAGGCGCGCACGGCGCGGCGGCGGCGGGTGGGAGGAAAGGAGCGAACGGCGTGTCGGCGGCGGCGGGCAAGGGCGGCGCGAGGAGCGCGACCAAGGCGTCCAAGGGCGAGCGCGGTCGACCGGGCAACAAGCGGGCCGACTCGTCGTCGTCGTCGAGCGTCTACCCGTCGGTGCTCCACCCGAGCGAGCCCTCGCCCGGGCACCAGCACGGCCTGCCGCACTCGCTCAGCGGCCTCGTTTCGCCGCTCGACACGCCGCTCGGCGCCGGCGCCGCCTCGACCTCGACCTCAACGAGCGACGCCGGGCCCTTTGCGCCGCTGTACGCCGGCGCGCCGACGCCGACCTCGGCCATGTTCCCGCCGGGCCACCCGCTCACGTCGCTCGACTCGGCGCACAGTGGCCCGACGGCGCACCAGCACCACGCGCACGCCGATTCGGGCCCGTCGCCTGCCGACCTCGGCCTCTTGCCCGTCCCGGGCGACTTCTCGTTCGACTTGTCGGGCGCAGGCGGCCTCGGCGGACTCGGCGGGCTCGGCGCCTTGAGCACGCTCGACGAGTGGGGCGCCGGCTACTACTTTGGCGGGAGCAACTGGGGACTGGGAGGGTTCGGCGGCCTCGGCGTCGCGCCGGGTGCGTACGGCGGGCCCGGACCGCTCCATGGCGCGCCGTACGCAGGAGCCGACCTCGGGTGGGGCGGACTGTAGAGGACGAGGAGCCTCTCGCTTGCCGAGCTTGACGATGCAGTGGCAGATGAACGTGGTATTGCAGTGCGAGAGATGCGCGTTGTACGTGAGGCAAGAGAGAGAGAGAGACAAGACACTGCGCCCGACCCACAGACAGAGAGAGACATCTAAACGGACCCAAGACCCCCTCGCCCCAGCCTCGTCTAGCTCGCCGGACAGCTCCCGACCTCTGGGTACCCCAACGGCAACCGCATCGCCATCGACACGAGCGCGAAGAAGAGCGGACCCTGGCGGTCCCACTCCTGGCCGTCGGCAAAGAGGAACGCGTCTCGGACCTTGACGAGGTGCGCCTGGAGCTCGACGAGCTGCGTGTCCGAGTACGAGCCGAGGACCTCGTCGACGCGGTGCGCGTCGGCCTCGGGGATTGTGACCGAGAACTTGGAGTAGTCGAGGATGTCCTGGAACGGGAACATGTTGCGGTCGACGATGAACGCCGGGATGCAGCCCGAGTAGATGGCCTCGAACGTGCGCGTCGTCCTGCGGCGAGAGACGAGTGTTAGTCAAGTGCTCATGGCGAGCGAGGAGAGAAAAGGAGAGCGAGACGCACCAGGCAGGGATGCCTCGAGGGAGGAGGCAGAACTTGCTCGCGCTCAGGGTTCCGAGGTAACGTAGGCCGGGCGAGAACTGCTGGTACAGGATGTCGGCGCTCTCGGCGTCTTGGCCGGTGCGGCCGCACCCGATCTTGGTCCTCGGGAGAGCGCCAAAGCCGCGCACGCCGCCGGCGAAGAAGGCGAGGTGCTTACGGTCGAGGACGGGCTTGACGTCCTTGGCCGTCTTGAACGTCTCGAACAGCGACTTGGTGTGCTTGGTGACGGCCGGGACGACGACGTCGCGGTCGGCCTTGACGCAGCGCGTGTTGTAGTCGCCGTTGACCTGCCACGCGACGGCCTGGTCCATCGGCGACGGCGGCGAGTGGCCGAGGACGTCCTCGAGCTTGGGCCACCAGCCCGTGCACGAGCCAAAGTCGTGCGTGAAGGGCACGACGATGCGCTCGCCCGTGATGTGGTCGGCCGCCGACACGCTCTTCTCGGCGTGGCCGATCGTCTCGGCGAGCTTCTTGAACGTGTTCTCCTGGAGGTAGTTGTAGTAGCAGCCCTGCACGACGTGGAAGATGCTCGAGAGTGTCAGTTGTCGGCTCGACAGAGCGGAGAGGAGAAGAGAAAGAGGGAGAGAGAGAGGACGGACCTGGTAGTACGGGACCATGACGAAAGCCGCGTCGTCGAGGCCGACCGAGCGGTTGCGCAGCGCCTCGACAAAGTAGTGGTCGCCCATGAACGGCAAAGGGCTGCGGTCGAGGTCGTAGCACGCCGGCGACTTGAGGTGGTTGTCGACCTAACGTACTAAGCTCTCATGGCTAACGTACTAAGCTCTCATGTTTCACGTACTAAGCTCTCATGTTTGAACAATAAAATTAAGGCGTCCCAGGGGAGGGAGGCGACGCGCTCGGCGAGCGATTGCGCCGGCGGCGTCGACGAGGCCGGGAACGACTTGGCGTCGGTGTAGGCGACGGCCGGGAACGGACCTGCGCCGCGCGCATCGCCGCAGCGGTCGCGCGTGCACTTGCAGTGCTCCGAGGCGACGCAGGGGAGCGGCGCGCTGCAGTCGATCGAGCACGTCGGCTCGTCCTTGGCGGTCCACGTGCCGGCCGCGCCGTACTTAGGGACGCACATGTCGCCGCTCGACGACGACGACGACGACGCCTGGACGGCGCCCGACGCCGCCTTGGCCGCGCTGTGCTTGAAGCGGAGCTGGATCTTGGCGATGCGGTCGTGCTCGGCGCGCAGGTCGTGGCACTTGCGGATGGCGAGCGTCGACTCGGCGAGGGTCGTGCGGCCGTCCTCGGACGGGTACGAGACCTGCGACGTGAGGAGCGGGTCCTCGTGGAAGAAGTCCCACACGTCCTTGCGGCGCTCGGACGCGGCGCAGCAGATCGGGTTGAACTTCCACAGGAGGGCCCGTGCGCCGTCGTCGCCGGTCGGCTGGAACAGGAGCGACTTGCGGTTGGCGTTGGGCTCGCGGAACGTGAGGCGGCGCTTGGGCTCCTCGCCGTCGGGCACGCCCTCGGTCGGCGGCAGCGTCAAGGTGAAGCTGCGCGCGTCGCGTTGGGCGAACTCGACCGTGAACCACTCGGCGATCTCGTGGGCGCCCTCGCGGCTCAGCTCGGCGAACTCGCCGCCGGTCGGCGTGTCGGCCCACATGACGACCTCGCTCTCGCCCGACACGAGCTTGCCGTCCTTGCCGACGACCGGGCACCGCATCTGGATGTCGACCTTGCCCTCGAGCCCGCGCTCGGCCGTGATCTCGACGCCGCGGACGCCCTCCTTGTACGGGACGGCCGACACGAGCGACACGGGCTCGTCGTGGTCGCCCTCGAGGCCTTGCGAGCACCCGAGCGTGTAGTAGGCGCCCTCGACGAGCGTGAGGAGCTGGACGTTGCAGCCGTTCATGGCGAGGAGGCCCTCCTCGAGGACCGAGATCGACGGCGGCGACGAGCACGCGACGTTGATGCGCGACGAGAGGTAGGTCGTCTGGAGGCGCAGGAGGGCCGAGATATAGGTCCGGAGCGCCGCCTCGACCGAGATGGCCGGCGTGAAGCCGAGCGCCTTGCTCGCCGTCTTGCGGTGGGCCGTCTCGCTCACGTGGAACTTGCCGTCGGACGGCGACGCGACGGGCGCACGAGGCTGCTCGAGGGCGGCGAACGGCGACTGCGACTGGATGAGCGCGATCGCGGTCTGCGCGAGCTCGGCGAGCGGCGACGACGACGACGACGCCCTGCTGCTGCGGCTCGCCGACGGCGGGCCGACGACCTCGACCTCGCCGACGAAGCCGAGGAGGCGCAGGTAGTCCTTGCTCGACGCGACGTCGAGCATGCGCGCGCCCTGGACGACGGCGCGCGACGCGTCGTCGAGGGCGAGGAACGGCTCGGTCTGCGTCGCCGACGACGTGACCGCGACGGGGAGGTTACCGAGGGCCGACTGGACGATGTGCGGGACCGGGTCGAAGCGAGGGGCGAAAGGGTCGCCGACGATGGAGAAGGCCGAGGGGAGCTGGAGGAGGAGGGCGTGCAGAGGATGGTCGTGGGTGAACGTCTTGAGGGCGGCTTCGGAAGCCTGCATCGAGAGCGCCGACGCGTTGCCATTGTGCGCGAGCGAGGCCTGCGATGAGTCGAGGGAGAGGAAGAAGTCAGTCGGGCGGTCCTGCTAAAGCAGAATGCGAGAGAGGGAGGGAAGAGGACGGGAGACGCACCTCGTCCCACCGATCCGCACGACGAGCAACGACGACCCACGGGCGGTCGGCGGCGACGGCCTTGTCGCCCTCGAGCGCCGCCTCCTCGTCGACCCCCTCGCGCTCGATCCCGGCGAGGAGCGCCTTCATGCCGGCCGCCTCGACGTCCTTGCAGTCGCCCGGGTTCTGGCGACAGTGCGACGGGCTGTAGGCGGCGAGGTGGATGATGCCCGTGACGGGCGGGATGAACGAGGTGGTGGTGCCGTGGCCCTTCTGCTTCTGCGCGCCGACCGGGACGTCGCCGAGGGCCGCCGCCTGGAGGTGCCCGGGGAGGTGCGTGACGTACGAGCCCTTTGGGTCGAGGAGCTGGCCGACGAGGGCCGAGTCGCGTACGTCGCCGACGACGACGCGCAGCTTGCCCTGCTTGCGGAAGCTGTCGACCGAGCGCTCGGACGCCTGGAACGCCTTGGCGCGAGGGTCGGTGCCCTTGGCCTTGCCGCTCGCGCCGGGCTTGTCGAGCGGCGCCGACTGGAGGAGGAAGTTGAGCTCCGAGGTGCGGTCGTTGGCGTCGAGGATGGTGACGAGGACGTCGGCCTCCCACGCCTGCTCGTCTGCGGGTGCGCCCGCCGCCGCCGCCCACTCTGCTGCGGACTTGGCCGACGACCCGCCGCCGGTGAGGAGCAGGTCGCGCACGACGGCCTTGCCGAGCGAGCCGAACCCGCCCGTGACGAGGATGTGCCGCCGTTGGCGGTCGGCGAACGCGGCGTCGTCGACGTCCTCGGCGCCGTCGGACGAGCCCGAGGACGACCCGCCGCCGTGACCGAGCACGCGGGTCGACGTGAGCTTGAGGCGGTCCATCGAGGTGCGCGCGTCAAAGTAGGCCGGCCCGGGCGACGGGTTCGACGTGGCGACGAGCTGCAGGGTCGCGCCTTGTCAGTTGTCGCCCCGAGTCCAACCCGTCGGAGGAAGGAGAGGAGAGGAGGAGGCGACGCACCTCGTACAAGCTGCCGAGCTTGGGACCTTTGGCGCCGAGGCCCGTGATGCTCCCGACGCCGTCCTTGATGCGGCCGAGTCCTGCGCCGACCTTGCCGCGCACGTCCTCCTCCCAGCTCGCGTAGTGGTCGAGGCCGAGGCGCTCGCCCCAGCCGATGCCGTCGTCGAGGTCGGCGCCGTACTGGTTGGCGTCGTAGTAAGGCGACGGGTCGGGCGCCGACGAGAAGAACGACGCGAGGAAGTGGAGGAAGAAGATGGCGACAAAGGCGACGGCGGCCAGTCGCACGACGGACGACAGGCGGAGCATGGTGCGCTGAGCCTGCCGAGAGCGGAGGGGGAGGTGGGTGGGGACGAGAGCTCGAGGTGGTGTCGGGTCGTCGGCGAGCTGCTGGCGGCTAGGGCGGTGCAAGGCGGGACCGCAGTCGAGTTCTGGCAGGGCGTGCGCGGCTTGAACGAGTGGCAGGGGCGGGCGGTGGCCGCGAGAGGCGAGAGAGGTCGGCGGCGGGAGGCGCGTCGGGAGGAGAGCGCGGTCGGTGGGCGCGAGCTGCGTGCACGCGTGCGGGGCCGTCGAGAGAGAGAGAGACTCGCGCTGGTGCACTCTGGCCTGGACGGCGGCGATGCAGGGCGAAGCGGGACGCGTGAAGAGCGAGACGAGCGCGTCCTCTTGGAACTCTCATCCGGGGCGACTCAGCATTTCCCGTGACCTCTCTCTCTGCTCTCGTCCAGGATTGCGACATGCACGACAAGCACTGATCCGATTCCAAACGGGCGCGATCAACGGTCCGCCCGATGTTCAAGCTTCGACGCCTCGTCCGCCGAGAGCTGCTCAGAGCGCCTCGCCCTTCTTGCCGCAGCTCGAGCACTTGCAGCTCTCGCCGCACGAGCAGTTGGCCGACGACGAGCACGAGCACTTGTCCTTGCTGCGGGCGGGGCGGGCACATAGGGTCAGTGCGAGGTCCTCGGCTGAGAACGAAGGCAACGAGGGGACGCACCCAGAGGCGTCCTTGGACGAGCAGCCGCAGCCCTGGGCGTTCTTGTCCTTGCCGCCGTGGCACGAGGCGCACGAGCACTGGCCGGGAGTGCACTGCTGGTCGTGGGAGGGACGAGGAGGAGGGAGAGGCAAGGGTGCGGTCAGTGCGTGTCCGAGTCAGGCGGACTGGCCCATAGCTGGCGAAGGCGCACGTTGCAGTTGCCGACAGACGAGCACGAGCTGCGGGCCAGGGGGAAACGAGGTCAGGACAGTTCGGTGATGAGGCTGACCCGCTCCCTCCAACACGGCGGCGACGGCCGCAGAGAGGGGGCGCGGAGCGCAGGACGCACCAGGTGGTCATGATTGATGGGCTGTAGTGGGTCTGGTGGCGCTCGAGAGCAGTGGGAGAGGCGGGGAGGGCGAGGTGGGGGCGGGCGACGAGGCGGGAGGAGGGGAGGGCGGAAGAGAGAGGTCAGCCGGGCGTTGCGCGGTGCTGTGGCGTGCGCGGGCAGGGAGAGAGTGTGGCTCACGATGTGTGTGTGAGAGCGAGGGTAGGCGAGGTGGTGGAGAGAGGGAGAAGAGGAGCACGCCGCACCGCTCGTCCTCGACGACGCAGCTTCCTCTCGAAACCGCGCACCCCGCCCGAAAGCGCGCACGCACGTGAAGCAGCTTGGCCCTTCCGCAAGCGGCAAGTACCGCGATTACAGCTCACTCTGCACACGCGAAAGCGCTCACCGGCCTCGTTCTCGTTCGACTCGCTCGTACTGCGCCGTTCTGGACGAGGCCAAGTGAAGCTCAGACGCAAGCAGCGAGCGTGAGCGAGAGACGGTGCCGAAAGGTCGACAAGCCCCCGGCCCCACCGCCGTCGCCGTCCGGCGAACGTCTCCCTGTCGCCGTCCCTCGCCCTCGGCACGCACTGCGCCCACGGTCGAGCAGCTCCACGCATCCGCCAGCGCTCGCACCAGCCCTCTGCATGAGTGCCCCGACACCGCAAGAACCGCCAGCACCGCCCGCCGGCCCTCCCCAAGCGTCGTCCGCCTCGGCAGCTCCCCTCCCGCCCGCCGAGAGCTCTGCGCACGGCCTGGCGCTCGAGTTTGACCAGCACGCAGCCACCGAGCCTGCCACGGCGCCGCTGGGTGGGCCCGACGTACTAAGCTCTCATGGCTAACGTACTAAGCTCTCATGTTTCACGTACTAAGCTCTCATGTTTGAACAATAAAATTAATATCGCAAAGGAGGCGCGCTTCAGCGAGGGCCCGCCCGAAACTCGCACCATCAGCCCTGCGCCAACCCCGTCGTCGCCCCGCCGCTCGTCGTCGTCATCCGCCTCGCCCCGTCCCTCCACCTCTCGCCGCCCTTCGTACGCCGAGCCGCCGTCGCTCACCGAGACGCACAAGGACCTGCGCACTCTCCTCAAGTCGTTCCTCCTCCTCGTCCCACGGTCCATTCGCCAGCTCCGCTTCCTCATCCCGTCACCGGCCCGCGTCTTCGCTCGCTTCATCGTCCGCCAAGTCTCGATGTTCCTCCATGTGCGTCCACTCGCCTTCGTTCCTCTCGATCTCTTGTCCCCTTGCACCGTCGCGTTCGACTCGTCGGCGTCCCTACCTCGGCAGCCGCTGACTCGTCGCCCCCCTCCCCCTTCCCCTCTCCCCTTCTCCTGCTTCCCTCCCTGAACAGGCTCGAGGCGCGCTTGGCAGCAACATCGTGTACGACGTCGTCGCGTCGATGTGGCGCATCGTCATCACGCTCTTCTTCCGCGAGATCCGCTCGCGCGGCGCGTGGAAGATCCCGCGCGCCGCCGAGGGGCCCGTCATCTTTGTCGTCGGTCCTCACCACAACCAGGTGAGCCCCATTGTCCATAAGCTCCCTCTCTCGCGAGGATCACGAACTCATGCTGTCCCTCCCTCCCGCACAGTTCCTCGACCCGCTGCTCCTCATGAGCGAGGTCAAGCGCGAGAGCGGTCGGCGCATCAGCTTTCTCACGGCGGCCAAGAGCATGGACAGGGCGTTCGTCGGGCTCGCCTCGAGGCTCATGCAGAGCAGTGCGTCCTCCTCTCCCTATACGCGCCCTGCCTCGAGCACGACCTGACCTGGCCGCACCGCACCTCGTCCTCCTTCTCCTCGCAGTCCCTGTCGCGCGCGCCCAGGACTCGGCATTTGCCGGCAAGGGCACGATCAAGCTCTCCGACTCGGACCCGTGCATCATCATCGGCGAGGGCACGTCGTTCACCAAGGACTTTGAGAAGCCGCGCTCCCAGGTCCTCCTGCCGCGCAACCTCGGCAGCTCGACGGCCGAGGTCGTCGAGGTCATCAGCGACACCGAGCTGCGCCTCAAGAAGGAGTTCAACCGCAAGGCGACCGAGGGCCTCAAGGAGAAGAGCGAGGGCTCGTCTTTCAAGGTGCGCCCTCGCCCCTTCTGTTCTCCCCCACCCGCGCGAGCCGGCCTTGACGAACGCTCGATCTGCAGGTTCTTCCGCATGTCGACCAGACGAGCATGTACTCGGCCGTGTACCAGCGCCTGACCGAGGGCGGGTGCATCGGCATCTTCCCCGAGGGCGGCTCCCACGACCGCACCGACCTCCTGCCGCTCAAGGCCGGCGTCTCGATCATGGCGCTCGGCGCCATCTCGGCGCACCCGGACCTGCACCTCCAGATCGTCCCCGTCGGCCTCAGCTACTTTCACCCGCACAAGTTCCGCTCGCGCGCCGTCGTCGAGTTCGGCAGCCCGATCGAGATCCCGACCGAGCTCGTGCGCGACTTTGAGCAGGGCGGCGACAGCAAGAAGAAGGCGATCAGCACCGTCATGGATTACGTCGTCAACGGGCTCAAGAGCGTCACGATCCGTGCGCCTGACTACGACACGCTGATGGTGAGCCGTCGTCCCTCTCTCCCTCTCGCCCTCTGGTCGCGAGACCGGTCACTGACTCTGTCTTCCCTGCCCCGCGCCTCTCTCCCGCACAGCTCGTCCAAGCCGCACGTCGCCTGTACCGCCCGCCCGGGCAGAACCTGACGCTCGGCCAGGTCGTCGAGCTCAACAAGCGGTTCATCGTCGGGTACGACGCGTACAAGGAGGACCCGCGCATCAAGAACCTCGAGCACCGCGTGCGCGAGTACAACACGCTCCTGCGCTACATGGGCCTCAAGGACCACCAGGTCGACCGCATCGGCCGGCCCCGCTGGCGCTCGTTCGCCCTCCTGTGCTACCGCCTCGGCCTCCTCGGCGTGTGGGGCGTCCTCGCGCTCCCCGGCGTCGTCCTCAACTCGCCCATCTTCCTCGCCGCCAAGATCATCTCGCACAAGAAGGCCAAGGGTGCGTCCCCCACCCTCTCGAACCCGTCCTCCCCCGCCGTCGCCTCGACCTGACCCCTCTCGATGCTCGCAGACGCCCTCGCCGCCTCGTCGGTCAAGATCGCCGGTCGCGACGTCCTCGCGACCTGGAAGGTCCTCGTCGCGCTCGGCGGCGCGCCGGCCCTGTACTCGGTCTACGCCGTCAACGCCGTCGTCCTCGCGCACAAGCTCGCCCTGCCGGCCAGCTACCGGTTCTGGGCGCCGTTCGCCACGTTCGCGGGCCTGCCGCTCATCGGTGTCGCCGCGCTCAAGTTTGGCGAGGTCGGCATGGACGTCTACAAGTGCGTCGAGCTCTCGCTTCCTCTTCCTCTCGAGGAATGCGTCCTGACCGAGCTCGCTCTCCCGCAGGTCGCTCCGCCCTCTCGTCCTGTCGCTCGTCCCCGGCAAGGAGCCGCAGCTCATGCGTGTGCAGCGCATGCGCGAGGAGCTCGCCTCGGAGCTCAACCTCCTCGTCGACGAGCTCGCGCCCGCCCTGTTCGACGACTTTTCGGCGTCGCGCATCATCCCGTCGACCACGCCCGTCCCTCAGCGTCGCGACTCGGCGCAGGGCAAGTTCTTCCAGCACCCGCTCAGCTGGGTCGACGAGCTCTTCTTCGGCCCGGCGTGGAGCTCGAGCATGGCGTACCCGCAGGACCGCCACGTGCGCCCGAACCAGGGCGAGTCGCTCCACGCGCCCTCGACGGGCAACGGCGCCGAGAGCGACCTCGACGGCGCGTTCACCGACGGCCAGGGCACCGGCAGCGGCTACGTCTCGGGCTACACGACCGAGGAGGCGCCCGACTACGACGAGGTCATCCACATCCTCAACCGCGAGCAGGGCCACCCGGACTCGCCCGCCGTCGGTGCGCGCCCGACCATCTCGCGCCGTGCGTCGCGGCAGCGCTCGCGTTCGGGCCTCAACCTCGCCGCCATGAGCCCCGTCTCGCCGGCGACGCCGCTCTCGAGCGCGACGGCCTCGGGCGCTCAGGCCGGGTCGAGCGGCGCCGAGGCGAGGCGCAGGGGTGCGGCGCCGCAGCAGGACGAGTGAGGCGGCGGTCGGTCGCCGTCGATAGAGGTGTGGGAGACCTTGGAGGAGACAGAGAGGGTGCGAGAGAGAAGACGATGTCTCGGTGCTTACTGGTCCCTGCCGTAATTCCCCTCCCCTCTGCTTAGCTTTCTGAGTTGTCAGTCGTCCTGTCTGTCGAGCGTCCTGGGCTGTAATTGAGGTTCCCAGTCGTCGAACGGTCCGAGACCCCCACTTCGCTTTGACGTCGAGGTGGCCGAGCGGAGGACGAGAGGAGCTCTCCCTCCCTCGCCCGCACGCTGCACTGCTGCTTCGAGACAGCTCTCGACTGCTCCTACAACTGCGCACCCTACAGCGAGCCCTCTCGCCCGCATCCACCCACTCCCTCGCCCCCACCTCGTCCCGCCGGCTTCGACCTCGTTCTCGCCCAACCACACTCGCCCGCACCGCAACGACCATGGCGACCGACAGCGCCAAGTACACGCTCATCTACCACGCCGGCATCCCCGGTCGCGGCGAGTTCCCGCGGCTCTTTCTCGAGGCGACGGCGACGCCGTACGAGGACACGGCGCTCACGGTGGGCCAGGACGCGGTCAAGCCCTTCCTCGACGGCAGCTTCGATGGATCAGGTGCGTCATGCGACAGGGTCCTGCACGTCTCGGACGGTCCTCGCGGCGGGTGAGCCCTGGCTCGAGCCCCGCCCGCCGAGGTCGGGGCGACGCGAGGTCGGGGCGACGCGAGGTCGGGGCGACGCGAGGTCGAGACGGCGCAACAGTGTCCTGACCTTGCCTCTCGCTCACACAGACGCGAACCCTCTTCCCTTTGCGCCCCCCGTCCTCAAGCACGGCTCGGTCGTCATCTCGCAGACGAGCAACATCCTCCTGTACCTCGCAACGCACGTCTCGTCGCCCATCGACCTCGACGCCGGCGGCGCCGAGGGTGAGCCGGCGAGCAAGAAGGTCAAGGCGTCGGCACTCTCGGTCGACGACCCGGCGCTCTTCCACGCGCAGGAACTCGCCCTGACGGTGCTCGACCTCAACAACGAGGTGAGCCGGTCGAGCTTCTCTTCGTCCGAGCCTTCCTTTGCTCACGAGGCCTCTCGACCCCATGCAGATCCACGACACGCATCACCCGATTGCCGTCTCGGCCTACTACGAGGAGTTCAAGGACGAGGCGATCAAGCGCGCTGGCGACTTCCGCAAGAACCGCCTTCCCAAGTTCTTCAAGCACTTCGAGGACAGTGCGTCCCTTGGTCCTCGCCCCTCGTCTGTGTGCCGAGGAGCAAAACCCACATGACTAACCCGTGCTTCTCTCGTCGCAGACCTGCAGCGCTCCTCGTCCGACTACCTCCTCTCCTCCGGACCCTCGCACGCCGACCTGTGCCTCTTCCAGGTCTACGACGGCCTGCTGTTCGCGTTCCCGCGACTCATGGCCAAGACGCTCCCCGAATACCCCAAGGTCCGCAACCTGTACGAGCGCGTCAAGGCGGCGCCGAGGATCAAGGCGTACCTCGAGAGCGACAGGCGGCAGAAGTACTCGATGGGCATCTTCCGTCACTACCCTGAGCTCGACGAGCCCGAGGAGAAGTGAGCGAGGGCGTGTCGTAGAGTCTCTGTGCAACGCTCTCTCGACGTCGTTCTCTCGACCGGCGGTTCTCGAGGAGCAGGAGAGGGTCCAAGCGCCGACTCGAGAGCTCTTTTGCCTTTCCTCGGCTCGCAAGACGTCGACGAGGCGGGACCGGTGCGCGAGACAACGTAATGCAAGCGAGAAAAGCTACAGATCGGGCTCGACGCGCTGCTCAGAAGGCCTGCTTCTCCTCGAGCTCCTTCAGCTCGTCCTCGTCGAGCAAGTCGCCCTCACCGACGTCGACCGACCACTCGACGTCCTCGACCGCCTTGACAGCGCCCTGCTTGCGCTCCTTGAGCTTGCGCTCGTTGTCCCTCGTCGCCTGCGCGAAATCGACGTCGGCGACCTTGGGCATCATGGCGCCGTTGTTGGCAAAGCGGTCGGCCTGCTCGTTGCCCTCGATGCCGACGTGCGCCTTGACCTTGTGGAACGTGATGTTGGCGAGCTGGGACGTCGAGTCGGCGGGCATGCGCAGGGCGAGGAGCGACAGGATGTACCGGATCAGGTCCTGGTTGGCGACGGGCTTGCCGTCCGACGTCTTCCACCCTCGGCGGCGCCAGCCCGGAATCCACTTGGAGAAGACTGTGGCGAAGGAGAGAGGGCGGCGAGCGGTCAGTGCCTCGCATCGCCGGTACGACCAGGGAGGGGGAGAAGGGGGAGAATAGGGAGACGCACCGCCAATCGTGTACTCCGAGTCGCTGCAGATCGTCAACGGCTTGTCCGGGTGCGGGTCCGACTCGAGGATGCGGGCGACGGCCTGCAGGCGTTGAAGAAGAGAGCGTCAGTGCGGGATGTCCTCGAGCGAGAGCGCGAAAGGGGACGACGGCGACTCACATACATCTCGGCGCGGTTGTTGGTCTGCAGCTTGCCCGGTAGCCGTTCCGAGAGGTTCCTGTGAGAGTACTGGGTCAGCTGTCGAGGCTCGGCGAGGACGGAGAGCGGGAGGGAGAGAGAGAGAGAGGCAAGCGCACTTGTCGCCGACGTCGTGGCCCCAGAACACGCCGATACCGGCGACGGCGCCCTTCTTGCCGTTGCCCCTCGAGCTGCCGTCGCAGTAGACCCTCCTGCCCGACGAGGACGAGCTGCCCGCCGCGCCAAAGACCGGGTCGACGCGTCGCGCTGCAGGGCCCGCCTTTGCCGACTCGTTCTTCTGCCGCTTGACGGCGCGCTCGACTGGACCGGCGGCGTCCGAGGTGCGCTTGTTGCGCTTGTCGGACGTGACGACGGGTGCCGACGACGAGGTGCTGGCGGCGGACGAGGGGCCTGCACCGCCCGAGACGAAGCCCTCGGCCTCGTCGCGAGTCGGGAACTTTTTGTGGCGTGCGCCCTGGAAGCCGTTGACCTGGGCCGCGCAGTCGTCCCACGAGGTGTAGACGCCTGGCTTGCGGCCGACGCGGACTGTGGGAGGAGGGCGTGAGCGAGGACTGATGAGGATCGAGAGAGAAGGCGGGAACGGACCAGCGTAGAAGCCGCCTTTGGTACCCTTGGCCATGATGCTTCTGAGTAGCTGGAACACGGTGTCAAGCTGGCTGTTGGCGAGGGACGAGAGCGAGGACGAGAGGACGAGGTCGACCAACTCGCCTCGTTCCCCCCGCATCGTCACCTCGGTTGCAACCAGCCCGAGCAGCAGCGGCCATGGCTCAGGTGCGCACTCTGACCACTCTAAAACCCGGCCCCCAGCTCACCTGCCCCGCCCCACAGCGCTTCAAGCCCCCGGCCACCGAGCAGCGCACCGACCAAGCCGTCACCCTCCAGACCAGCCTCGACCAGGTCAAGGTGCGTCCTAGGTCCTCCCACATCATCACAGGGTGCACAGCTCACGACTCGACCGCCGCGCAGGTCCTTCTCGAAGCCGGCATCGGCTGCGTCGCATTCCTCCGGTGCGTCCACCCTCCTCGCTCGCCCTCCACGCCCTGTCTCGAGCAGTCCTGTGCGCAGCAGGTCGAGCGCAAGGCGTACAGGGAGACACCTGACCCGGTCTTGCCCCCCTCGCAGTGGCCTGCTCCCCGAGGAATCGTTCGAGGACTTCAAGCTGCTCGCGCCGCGGCCGCCCGTCTCGCGCAGCAGCACGTCGAGGGCGCTGACCGCCGACGAGAAGGCCAAGAGCAGCGCACCAAGCTCGGTCCGCGTCAAGAAGCTCAAGCGTGGTGCATCGGTCGAGGCCGACAAGCTGCTCGACTACCTCGTGCGTCCTGCCCGCCCCTCCTCGACCTCGTTGTCGACGCGCAACTGACGTCTCTCGCCCGTCCACCGGCACACAGGAGCTCGGAGCCACCGAGGCGATTGAGAAGGGGTACCTGCACCAGCTCGGTACGCCCTGCTTCCTCACTTCTCGCCCTTCCGTCCCTGACCCAAAGCCCTGCTCGCAGTGTTCGCCATCTACCTCGATCCCGATCAGCCGACCAACCTCGTCGAGAGCTACACGTTCACCTTCACGTACGAGACGGACACCGAGGGCAACAAGGTGCGCCCGCTGCCCCTCTTCCCCTGCTCGACAGCAAGACCCACTCACCTTGCTCGTCCCGCAGCGCCCAGAACTCGTCGTGCAGGACCAGCTCAGCGGCATGGTCATCTCGTCGAGTAGCGGCCTCGCGAGCCAGGAGGCGCCCCGCAAGGAGGGCGACGTCAAGCGCCAGGTCCAGCAGATGATCAAAAAGTGCGCTCGAGCCCGTTCCCCCGCCCTCGCCCAACCTCTTTCCAAGCACTGACTCGCCCCGCCCCAGCCTCATCACGAGCACACAGGTGCTCGACGAGCTGCCCCGTCGTAGGTTCCTCAACGTCCGCCTGTTCTACACCAAGGAGACGCCCGCCTCGTACGAGCCGCCGCATTTTCGGTGCGTCGACCCGTCTCTCCTTCGCCTCTGCCAGAACGTCTTACTGACTCTCTTCGTCACACAGTCCGGTTCCTGTCGATGCGCCCGGGTACATCCTCACGACGCCGTCGGTCGCCGACCCTCCCGACTTTGGCACGCTCGGCAACGTCTCGACTGGCTTCCACGGGTGCGTCCCTCGCCCACCTTCAGTCTCTTCTTTCCCTACTGACCTCGCCTTCTACAGGATCTCCCTCCACTCGGTCTCGATCGCGCACGTCCTCGACACGCCCTTTGACGACCGCATCTCGCTCGACCAGGCCCTCGAGCGCAATCGCTTCGACGCCGCCTCGCGCCCTGTCGTCTGGAACGCCGAGTCGCTCGCCGAGTCGGCCACCGACGCCGACGACAAGCTCAAGGTCATCGAGCCCGTCGCTGTGAGGGACGCGCGCGGCGGGCTGCACACGATCCAGGAGGTCAGCGAGGGCGACGACGTCGGTATGGAAGAGCTGAGGAAGAGGGTCGGCATCGAGGTGGGCGAGGAGGCCGTCATCGGTGCGAGGGGCGTCGCCGACGAGACGGTGCTCGACTCGAACCTGTCGGACAACACGGTCCTCCGCCGAGCGGTACGCCCTCCTCCTCCTCCTTTGCCTCAGCCAGCAACCCGACCTGAGTCTCTATCGCCCTCGCAGATCGCCTCGACCGAGAAGCGCGCTCCTTCGGCCGGCGCCGCCCTGACGCAGCCCGACCCGGTCGTCTCGCGCCAAAAGTCGTCCCACCCGCCGATCCCGCTCTTTGCCGAGACGGAAACGCAGTACCAGCAGCGCCGCGCTAGCGCGTCGCACGCTCCTCGGCAAGGCGATGTCGTCGAGCCCGGGCCCATCATGATCGAGGACGAGAAGCGCGACCCGTCGAACAAGGCGCACGGGCCCTCGCCGGCGGCCGACACCCAGCTGTTCGAGTGTGCGTCCTCCTTCTCTCTCCCCTTTCTCTCCTGTACGCCGGACTGGATCCTCGCTCATCCAGACTCGCCCATGGACGTCGACGGCGGCATCAAGGACGACTCGAACGCGCCGACCACTTTTGGCCCCGAGCCCGACACGCTCGAGACCGACACGGCGGCGCAGCAGTCGCTCAAGGACGCCAAGATGGACCGCCCTCGCCGCAAGAGCTCGCGCAGCAAGATGAAAGTGCCCGACGACGCCTGCGAGTGCGGTACGTCCCCTCGCGCATTCTCGCCCTTCCCCTCGTCAGGCCCTGACCCGCCCGACCCTGCAGGCGACAAGGACGAGGATGGAGGTATGATGTGCTGCTCAAGTGCGTCCTACCCGTCCTCGCCCTCTCTTCCACCCCGAGCCTGCTCACGACCTCTTTCGACCTCACGCAGCGTGCGACATCTGGAAGCACACGACGTGCTACGGCTTCGAGAGCGCCGAGGACTCGCGCGTCCCCGACACGTTCGTGTGCTACCGCTGCCTGTCGCACAAGGCGCTCGACGCTGCGGCGTACGAGCCGGACAAGGAGGGCGAGATCGAGCAGGCGCTCGCCGAGTTCAGGAGCCTGGCTCTCTTCCGTCGAGGTGCGTCCCGCCTCCTCTTCTCTCCCGTACACGCCTGACTGTCACCGTCGCACAGCCGTCTCGATCGTCTGGAGCGAGGGCGTCCTCACGATGCCGCAGCTCGCCAACCGTCTCGGTGCGCTCGGGCCTCTCCTCCATCTCGACCTGTCCAGTTCCTGACCATCTAGTCCCTCGCAGGTGTCGACAACTCGACGGCGGCGCAGTTCATCAAGCGCCTCAAGGCCGAGGAGTTCGTGCTCGAGCAGGGTGTGCCGCAGCGGCGCTCGCGCGCCAAGAACGCGTCGCAGGCCGGGTCGCTCAAGGCAGGCTCGCTCGCGGTCAACAAGTGCGCCTTCCTCTTCCTCTCCTCTCTTCCTTGTGCCTCCTACAGTCACTGATGCTCGGCTCTGCAGGTCGGCCAAGCAGCTCAAGCTCAAGGAGGCCCAGTACTTCGATCCCGGCCATGGCGCCGAGCTCGGCGTCGCCGACATTCTTCGCCCTGCCGACGACGGCGCGACCGGCCTTACCATGACGACGGCACGCGTCACCTCTGCGTCCTTCCGAGCGAAAGCACTGACCCAGTCGCCTCTGCAGGACCCGCTCGCCACGACCTCGACCGACAAGCCTCGCCCGCCCGCTCTCCTCGTCGACGACACGGCCTCGTCCGGCCGCCAGTCGCAGCACCAGTCGCACGCCTTCGGCGGCGGCGCGCCCCACCCTGCCGCCTCGCAGCCCGACCCGATCCTCGACGACTCGCAGCCTCTCCCGTTCTCGTTCACGACGCCCGACTCGATCGCCTCCCTCGACTCGACGCGCGCCCACGGTCATGTGCTTCCCTCGGCCAAGCGCTTCTCGGCGCAAGAGCGCCTCGAGGAGCCGCCGGCGAGCTACGTTCCGACATCGGTCGGCGCGACGGGCCGGGCCCAGGTCAAGGCGGTCGAGCAGGTGCGCCGGCCCTTCCGGCACGGCCTCGTCGACGAGCAGGTGTCCGACCCTTTTTCGCCGCAGCCGGTCTCGATGAACCTCGACGACAACGACCCGACCGACCTCGCGCCGACTCGCCCGCCGGCCCCGAGCGCGCCCGGCCCGCTCAAGCGCCGCTCGACCAACGACCTCGACGCTAAGCTCTCATGGCTAACGTACTAAGCTCTCATGTTTCACGTACTAAGCTCTCATGTTTGAACAATAAAATTAATATAAATCGAGGGCAGGGCCAGGTCGGGCGGCGAGAGAGGCCGGCGCGCTTGACGAGTTATCTGCTTGTTGTCACACGTTCGCGTTCCACTCGCCTTGGTCCCGCGTTCGGTTGAGAGTCCGCGAGAGTGAGCGAAAAACGAGAACTCGAGCGGGTCGCCAATCTCTCTGCGCTCGCTCCCTCGCGTACAGTCATGCCAGCCAAGAGCTTGAACGTCGTCGTCAGATGCTCGACGTCCATTTGAGTGAATGGAGCTGGGCCTGCACAGTCGTCGAGCTGGCTGTGCCGGCGCACGCTCGAAGCGCACGGCCCTCTCGCAGATTCGAGCTCCCTCTCTTGCGTCTCGCGCTTTCGACGAGCGGCGAGCTTGCTCCCTGACACGGTCAAGGCAAGCCTGAGGTGAACGACGAGAGCAGCGCAGCTGAGCGAGCCCGGCAAAAGCGCTCAGGCGTGCGGCTCGAACACAGAACGAGTCAAGCCAAAGTAAAGCAGGTCGCTTCGACCGAGAAGCTGACTGTCACAGCCTGGCTTGCGGGCTCTCGCGACGAGAGAGACAGATGCGGCAGGATGCCTTCCACGGAGAAGTCTACAAGAGGAAGCCAAAGTCTCGCTCGAGCACTGCGCCGATCGACTGCGTGTCGAACGGGACCCACTCGACGTCGTACTCGTCGCCCTTGATGCCCTCCTTCGAGTACAGTTTGGCGTACTTGCGGCCGTCCTGCGGCGCACCGGCCTCGAGCGCCGGGATCCCGTGACACAGGGACCGGCGCGCGCCGTTGGGCAGGAGGCGCGACGTGAGGAAGATGGACGCCCAGGGCGCGCTCGGGTGCTGCGAATTGTAAAAGTCGTTGGCGACGATGTCGAGCGGGGCGAGGGTGCTGACGGAAAAGTGGATGCAGGGCGTAAAGAAGTGGCCCGGCTCGAGCTTGGTTTCGTCGGGCGAGGCGATGATGAAGCCGGCCGGGACAACGCGACGATACAGCGTGAAGCCATTGGGAGGATCGTGCAGGAACGAGTCGTCGTCGCCGAGAGGCATGGCCTCCTCGCAGAGGAGGAACGATTCGGAGCGAGAGAGGGAGGGTGACGTGGCGCCGTGTTGAAGGGGAATAGGGACAGGCGAGCCGCCGCCGCCGAAACCTGCATACACGTTAGAGCCTGTGTGAGTTCTCGAAGCCTCGGTGCGAGACGTAGAGAAAGGCGAGCGCACCAAAGTCGCAGAACCACCTCCCGCCTGAACCTTCCCAGTCGACGAGGAGGCAGACGTGCGTCGTCTGCGACCACCAGCTCCAGCCGACTTCTGCCGGGTCCTTGCCCCGCTGCAGGTACACTCGGGCGCCGACCTCGCTGACCCGGAACCCGAAACCTGCGGGATCAAGGGCGTGCGTGAGCGACCGCATCTTGCTCGACGCAGAAGGGCGAGAAGTGGAAGAGGACGCACCTCGAAGAAGAGCCGCAGCGAGACAGTTGGTCGAGAAGCAGTAACCGCCCTGGCGCTTGAGCACGATGCGCCGAAAGTTGCCCTCGCCGAGTTCTTGACCTGGTCCGGCGCGCCACTGGATCGGCTCGCCCTGCCCCGCCTTTCCTCGCGCCCATGCTTCTGACCCGACGTGGATGGCACTCGAGTCGTACGGGACCGACAGGTGGTGCGCCATGAGGATCTTGGCGAGGAGGTCGAGCGAGGGCGGCTCGGAGGCGAGGTTGGCGGAGGAGGAGCCGGCACTCGACCAGCGAGCGAGGCCGATGCGCTCGAGGTAGGCCTCGGTGTCGGCCAGGTTGAGGCATGCGAGGCTCGGCGGCACGCTGGACGAGAAGTAGCGGCTCTGGTCGGGGCGGAAGGTGCGCATGGATGATGAGGAGCTGGCGGCGGTCGAGGGAGGGCGGGCGAGCGTTGGCGAGGGGCGGCGAGGGGCGCAAGGAGTGCTGATAAGCTCCTGGAGTGTGCGCAAGCGCCGTGTGCGAGTCACAGAGGGACGAGGGACGAGTCAACGCAAGCGAGCCGCCTCTCGCCTCGGCTCCTCGCTCACCCGTCGGCCCGCTTCCGACCGCCGCTGTCTCTCGTTCTCTCTCGTTTCGAACCATCAGAGAGCGAGAGAGACTTCTGGGTCCTTTTGCACTGCTTCTATGGACGGATACGAGATCGAGGAGAAGGACGGAAGAGAGAGGGAGAGAGAGAGGGAGAGAGAGAGGGGTTCGAGCGGCGCAGGGACGACGCCGCACGACGACGAGCTCCTGCTCGAGAGCGCAAGCGCGCGAGGACGACGACGGGTTACTGCTTGCCCTTGTGCTCCTTCTTCTTGACGCCCAGGTCGCCCTTCTTGTCGCGCCCGAGGTCCATCGCCTGCGCAATCTTCTGCGCGATCCCGGTCGAGTCCATCATGCCGCGGAACAGCTCGCTGCCGCTGCCCCAGCTGAACACCTGCACGTCGACGAGCGAGTGCACGCCCTGGTCGTTGCTCGTCGGGAGCACGCCCGAGATGAAGAAGCCGTCGGGCGAGTCCTCGAGGCTGGCGCGGTAGGTGCCGTTCTTGAGCGGCTCGAGCGACGTGGCCCGGCTCGACGGGTGCGTCTTGAAGTCGTTGTACTGGTCGACGGTCGCCGCGAGCCCGAACGCGGCCGTGTACCGCGGCTCCCACGTCACGGGGAAGCCGGGACCCTGAGGGCCAACGACCTCGGTCTGGTTCTGCGGGTTGACGCCCTGCGGGACCTGGTAGCCCGACAGGCCGCTCTCGAGGTACGTGCCGACGGCGTCGCGCTTGGCGTCGTCGGTCTTCTGCGCCGTGAGGTACTCGGTGTCGACGCTGCAGGAGAGGGCAAGAGTCAGTTTGGGGGAACCTGCAAGAGAAGCTCAGGGGACGGCGACGCACGAGCCAAAGACGTCGAACCTGTCGCCGCGAGAAGGGGTGGAACGTTAGTGAGGATCGAGAGAGCCACGCAGGGTTCGAGAGGTGGGACACACCCGTGAGCGTGGTCGGCGGTGACGATGACGAGAGTCTCGTCGCGAAGGCCAAGCTGCAGGTGAGCGAGAGAGTCAGTACGAGGGATGAGGACGACGCGAGGTCGCTGCACTTGGCGCCTGTAGGGAAGAGGAAGGGAGGAGAGAGCGAGGCGCACCTTCTCAAGGTGCTCTAGCGTGGCACGGACCGTGTCGTCGAGCTCGAGAAGGTCGCCAAGAGCACGAGGATAGTCGGCGATGTGCATAGCTGTACAGGAAGAGGTGTCAGGGGGCGTCCTGGGACCGGCGAGCGAGTTGAGAAGGTCCCGGATCGCCGAGCGTGCAGGAGGAGACGAGGACGCACCCTTGTCGATCGATGCAGCCTCGGACATCATCATGAAGGGCGTGCCGTCGGCCTTGGAGCGCGCGTGAAGAATGTCGAGCGCCTGTCGCGCGAAAGAGCGAGTCAGTACCTGCTCTCGGACCTCGAGTGCGCGAGCTCGAGACGGACCTTGAGCGTCATGTCCTTGAGGCCCGGGACGTCGGTCGTCGGCGCCGTGAACGTCTTGTTGTCCGAGTTCCACGCGCCAAAGTCGGCGAGGTTGTCGGTGTAGACGTGGCGGTCGAGCCAGGTCGGGAGGTTGCTGTCCGAGAAGAGGCCGAGCGCGCGCTTCGAGTTGTCGAGCTCGTGCAGGCTCGTGTTGGTCGTCGAGAACTGGTAGTTGCGGTTGAGGAAGCGGTCGATCTTGCTCACGTTGCCGTTCGACGCCTTGGGCACAAAGTCCTTGCCGCCACCGCCGAAGAGGACGTCGGGCCCGTCCCACTGCGTCCACGAGAAGTTCTGCGGTGTGCTGTTGAACGCGACGGCGCCGCCGTCGAGGAACTGGTCGACGATGTAGTCGTACGCGCCGCGCTGAGGCGTGTGGGCGACAACGGCGGCCGGGGTAGCCTGTGGCGAGGGACCGGGCGAGGCAAGGTCAGTACACGCCGGCGAGGCCGGGTCGACGAGCTCGCCAGAGGGCCAGCAGGCCCTCGCACGAGAGGGGAGAGACCGGCGAGGACTCACGTCGGCGAGGAAAGCGGTCGAGACGATGCCAATCTTGGCGTTGTACAGGCGGCGCGCCATCTCGAACACGGTCTCGAACTTTGGCGCGCCGTAGGGCTTGCCCGTCGAGTCCGTGAACGAGTTGAGGGCGTTGACGGTCGATTTGTGGCCGGACATGAGGGCCGTCGCCGAGTTGGCGCTGTGGGGTGCGGGCGAGTCAGAGTCCGCGCTCGGGCTCGACGTCCCGAGAGAGAGGAAGAGAGAGAGACGCACCTGTCGGTGATGAAGCTGTCGAGCGAGTGCGTCATCTGCATGCCGAAGCCCTCGCTCTGGTCGAGCTGGAGCCGCGACTTGTACTTGCCGTTGACCGTCTTGTGGCCGAGCAGGCGCGCCGCCGTCACCATCGACGGCGCCATGCCGTCGCCGATGAACAGGATGACGTTCTTGGCCTTGCGGCACTCGGCGAGCGGCAGGACGGTCCAGTGCGCGACCGTCTCACTGCCGCCGTTGTACTTGAGCTTGAGCTCGTACTCGCCCGGGTTGAACCTGCACGCACGTCGTCGAGTCAGACATGAGGCTCGTGTGCGAGAGGAGAGGGACACAGAGAGAGAGAGGCGACGTACAGGTTGACGTGGCGGTACGTGCGCGCGAGGACGTTCACAACGGTCGCCGAGTCGTTGTCGCGCGCAAACAGGTCCTCGAAGTAGGTAAAGTTGTAGCTCTCGACTGGCGGGTCCTCGAGGTCGTAGAAGGTCGAGATCTCCTGCTTGTCGGCACCCTTGCCGCCGATGTAGAGCGCAAAGTCGGGTGAGGGGACGCCGTTGTTGTAGGGCGACGAGCCGTTGACGGGCGCCTGGACCTCGATGCGAATGTCGAAGACCTGCAGGCGGTCGAGTCGACGTCAGTGAGTGACGAGAAGAAGGACGAGGCGAACGAGGACCGAGCGAGGTCGCACCTGACCGGCGATGAACGTGCTTTGGTCCTGGAGGGAGGGGGACGAGGGAAGCGGTCAGCTCTGCCGCCATCGCGCCGACAAGTGGAGGAAAGAGGGCGCACGGGAGGGTAGATGCAGCCCAGGTCGGGGCACGCGGCGGAGCGGCGGAACGTCTGCGCCGAGACGGCGGTCGCGAGCGTCGCGACGGCGGCGACGGCGAGGCTCGCCGAGCGGAAGGCGGGCTTGACCATCTTTTGTCGGAGGTGTCGAAGGGAGCGAGTGAGCGGTCGATAGAGCCAGCAAGATGTGGGAGAGGGAGAGGGAGCGAGATCGGCGACGGGCGAGAGAGCCGGCTCGTCCTGCACGAGGCGAGCGAGCGGGCGGCTTGCCCGACGGGGCCGCACGGTCGGCTCAGAGGGGAGCGACCACCCTCAGCGTCCCAGCAACGTTGCCCGCGAGCCTGACGCTGGCCAACCAGGGCCGCTCGAACGAGGCGAACGTGACGGATCAGGTCGAGGGCGACGGCGAGGGCCGGCTGGCGGCAAGGGGGGCGCAGATGGACATGCGAAGCGGCCTTGGCTGAGACCAGGCGCTAGCCAGAAGTAGGCATACTCGCCCCTCGAAGGGTGGTTGGCGCAAGGAGAGCGAGACGAGCTGGGCGCACGTTGTTTCGAGTTGGCCGCGGCTCGCCGGCTCGCCCGTCGGCAGTTCCGCGAGGGCGCAGACGCACACGCTCTCGAGGAGACGGACAGCTCTCGTGCGCGAGGCTCTGGGAACGTGGCGAGAACGCAAGAGGCTGACAATTCAGGGCGAGCAAGGACGGGCGAGCGGCGCAAGTTGTACAAGGTCGAGGGGTGCGCGAGAGAGGGGTATACCAAGACGAGGATGAGGGGCAGGGAGAGTGGGAGGGTAGGGTGTGTAAGGTGAGAGGGCGGGAGCGCGTCTGAGGAGAGGGCGGGTCGAGGAGAGAGGGGAAGGAGAGGGTCGTCGACGGGCGAGAGGTTGACGGTCAGGGCTGATTGGGGCGTCTAGAACGAGTGCTTAAAGACTGCGAGGGTCATTCAGTGTCAGTGACCGAAAGGGGAGGACGAAAGAGAGAGAGAGGGAGGCAGAGGACGCACGGTCGCCGTCGTTCTCCTCCGCCCGGCCCGTCTTCTGCGGCATGAGCGGCTGCTGCGCCGCACCGTTGCTGCCGCTGCCGCCGTACGTGCCGCCCGTCGCCTGGCTCCGGACCGGCTTGGCCGACGCCCACGCGTCCTCGGGGCCCTCGGGCTCGAACGCGTCGAACCTGCCTCCTGCCGCACCTGCGCCGACAGGCGGCGCGACGGGCGCAGCGCCGTTGATCTCGCGCTCAAAGTCGTCCTGGTACTCGTCGTCGCGGGTGCGCGACCGGGTGCGGCTCGCCTCGAGGCCCGTCGTGTCGAACGGCTGCTCGTACCGGCTGCGGTTCTTGAGCAGGCCGCTGCCGAGCTTCTTCTTCTGCGGCTTGCGGAAGCCGTCGGGCGGGACCTCGGTGCGCTGCTCGTAGAACTGCTCGTCCGTGAGCGGGTCGGCGACGGGCTGCTGCTGGGCGCGGGGCGACGGCGGCTCGAGGTTGCTGCGGCTGCGGTACAGGCCGTCGCGAGGCTCGCCCTCGACCTCCGAGTCGTCGACAATGTCGGCAAAGGGCGAGAAGCGGTGGCGCTGGTTGCCGTTCTTGGCGTGCTGGCTGCGCTGCAGGTGCTCGGGCTCGGGACCGCGGCCGTCCCACGAGTCGCGGCGGATCGAGTCGCCGTCGCCGTCGTTGTACGCGCTCGGGGCACCTGCGACACGCTCTGCAGGTACAGGGGAGAGCGTGAGTCGGGTGGACCGGCAGAACGAGATAGAGAGAGTGTGTGCGCACCGTCGTAGCGGTACGCCCACTGGTGACGGCCGGCCCTCGGGTCCTTGATCTTGACGAGGCCGGCGCGAACGGCCCAACGAGGCGTGCGGTTCTTGGTCTTGTTGTTGCGGACGTTCTGGATGTACTGTAGGCGAGGGGAAAGGTACAAGTCAGCTCGTGACCAAAGGAGGAGGGGGGCCGGCGACGAGGCGACGGACGAAGCTGCGAGACAGGCAGAGAGGTCAGTCCATGGGTTCAAGGGACGAGAAGAGGACGGGGACGCACTTGTGCCCATGGCCGGGAATGTAGCCGCAGCAGGTCAGGATGATGTTGAGGAGGCTGCGCACGAGGCCGACGAGGTGAGCGGGGCGCGCAGTCGCGGGAGAGGGTGGGCGAGAGAGGGACGTACAGGTCCCAGCCGACGCCGAACCGTACGAGGACGGCCAGAGGAGGCAGGAGCCAGCCGCTGCGTAGGGCGACGAGACCGGGTCAGCAAGATCGGTCGAGGAGAGGGGGAGGAGAGGAGCGAGAGAGGGTTGGACGTACAGGAACCAGATGACACCATGGAAGGCGTGGGTGCGATTCGGCTGCAAGGTGGGGCAAGGCAGTCAGTGATCTGACCGCTCGTTGGACATGCTGGGCCGACCGAGAGAGCGCCTCGGGTGGCCGACCGAGGACAGGCAGGCGAGGTCGGGGAAGTACCGAGCGTCGCCCGGTGGCCCGGCTGTGCCCTGGCTGCTCAGTGAAGAGCGGCGAGAGGCCTGCACATGCCCATCAGGCTGGCGGCGGCGAGACGAGTGGGAGCGAGGGTGCCGAGAGAGATGGGGGCGACGAGGAGGAGAGTGGGGGCCACGGTCGCGACGTCGGCCTCGAGGGCACCGGGTGCGGCTCGAGTGCCCAGGTGCGAGTGTGGTGCGAGGCACGAGTGGCCAGATGGCCCACCCAGGGGGGACGAGAGGCGGACGAGGTGTGGGGGTGATGAGGCGGCCGACGACCAAGGGGGGAGGGGACGAGACAAGGGGAGGGGGCTCACCTTGAGGTCCTTGCGGTTCTTTGGGATCCTCTGCTTGAGCTTTGCCTGGGCAGCCTCCATGGTGGGCGGTGGGAGCGAAGACGAACGAGGCGGTGCTCGAGCCGGAGCCTCTCCCTCCTCCTCCTCCTCGTCCCTCGAGGTTGTTCGCCTAGGGACGATGCAGCACCACGACGGGTACCCGATGTACCCGGGCCAGCCCTACCTCGCAGCCCCACAACCCGCCTACCACCACCAACACGAGCCCTTCGCACCGTTGCCAACCGACTCTCCCTCGCCGTCCCTCCACCGCCACGACTTTGCAGACCCGCTCAACTCGTCGTCCTACTTCGACCCGGCCTACCCGAGCTACGGCCAGCCCGCCCCTCCTCCAGAGGCCGGCGCCGTCGACCACGAACGCCATGCCGCCTCGATCAAGCTGCACGATGTCGACAGCCACGCCTACCGCCATTCGCCGGGCAAGGCCAGCCAGCTCTTCGGCACCTTCAAGTCGCGCAACCAGGTGCGCCCCCCCGCCTCTCCCTTGCATTTTCGTCCGCCTCCCACCGCTCACCCTCTCGGCGACCTCGTCCACAGCTCGTCTTTCTCGGCCTCATCGCGCTACAAGCCATCGTCGTCCTGGTCATGATCGCTCTCGTCTACGCCGTCGTGCGCGCCGTGCGTGCCCCCCTTCCCTCGAGCTTCATGCGCCGGTCGAGTCCGTGCCTGACCGTCACTTGCCTCGCGCAGAACACGGGCGATCTCAGCACCGAGGACTTTCTCGGCAGCGACCCTCGTCTCGAGAGCGTCGCGACGTACCTCGGCCTGTTCATCCTCGCCGTGTGCGTCCCGCCTCGTTCTCTCTCGGACCGCCGAGCGACCTTCTCACCTCGCCTTTGACGCCGCCCGCAGCATCTTTGAGATCCTCATCACCCTCGACGCCATGCAGAAGAAGAACATCATGACGCTCTTCGTCCTGTGCCTCTTCCAAGTCGCCATGCTCGTCTACTCGGCCGTCCTGCCCGGCCAGCTCGAGGACGCCATCCAGGGCAGCAACGCCGACACGCCCCACGTCCAGTCGCTCACGCGCGCCTACGCCATCGTCATCCCCGCCGTCGTCGGCGCGTGCTCCATGTGCATGACGGCCATGCTGTGGCCCCTCTACCACGAGTGCGCCCGCCTTTCCCTCCCTCCTCTTCCGCTCGTCGAGCGCGTCGACTGACCCGCCCTTGGTCTGCGCCCAGGTTCGGCTGGAACGTCTTGTACGACTGCGCCTCTCTCTCAATCCTGTTCGCGGCCAACGATCAGGGCACTGACCTTTGGCCTCGTCCTCTCGCCTTAAGCAAGCGCATTGGCGCCGACCTCGCGATGAAGCGCTTCTACGCCCTCTACCAGGTGTTCGCCTGCCTGCTCAAGTTCGACGCCTTCTTCTTGGTCGGCTTCAGCGTCCAGTTCCTGATCCTCGTGTCGGGCACGCCGACGGCCGAGTTTGGTGAGTTCCCGACCTTCTCCCTCGTCGCGACGCGCCGTCTCTCCCTCATCTTTCCGGACAGCGCACTGACGACTCTCGAACCTCGTCGCAGTCTTGACCATCATCGCTCTCCCGATCTCGCTCCTCGCCCTCGTCCTGTTTGCGGTGCGTCTCACTCTCTCCTTCTGGCCCCTCGAGCGCCTTGAGCTCACTCGACTCGGGAGCGCGCGCAGGTCGTCGTTCGTGCCGAGAGTCGCACCGGCGTCTACTGCTCGTTCGTCCTCCAGGCTGCCGGCATGGGTAAGTCGAGCCTCGTCGCCGACCTCGTCCTCCTCGCGCTCTCGGACCTCCTCGACCCGGACCTGACTCGCCCCATTCTCTGTCGTCGTGCAGCCTACTTTGCGTACAAGATCTCGCGGATCTACAACGACACGTCGAGCGACCGGTACAGCGCGGCGCGCGCGACCTTGACCATCTTTAGCGTCCTGTGCCTCGTCATGCTCCTCGCCACCTTTATCCTCATGGGCCTGTGCATGCTCAACTTTGGCAAGGGCCTCAAGGAGCGCAGTGAGTCTCTCTATCTCTCTCTTGCCTTCCCTCGGCACCGCTGCGGCGTCGACACCTCTCTCTCGATCTGCCACTGACCCTCGGACCTCCTCCCCTTTCTCTCGCCGCCCTTTGCGCCTCCTCCAGTTCCCGGCTACGCCTTCCGCCGCACCTCGATCTTTCCCTCGTGGTCCTCGCGCACGAAGCGCGCCTCTCGCCTGACCGCGGCCGCACCGAGCCACGCGCACGGCCACCTCGGCGCGCTCTCGCCGTCGTACGGCTCGTCGCCTGGGAACGCGCCGTCGGCGCACCAAGGGTCCGAGGCGACGTCGCCGACGGTCGAGGGCGGCGGCGTGCTGCCAGAGAGGAGCAAGACCCGCATGTCGCTTGACTGAGGGACCGAGCGGGACGCAGGAGGGCCCGTGTCATCACTAGCTGTAGCTCGCCATTTGTACCCTATCGTTCCTCTCGCCGTCTCTCGCAAAGACTCGAGAGGACAGCATGAACAGCCTCGTTGGCAGTGGTACATGGTGTGGAGGAGGGGAGAGAACTCGAGAGGCGCGAGGGAAAGAGGCGAAACTTCTAGGTGGAGGAGAGGGGGGGACATGGACGAAGGTGCGGGGAGCAGGACGCTCAGACTAGGAGAGAGAGGGAGGAGGGAGAGCTAGGCAGAGGTGGGACTGCAGACAAAAAGAGAGAGAAAGGAAAGAGGGAAAGAGGGAGGGAGAGAGGGCCGTGCACGCGCTCAGAGAGCCTTGCCGACGCTAGGCGCCTTGCTGCTCATGGGCGTCACGGCGCGCTCCTCACGCGCACCGAGGATCGGCTCGCCCTCGTCGGCGCCGATGCCGGCGCCCAAGATCGGCAGCTGCGCGACGCCGGCGCCTCGCGGCGCACCCTGGAGCGCGACTGGCTCGCCGGCGAACGGGTCGTCGTCGTCGTCCTCCTCGCCGAGGACGTGCGTCTCGGCGACATCGGCATCGTCGCCTGCGGGTCCAGGACCCTTGCCGTGCTCGTGGACCGTCGACTTGCGCCCGCCGTGACGGAACAGGCGCGCGCCGAACGAGGCCGAGCGGTCGCGAGTCGTGCCGCCGGGAGAACGGGCAAAGGCTGTAGCCGAGAGGGAGAGAGGACCAGGTCAGAGCTGCGCAAGAAATGAGGAGGCGAAAGAGAGAAAGGGTGGACGCACGGTTGAGCTTGGCGCCGATCGACCCGGTCCTCCTCGGCGTCCCCTGCTGCCGCCCGCCGGCCGCACCGCCGAACGACCTCTCGCTGCCGCGCGTCGTGTAGCGCTGCAGGTCGAGCGGCACGCCCTCGTCGAACACGTAGCCGCTGCCGACGCCCGAGCGCACCGAGCCCGTCGCCATGTCGTGCGTCAACGACTGGCCGGTGCGCACCTGCGCGAGCTGGTACGAGTCGCGGATGCCCGAGCCCGTGCGCCGCGACACGGAGCGGCGCGGCATGATGGGCGACGCGGCCGTCGCCGACTCGCTGCCGCCGCCGTCGGCGAGCGACGACGAGACGGGCCCGAACGCGGCGCCGTCCTTGACCTCGTGGTGCGGCATGGCCGGGTCGTGCACAAAGTCGTGGTGCGGGTTGCGCGCCTCGATGATGCGCAGGATGTCGACGTCGCGCGGGAAGTAGTTCTCGCGCAAGTACCGGAACAGGTACCGCGGCCCGAGCGAGAGGAGGATGGTGAACGCGAGGCCGAGCCACCAGTACGCCGACGGCCACAGGTACGTGTTGTTGCCCCACACGTAGGTCCAGATGAGGCTCGGCGGGAACGCGGCGTAGATGGCCGTGTACAGGACGATGAGGACTGGGCCGATGAGGACGCCGCCGAGGACCCACCAGTTCCACGCGTACGTGTTGAGGCCGTTGTAGAAGTTGGCGGCGAGGACGGCGGCGACGGCCATGACGGTCGAGAACTCGTACATGTTGACGTCGTACCCGTCGTCGCGCGCTGCCGTCGTGTCGTACGCGTAGACGAGGAAGAAATAGATGACGGCCGACTGTGGGACCGGGCGACAGAGTCAGTGCCGGTACTGCCGACAAGAGAGAGACAGAGAGAGAGGGAGAGGGCGCGCACCTGGTAAACGCCGTCGAGCATGTAGATGGCGAAGCGGACGATCCCGAACAGCTTGCCGCGGCGGCCGGCCTCGTACAGCTCGGGGACGGCCATGAGGGCGCGCTCGCCGACGTGGCGGTCAAAGATGCCGATGAAGATGACGGGCACGAGCGTCCAGAAGACGTTCCAGAAGAGGAGGTACGTGTACTCGTACACGGTCGTCGCCGAGTAGCCGCAGTAGAACTGGAAGAAGAAGAGGACGCCGATGCCGATGATTTCCTTGTAGAAGAAGTTGACGATCATGGTCGAGTTGCGGTAGTACGACCACGTGCCGTGGACGAGCAACAACCGCTTGAGGAACCGGAACTGGCCCATGGCGTAGTCGCTCGAGTTGACGGCCTGCAGGCCCTCCTCGCCGGCGACGCCGACGCCAATGTCGGCCGCCTGGATCATCGACACGTCGTTGGCGCCGTCGCCGATCGCGAGGCACATCGAGCCGAGGCCGTCCTTGACGAGGCGCACGATGAGCGCCTTCTGGAGCGGCGACGTGCGGCAGCACACGACGGCGCGGCACCGCGTCGCGAGCTCAAGGAGCAGCTCCTTGGTGTACAGCTCGTCGAACGCGTGTCGGAGCGACGAGCCGTCGATGACGAGGCCGTACCCGCCGGGCCGCTCGCCGTTGTCGTGCCCGACGATGTCGCTCATGCCCGATACGCCCGACTGGGTGCGGCGCAGCTGCTGCGACCGGCGGAAGCTGCTCGACCGACGCAGGCCGTGCGGCCGCTGCGGCGCGTCGGGAGGCTGGTGCTCGAGCTGCTCGGCGAGGCCCTCGGCGTCGAAGAAGCGCTCGAGCGCGCTCCGGAGCTGCGAGTAGGCCGAGTTGGGCTCGCCGTACCCGCCACCCTTGACAACGATCAGGTTCATGTCGCGCGACAGGAGGTTGCACGTCTTGGCGATGGCGATGGCCGTCTCGAGCTTGTCGCCGGTCGCGACCCAGATCTGCGCCCACGAGGCTCAAAAGGTAAGTGCGGGCTCACGACGACTCGGGCGACGGGCAGGAGAAAGGGTGCGCACCTTGATGCCGGCACGCTTGAGGTCGGCGATGGCCTCGGGCACGCCGTCCTGTAGGCGGTCCTCGATGGCGGTCGCGCCGAGAAGGTCGAGACCGCGCTCGAGCTCGTCCGACAGGCGCTCCATCTCCTCGTCGCGGTGCTCGATGAGCGTCGTCGCCTCGTGGAACTGGCGCTCCCACGTGTCGTAGCCGGCCTCGTCGAGCGGCTTCCACGCGAGGCAGAGCGTGCGCAGGCCCTCGTTGGCAAAGTCCTCGAGGTGCTTGTCGGTCTGCTTCTTGAGGTCGGCGTTGCGGTCGCTCAGGCGCTCAAAGATGACGTTGTCGGCGCCCTTGGTGAGGAGCATGAGCGACCCTTGGCCCTCGCCCTCGGACAGCTTGCGCAGGACGACCGACATGCGCTTGCGCGCGCTCGTGAACTCGAGGACGTTGAGGAGCTCGAACTCGACGACGTCGGGGTCGTGCGGCGTCTGGACGCGGAGGACGTCCTTGTCGCGGCCGAGGAAGACGAAGCCGACGTCGGCGGCCGCCTGCACGAGCGCCGCCTCGTCGGGCGACTGGGCCTTGTACGAGATGAGGCCGTCCTCCTCGCTCGTGAGGACCGTGTGGCACAGGGCGAGGTTCATGAAGAAGTTGTACAAGTGGCGCGCCTGGGTCGAGTCGCGCTTGGCGAGGTCGCCGTCGATGACCGAGTCGTGGAACGGCTGGACGACCTGGTCGGCAAGCTTGGTCTTGGCCTTGCCGTCGCCGCCGTCGCTCGCGGCACCGCCGGGCGACGCCTTGGCGCTGTCCTCGCCCTCGGACGACGAGTTGCTCGACACCGGCTTCTCGGGGACGACGGTCGTGTCGGTCGCACCCGCCTGCTCGTCGCCGATGTAGACCTTGCCGGCGACCGAGCACTGGCGGAAGAACATGGCGTTCTGCGTGAGGGTGCCCGTCTTGTCCGAAAAGATGTACTCGATCTGGCCGAGGTCGTCCGACAGGTTCCAGCTGCGCGCCGTCGTGCGCCGACCGTTGCCCTTGATGTCGTCGTCGCCCCAGATGTAGGCGGCCTGCACGAGGCGGGTGAACTCGATCGAGATGTAGAGCGAGATCGGCACGATGTTCTGCGGGGGGGAGACGACGGTTGAGAATGTCAGGGCCCGAGGTCGAGGATCGACGACGCCGACGACGAAGAGAGAGCGAGTGAGCGCACCTGGAAGGCGATGAGGGCGTTGGCCCACGTGATGACGCCGTTGATGTTGGGGTTGTCGTCGCCGCGGTCGTTGCCGTACAACCAGTAGGCGCCCTCGGGTGTTTTCTCGACCTGGATGTAGTGGTCGGCGAGCGCGCACATGATCGTCATCAGGGCGAGGAGGAACAGGTTGATGAAGCTGCGAGGGAGGGAGAGAAGCGAGTCAGTTGGGCCGTCTCGGACGACAGGGAGTGAGGCAGAGGAGGCTCGGGACGCACACCATCGGGTTCATCTGACGCTCGACCTTGCTGCGCTTGCTCGGCGTCGCGCCCGAGTTCATGACGATCTTGGTGTCGCGCCCAGTCATGCAGACGACGCCGACGACCCACTCGGTGTTGCGCACGACCGTGCCGCGCAAGAGCATCGTGCTGAGGTTGACCGGGCACTTGAGCGGGCCGCCGTCCTTGCCGAGGCGACCGTCGTGGAGCTCGACGGCGGCGTTGTAGGTGAACATGTTGACGTCGGGCGGCTCGGCGCGCAGGATGAAGCGCGCCTCGTTGGCGATGGCGGACGACGTGCGGAGGTGGGTGAGCTCGGGGACGGCCGAGCGCGACTTGAGGTTGGTCTCGCCGTCCAGGTTCTTGGTCTCGACGTAGCAGACGTTCTCCTCCTCGGACGTGGCGCACACGATGATGTCTGCGCGAGGGAGGACAGGGTGCGTCGACAAGAGTCAGTACCCGACGTTCTCCTTCCCACCTCGTCCTCGCAGAGGGCAGGGAAAGGCGCGACGCACCGGCAGGAACGCTCTCGTCGCCGTGGAGGCGCACAAAGTCGCCGACGCGCAGGTCCTCCCACGTCTCCTTGACCCACGTCGGCCGGTCGTGCTTGCCGTGCCCGCCGTGGCCGTGCAGGTGCGGGATCGGGATGTGGACGTGGCCGCCCGGCTGCTGCTCGGCGTTCGGGTGCCCGGGAACGTCGGTCGGCCCGCCGTGCGCCTCGACGTCGTCGGCCTCGTCGTCGTAAAAGTCGCCCGCCTCGCGCCGATGATGCTCGGGGAGCGGCGCCTCGTACGACACGCCGCCGGTCGTGTTGGCGCGGGCTCGGCCCGCCGCGTCCTTGCCCTTGACCGAGCCGTCCTGCGTCCCGGCCGTACCGGAACGCGCCCGGGCGCCCTCGGCGCGTGCGCCCTGGAGCGTGCCGCCGCCGGGCGCGACGCGCAGCGCCTCGCGGTCGCCGTGCTCGCCCTGCTCACCGACCCCGAGGGTGCCCTTCTCCTTCTCGCCGTGCGGCGCGCCGGCCGTGCTGCTCTTGCGGGCGCGGGCGCGCGCCGTGCGCTTGCCCCAAAAGCCCTTCTTGCGGCGGTGCTCGGCCTGCTCGCCCGCCTCGAGCGCCGCCTCGGCCTCGACCTCCTTGACGAGCTGCCGACGGTTGAACCAGTTGCGGATGAAGGTCGGGACGCCGAGGCTCTTGCTCTTCTCGAGCGTCAGGTTGTGGTTGCGGTACGAGCCGCCGAGGGTGAGGACGCGAATGTTGTTGATGGCGCGGTCCGACTGGTGGCGCTTGAGGTCCTCGTAGCCGTCCTTGAGGGCGGTAATGAAGAGGACGGCGATGAGGGGCAGGGCCGAGAGACCCGGGTTGACGGTCGTGAAGCGAGGGAAGAACTGGAGGATGACGAGGACTGCGCGAGAGAGGGACCGAGTCAGTCTCGGTTGCGCCAGTTGGTGTGCGCCGGAGCATGACAGGCTCGAGGGCAGTGTGGACTGGCGGAAGGGACAGGGACGCACCGAGGAAGAAGATGTTGGCGACGCGGCGGAACTGCTCGAGGAGGTTGCGCGGCAGGAACGTGACGATGTTGTACTTGCTCGTCAGGACCTGGTTCGAGCTGAACGTCCACCCTGGCGCCGGGACCTCCTTGGACCCGAGGCCGCGCTTCTCGGTGCGGATGACCCGGCCCTCGCCGTCCTTGATCTTCTTGGTCCACAGCGGGATCTTGGGGCCCGTGGTCGACGCCTCGGGCGGTACAGGGACGCCGACGAGGACCTCGCGCGGGTACGGGTTCTTGCGGTTCGAGTTGAACGCGTCGAGGAGGCTGAACTCGGAGATCTTGGCGAGGCGCTTGGTGAAGGCGTTCTGCGGCCCTCGGCGGGGAATGGGCGTCGCCGGCATGGTGGGGGCGACTGGGCGCAGGTGGATGACTGTGACGGACAAGGAAGGGCGACGAGTCAGTGCGGGCTCGCTGGGAGGACGAAGCCGAGGTGCTGCCGTCAGCGGCGCGGCAAGGGCCGGCCGCGGTGCGCCCGCTGTGTGCGGCGCACAGTGCGCAAGTGGACCGAGTATCGCTTGGCGCTGTCTCACTCGTCGCCCTGGCGCGCACGAGTGCTGCGAGATGGCCGAGATCGCGAGGGAACGATGAGACTCACCGACTGGGCCAGAGAGGGCGAGTCGAGCACCGGGACGCACGGCTTGAGGTCGCAGTCGGCCTTGGAGGCTACTCGAGTGGGTCGCTGCGCGGCCTGGTGCGGCAGGCGCGAGCGAGCGCGGCGGCGGCGATGCCGAACCTTGGTGGGAGGTCGGAGAGCTGAGAGGCGAATGGGAGGCCGAGGGCGACTCGAGGCTGGTGCGAGCGGGTGCACAGGGCCTTGTCGATGTGCTGCCAGGCGATGCCGAGAGTGTCGGCCGGCAGCAGGTTACGGAGCGAGAGGGGCGAAGGTGCTCGGCGAGAGTGGAGCCTTGCAGCTTGCACGAGGCGGGAAACCCTCACGCTCGCTCGCCGGACGCTCTCGTACTCTCGGCCTCTCGGCCCATCCTGCCCAATCGCTCGACGCCGACCCTTGCACGCTCTACACGGCCCGCGTTGCCCCTCCCTCGCTCGTCGAACCGCCTCCTCTCGCCCTCACTCGACGACGTCGGCGTTCGCTGTCGGGCTCGGCGCCCTGCTCGAGTCGACAAAGTGCGCGTCGTCGGCGTACAGCAGCAGGCGACCGTGCCATCTGCCCTCACCTGCGGTCGCTCAGAGGGTCAGTGCCTGTCGCTCAAGGAGAGAGAGCGAGAGAGAGCCGTCGCACGGACCTTTGCCGTCCTCGAGCCAGTCCATCTCGACCACCGTCCTCGAGCAGTTGCCAATCCTCCTCGCGCCCGTCTTGAGCGCGTGCGCTTCGGCCTCGGGCAGGCACAGCTCAAACGAGCGCCCGCCGCCCTTCTCGACGGGGAGCACGTCCTGCGCCGCGAGCGAAGAGATGAAGTCGCGGATGGCGGCGCCGTGCGAGACGTAGAGGATCTGCTTGGCGGCAGCCCGATGCGAGGAGGGGGCGGTCGTGCTGTTCGAGAAGGTGGAGCACGGCGGCGGCGGGGCGAGTGAGGAAGTTGAGGAGGCGGGGGACGTCGGCTCGGGGCCGGAAGGGGGAAAAGCGGCGTCCCAGAACGACCATAGTCGTGCGCGCAGTTGCGGGATGGGCTCGACGGTCGACGGGTCGGCACCTGGATCGCCTCGGCGTTTGCCCTGCGAGAAAGCGAGTTCAGCGATCGTGCATCTGCGTCCGGACGTCGAGGGATTGGCGCACTTGCATAGCGCCGAGATGCTGCGGGCAGGGTGTTCGCGTGTGAGCTAGTCACCTCGTGCAGGAGGAGGGGAAGGGCATGTGGGACGCACCCTCTCACGGATCCGCTCGTCGAGGGCCAGCTGCGGCGGATGCCGCTGCGACTCCAAGATTGTATCGGCCGTCTGCGCAGACATTTGTGAGTCAGTCCCACTCATTCTGAGAGAGCAGGAAGGGGCAGGAAGGGGAGGGAGCGCACCGTTCTCGCCCTCGCCAAGTCGCTGCTCCACGCCTCGTCGAAGCACACGCCCTGCGCCGCAAACCAGCGCCCGGTGACCTGGGCCTGCGCAACGCCCTGCGCGTTAAGCGGCACGTCGAGGTGGCCCTGCACGATCCCGGCCTTGTTGTAGTCCTGCGCGAGGGAAGGTGCTCGTGAGCGGGCGGATCAGGCCGCGTCCAGGAACGCGACTGCGCCGCCATGTGCGCATGAGTCACTCGTGCGAATCGGAGAGAGGGGAACGGACCGTCTCGCCGTGTCGCTGTGCACAGGAAGGTCGAGGGAGAGGGAGAGGAAGGCTCGTCAGGATGCGCCGAGGGAAGGGCGAGGGAAGGTGTGGCTGAACGCACCACGATGGTCACGAGGGTCGTTCGAGGCATGCTCAGGAGACCGAGTAGGCTCTGGCGGTAGGCACAAAGTCGAAGAACGCTGTCAGCCGAGGAGCGAGTGGTTCGAGCGAGAGGAAGAGGAGTGGGGAGAGGAGGAGTGGGTTGCAGCTCATCGCACCGCCGCTACGTGCAAGCCGAGCCTCGCCATGGCCCGTACGAGCTGCTGCGAGCACCCATCCGGACCCACGTCCTCTTCTGCCACGACCCGAGGCCGTCCTCGCCTCGTCACCCTCGCCTCGACTTGATGAGCCGACGCGACAACCACACCGCGCGCCGAGCTTCTGATACCGCCCAGCTCGACATCGGCATCGCTCAAGCACCCGGCCGCAACGGCGTGCAGCCTCGAGGCGTCGTCGTCGTTCGCGTGGCTCCTCCCCCCGGGCTCCCCTCGGCGCAGGTCCGTCCCTCTCGCCCTCCCACGTCCCGGTCGCCTCCTGTGCGCCACAGTACTGACTGACCTTGTCTCTGCAGCACCCGCCAAGCTTCCTCGCCTGCGCGTCGAGATCCAGGCCCAGTCGCCCGCTCTCGGACCACCTGTCGCGCTTCTCGAACCTCGACCCGCACCTGTCGCCGCCTGCGCACATGCTCGACGTGCGTCCTCTCGCCTTTCCTCGACCCTGTCGTCCGACCGAGTCGCGCAGAGCCTGCGAGCGCTCATCCTCGGGTCCCGCTTCCGCCGCGCAGGTTCGGCAAGACCTCGTCCGTCACCCCTCGTGCGCTCGCTCGCGACCGGTCCGGCAAGCGTCACGTTCAGTCGATGTTCAGGGTCGACCGCACGAGCCGACGTCCACCTGGACCGCGCCACAACAAGGGCGCGCAACTCGCGCCGTTCCCCTTCCACGCACTCGTCCTCTTGTCCCTCTCCTTCTCTCGCCGAGTAGATCTCTCGCCTGCATTGGCATCTGCAATATGCAGAGACCTTGGACACACTCTTCCTGCGCTCCCACTCTCCGCCGTCCCTCGTTGTGAAAGCTTCGACGACGCAGAGAAGGAAGGAGAGCTTTCTCGAGCGCGAGACGGAGTGACAAGGCGACGGAACGTGACGCTTTCTCGTTTCTAAGGCTCCTCTAGACTACACACAGGACGGAGCGCTACTTGCCCTTGAACTCGTACCCGCCCTCGCGCGCCTTGACGACGTGCTCGAGCTGGTCGAGGACCGTGCCGTCGGGCTTTTCGAGGCCGGCGGTGACCTTGTCGCCCTCGGCGATGGGGCCGACGCCTTGAGGCGTGCCTGTTGCGATGATCGACACGAGGGTCAGCTGACCTCGCTCGCCTCGAAGCCGAGGAGAGGACGAGGGAGAGGAGAGAGGACGCACCGGTCAAGATGAGGTCGCCCTCCTCGAGCGTCATGATGCCCGACACGTGCTCGATGAGCTGCGGGATGCGGTACAGCATGAGCCCGGTCGAGTCGTCCTGCTTGGTCGAGCCGTTGATCTTTGTCGGGCGGAGCGAGTGCGGGCGAGCGAAGGGAGGTGGGGAGGGGAGGGAGAGTCGAGTGGAAGAGTGGGAAAGAGAGAGAGAGAGAGTCAGGCACATGCTCGAGACACTGTAGACCCAGTCGGCGAGGAATCCGAGACGTACCTTGTACCACAGGCGCAGGTTGTGCGGGTCCTCGATCTCGCTCTTGGGGATAAACTTGCCGACGGGGCAGAACGTGTCGAAGCCCTGCGTGTTCGGCGCTCGTCAGATCGTGATGAGCGCGGCGTCGACATACTGTTGGCGGCCGAGAGGATGAGCGAGACGGGGCGCACCTTGGCCGCACTCCATGGAAGACCTTTGGCCTTGACGGCGTCCTGCATGTTGCGGCCGGTGTAGTCGATAGCGAGCGTCTGCGGGAGGGACCTGTGTCAGTTCGTGTAGGTCGAGAGAGCCGTCGAGGGTGCAGGGCCGCACGTAACCGGCGACATGGTCGAGCGCGTTGGCGGCCGAGATGTCGCGGCCGCCCTTGCCGATGACGACGCCGAGCTCGACTGGAGGTGCGCGTTCGAGATGAGAGTCAGTTGACGCTGCGGGCGGTGGGCACAGGGAGAGCGGGACGGACCCTCGTGGTGGACGACGACTCCCCGCGGGATCTCGACCTTGGAGTCGGGGGTGAGGGCGTACGAGGACGTGGGCTTGAGGAAGAAGAAGGGCTCTGTCGGGGTGGCGTTGTTGAGCTCCTTGATGTGGGCGGCGTAGTTGCGCCCAATGGCGATGCACTGCGGGCGAGCGAGGCGGTCGTGAGCCGGGGGCGGGGGCGGAGGAGGGGAGGAGAGGAGGCGGCGACGCGCGAGAGGTGGGCGAGAGGGGGGCGCACCTTTTTGCCCCTTGTGGCGAACTGTGCTGCGATTGTCGACATGCCTGGCCCGTGGTCAGAGGTTGAAGACGAGGCGAGAGATGACGACGCAGCCGAGCAGCTCTCCTCGCTCCACTCTCCTCCTCACTCGCTCAGGAGCACCACAGCCTCGCACGATGAGTCCAGACGACGCACGCTACCGCCTGTCGGCCACCCTCGCCGCCCACGCAGCCGACGTGCGCGCCCTCGCCTCGACCCCACGCGCGACCCACAACGGCGGCGCAACCACCCGGATGCTCCACAGCTACAACGCCTCGGTCCCCGTCCTCTTCTCGGCATCCCGCGACGGGTCCGCTCGCAGCTGGATCACGAGGCCGGGCGACGCGGCGGCCGGGCCAGGGTGGAGCGAGGGCCAGCTCTTCGGCGGCCAAGAGACGGCGACCGGCCACGAGGGCTTTGTCAACGCTGTCGAGTGGACGCCCCAGACCGCCGAGGAGGCGCTCGGAGGTGCGTCGCAGGCTTTTCCCCCTCTCTCTCAGCGACTCGGGCGTCAAGTGGGGGCAGCACACAGCTCGCCACCCTTTGCCGCCCTTGAAGTATGGGCAGCGCCTGACCTCGTGCACCATTCCTCGCAGGCTACCTCCTCACCGGCGGGCAGGACCAGCTCATCCACGCCTGGCCGCTCCCCTCCCCCTCGACCCTCTCCTCGCTCGACCCGTCCTCCGCACCGCCCAACTCGCCCAGCCACACGCTCATCGGCCACGAGGCCAACGTGTGCGCCCTCCACGTCAGCAAGGACGGCAAGCGCATCGTCAGCGGCAGCTGGGACAAGTGAGTCGCCCTCCTCCTCGTCCCTCAACCTGTCCCCGACGGGCGGCGTGAGCGTGCGAGACAGCGACTGACTCGTGCGCATTCCCCCGACACAGGACGGCCAAGGTCTGGAAGGACTGGCAGCTCGCGTACACGCTCAAGGGCCACGAGCAGAGCGTGTGGGCCGTCCTCGCGCTCGAAAGCGACGGCTCGGCAGACCAGGAGGACCTCGTCTTGACCGGTGCGCCTCCCTTTCTCTTCACTCCTGGTCAGCCTCTTCCGGAGCGGCGTCCTGACGAAGGTCCCGCACGAGCAGGCGCCGCCGACAACCTCATCCGCCTGTTCCAGCGCGACAAGCTCGTCAAGACGTTCAAGGGCCACACGCAGGCCGTGCGCGCGCTCGCCAAGCTCGACAAGAGCGCAGGCGGCGGCGAGGGCGAGGGCTGGTTCGCGAGCGGGAGCAACGACGGGTGAGCCGGCCGGTTCCGCTCGTGTCGAGGTCGGGTGCTTGCCGCGCCTACTCTCGGCTCAAAGGTCTGCTCCTTGGTTGTGCTCACATCTTTTCGTCGTCTCGCAGCACCATTCGGCTCTGGTCCCTCTTGACCGGCGACTGCGTCCACACCCTGTCGGGCCACGACTCGTTCGTCTACTCGCTCGCGACCATCCCCGACTCGCTCGGCGGCGGGCTCGTCTCGGGCGGCGAGGACCGCACCGTCCGCATCTGGCGCGCAGAAGACGGCGAGTGCATCCAGACGATCGTCGTGCCGGCCGTTTCGGGTGCGTCCCCTGCTCGCTCCTCTCGGCGAGGCTCGTCCTCTCTCCTCCTCGAGCGCGAACTGACTTGTCCTCCCCCTCTCTGCGCAGTCTGGTGCGTCAACGTCCTCGCCAACGGCGACATCTCGGCGGGCGCCTCGGACGGCAACGTGCGGGTCTACACCCGCAGCAAGGAGCGTGTCGCGAGCGAGGTCGACTTGGCCGTGCGTCCCCCTCCTCTCCTTCTCCTCTCCCTTCCAGCCAAGCATGTACTGACGTTGCGCACGAGCAGGAGTACGAGGAGCAAGTGTCCAAGACGGCTCTCAACTCGTGAGTCAGGTGCCGCTCGAGCCTCCTGCGCCTCGTCCTCGAGGTCGTCGCCCGGCGGGTGCGCCCGCAAGTCCGCCACTTACGCCTTCCCTCTGCCTGCAGGTCCCAGATCGGCGACCTCAAGAAGAGCGACCTGCCCGGGCCCGAGGCGCTCGACGAGCCGGGCACCAAGGAGGGCCAGGTCAAGATGGTCCGGACTGTCGGCGGCACGGTCGAGGCGTACCAGGTGCGCCCTGCTCCCACCCCTCCTCTTTCTTCTCGCGCACCTCGCTCACCCCTCTTTGTCGCTCGCAGTGGTCGGCGGGCTCGCGCTCGTGGCAGAAGATCGGCGAGGTGACCGACGCCGTCGGCTCGTCGCGCAAGCAGCTCTACCAGGGCCGCGAGTACGACTACGTGTTCGACATCGACCTCGGCGGCGGCGCGCCCATGCTCAAGCTCCCGTACAACACGAACCAGAACCCGTACGCCGCCGCGCAAGACTTCCTCAACGCCAACGAGCTCCCGATGGGCTACATCGACCAAATCGCCGCCTTCATCGAGCAGAACACGGGCGGCGTCAAGCTCGGCGGCAGCGGCAACGTCGACCCGTTCACCGGCACCAGCAGCTATCGCTCGACGACCGGCGGCGCAGGTGCGGGAGCAGGAGCAGGAGGAGGCGTCGACCCTTTCACTGGCGGGAGCAGCTACCGGTCGGCGGGAGCAGGAGCGAGTGCGGGAGGCTTCTCTGGCGACCCTTACACCGGTGCGTCCCGTTTCCCTCGTCCTCGCCCGTCGACATTCACCTGACGTTGCCCCCCTCCCCTACAGGCGGCGGCGCATCTTCGGCTCCTCGGTCCAGCGGCGTCCTCCCTCATGTGCGTCCCTCGTCGCTCCTTGCTCGAGACGAGCAACACGATTTGACCCTTCTTTCGTTGCCCGCAGACGTCGTTCCTGTCGTTCACCCAGGCAAACCTCCCCGCCCTGCGGAGCAAGCTCGCCCAGCTCTCGGACCAGTTCGCCGCCTCCCCCTCATCCTCCTCCCTCGCCCTCCCGGCCGACGACCTCGCCTCGCTCGACCGCCTCATCGCCTACCTCCTCGTCGCCCTCTCGTCGCCCTCGACCCCACCTCCGTCCGAGTCGGACACCGCCGTCGTCGACAAGCTCCTCGCGTCCTGGCCGGCCGAGTCGCGCTTCCCTGCCCTCGACCTGGCTCGGCTCCTCGCCCTGTCGGCCCCGACCGCCGGCTCGTTCCCGGTCGTCCTCGCGACGGCAACGTCGCCGACCGAGAGCGACGTCAACGCCATGCTCGCCCTGAGGGCGCTCGCCAACGTGTTCGTGCCGTTCGTCGGCAAGGCGACGATGCAGAGCGAGGCGAGGGACGTGCTCGCGAGCCTGAAGAAGAGGGGCGCAAAGGCGGCGCTCAACAAGAACGGCAAGGTCGCGTTCGCGACCGTTCTGCTCAAGTGCGTCTCGCGGTTTCTCTCTCTGTCTCTCTCTCTCTCTTTCGATCCAGTGACACCTGACTCTCTTTATCGCGCAGCTTCTCGGTCCTCGCTGCTCAGAAGCAGCTCGACGCCAAGGCCGCAGAAGACCTCGCCGAGCTCGCCGTCGAGGTGCGCCCTCGTCCTGTCTCTCCTCGGCGACAAACACGTCACTGACTTTCCTTTGCGTGCAGCTCATGAACGAGACCGACAGCGAGACTGTGTACCGGTCGATGATGGCTCTCGGCAACCTCGTGCGTCCTCTTTTCCTCCTCCCCTCGTCGCCTCCTCTTCTTTCGCCCTCACTCACGCACCTCTCCTCTCGTCGCAGCTCGTGTCCTTCGAGACGGCCGCAGCACTCTCGGCGGCGGCGACGCAGCGGTACAAGGCGGCGGCGAGGGACGCAGCGCAGCGTCTGCCCGAGGGTCGGATCAAGTCGCTCGCGCGCGAGTTGGCGTAGCACAAGGAGGAGGGCATGAACAGAAGTCGCAATGCAGCCATAGCTAGATCAAAATGTCTACGGGCCATGCTCATCGCCGAGATCTGCGCGACGCGAGAGGGAAAGTTAGTCGAGGACGAGGCCGAGGAGAGCAAGGGAAACGAGGACGCACACCTCCACTCGAGCTTCGTCTCCTTCTCGAGCCCGTCGACATGGACGACCTGCTCGTCGCCAGGGACGATGTCGAGGAAGTTGTCGCTGAGCTTCGCGTCGGTGCTGAGGTGGAGGACGAGGCCCTTGACCGGGCGGTCGGCCGTGATGCTGATCTTGCCGGTCGGGCTCGAGCGGCGAGAGCGGCGCAGCGAGACATGCAGGTTGGTGTGCGAGGGCGAGGGGAAGGCGAGGAACTCGAAGCTGCGCCCATGCGAGAGAGGGCGATCAGTTTGACGAACGGCGGGCGGAAAGAAGAGAGAGAGTGGACGCACGGTTCGGGGTACACGGACACTCTGGCGAGCACCTCGCCGCTCGTCGAGTCACGAAGCCTCGCTGCAACGACGACGACGCTCTTCTCCTCCCACGCACTGGGCACCTCGAGCGTCTCGAGCTCGATCGACCGATTCTCGAGCAGCTCGACCTCGCGCCGCTCGTGATGCACCTTCTTGCCCGACTCGAGCTCGAACGCCTCGACCTCGAGGATGACGCGACGGGCGCTCAAGTGCGAGCTGCTGGCCCACAGGTCGACAAAGGTCGTGTCGACGTACTTGGCGGCCGAGAAGCGGTCGGGGTACCGTCGTGCGCTGCGTCGACGGGCGCCGAGAGCGAGAGGAGCCATGGCGCGCTTGATCGTGAAGTACTGCAGAGCGCGGACGTCAAAACAAGGACGTCGATGCCGGCGAAAGAGACGAAGGAGAAGACGGACGGCGGGTTTGGGTCGCAGGAAGTAGTCGACGATCGCCCAGCTGGTCGTAGGCCACTGCGCGAGCGGACAAGGTGTCAGGTCTGTCGCTCGAGAAGATGATCGAGAGCGAGAGGCGGACGCACCACGTCGTTGAGCTGCCACACGAGCGCGCCCGCACACTTGGCGCCGCCGACGCCGCCCGTGAACTTGCGCCGCCAGCCGCCGTACGCGCTCTGCATCGCCTCGGCCTGGACGAACTGGGTCGCGTAGACGTAGTCCTCGACGGACGTGCCGGCGCGAATGTTCTCGGTGACGTACAGGGCGAGTCGGCGCTCGAAGCCGTCGGCCTTGTTGTGGGCCGCCATCGTGCGCGACTGCGGGTAGCGCTGCGAGGCGTCGCCGTCGAGGAAGTAGTCGATGGTGCGGATGTCGGGTGCAGCCTCCATACCTGCGCGAGGGAAGGGTCAGTCAGGGCCGGCTCGGGCGGGCGAAAGGAATTGGGGAAAGAGAGGGACGTGCCGAACTCGCTGACGAAACGCCCGCCGAGAGAGTGGTAGTCCTGGTACGGCTTCTGCTCGCCATGCCAAACGTCCCACACGCTGTTGAACATGGGCCGTCGTCAGGGGCCTGCTTAATCGGTGGTCGAGAGAGGGAGAGGTGGACGCACTGGACGTCGCCCTCGGTCAAGTCCCGCGTCGTGCTGCCGCCCCACGGGGAGCCAGGCCAGAAGAAGACGTCGACATGCTCGTTGACGATCTTGGGGAAGATGCGCTCGTACAGCTCGCGTGCGGGAAAGTTGGTGCGCTGCGGGAAGGGGAAAAAGAGATCAGGCTGGATCGGCCTTCTCAAGTTGGGGCGAGCGATCTTTGACGCACGAGCCAGTCACCTGCACCGCGAGCGAGTCAGTCACTGGTCACGAGGAGCATGAGAGGACGAGGGAGAGGAGACGCACCGTCCTTGTCTTCTGGGTCGTACTCGAGCTTCTCGGCCTCGGCGATCTGGTAGTCCTCGTTGTTGCCGGCGATGATGGCGAGGCAGGCGTGGCTCCGAAGCCGCTTGACGGCCTGCGTCACCTCCTCCTCGACGGTGGCCCGAAATTCGGGCAGGTGGGCCGGGTAGCTGCCGCAAGCGAAAGCGAGGTCCTGCCAGACGAGGAGGCCAAGCTCATCCTGCAGACGCACGAGATGATCGTCAGGGGATTCGAGGACTTCCACGAGAGACAGGGAGGAAGATATGGGAGAGTGGAACGCACGCAGGTATCGTAGAAGCTGTCCGTCTCGTAGATGCCGCCGCCCCAGACCCGCACCATGTTGTGCCCGCCGTCCCTCGCGAGCTCAAGCCACCGGCGGTACCGCTCCTCGCTCGCCGTCGTCAAGATCGAGTCGATCGGGATCCAGTTGCTGCCGCCGACGAAGAGCGGGACGTTGTTGAGCTCGAACAGGAACGTGCGGCCCGGCTCGTCTGGGTCGTCGAGCGGCGAGCGAACGACTTGAAGACGGCGGAACCCGACCTTGCGCGACACCGAGTGCAGGACCGAGCCGGAATGCTGCAGAGGGGCGAGGGTCAGGCTTGCTTGCGGGAGGAAAGATGAACTGGCGCGGACGCACCATGTCGACGAGGTCCACCTCGACCGTGTACAGCGGCTGCTCGCCGAGTCCTGACGTCCACCACAGCTCAAGCTCGTCCTCGTCCAGGCGCCACACGTGCTTGGCGACCGATGCGCCCTCGAAGCTCGTCTTGCGGATCGAGACGCCTCGGGGCGAGACGAGTCGAGCGATGGCGGCGAGGTTGTCGACGGCGTCCGAGGTCGTCCAGCTCAACGACAGGGTCGCCTCGAGCGTGTCGGAAACTTGAGCGCGAGGCCAACTGCGGACGAGCCGGCAGGTCAGGACGAGGAGAGACGGGCAAAGGAGGACGACGAAAGCTCGGTGCAAGCAAGACGTACAAGTCGACGATCCTGCTGCGGTACACCTCGAGCGTGACGGGCTTGTACGGTCCCGCCGTCATGACGACCGGGCCCCAGTCCCAGCCGTAGCCAAACCCGGCCTTGCGCACGAACAGCCGGCTCTTGTCGCCGTTCCAGCACGGCCAGTGCGCCGCGCGACCCAGGGCGCGCTCCTCGAGCTCGCGCCCGCGACGAAAAGCCGAGTGGAAGACGAGGTACAGGGTGTTGGTGCCGCGCTGGAGCGAGGACAGGACCGAGACGCGCTGCGAGACGAACATGTTCTGCGCCTGGATGATCTTGATGCCGTTCACTGCGAGCGAGACGGGGCATCTGCGTCGGTGAGAGCACTCTGTATGGTAGACTGGGCAAGAGGGACTCACGAAAGACGGTGCAGAACGTGTCGAGCCCTTCAAAGATGAGGTCGGCCGCCTGCGAGCCCGCCTCGGGGAGCTTGTCGACCTCGAACGAGCACCGGTACAGCCAGTCGCTCTCGCCGACCCACTGCATCTTCTGCGCACATCGAGATGCATGTCAGCTCTGTGCCTCACGCGGGGCGTGTGGCCTCGAGAGAGGAGAAAGTGGGGGAGGACGCCAACGCACCTCCTCGTTGCGCCCGAGGGCGAGGTCGGGAATGAGGGCCGCCGCCTGGAGCTCCTGGTGGATGGTCGACGGAAAGGCTGAGCATACGCGCCACCCTCCTCCGAGTCGTGGTCGCTCGTCGTCGTCGAGATTGTGGGGAGGAGCTGATGAGGTCGAGGACGGGTCGGGAGACTGGCGCCAGGACCACAGGGACTTGCGCGAGAGGTCGAGCGTCTTCATCGCTGGCCAGCAAGTGGCGCGAGTCCAGGCGAGGTGGACGAGCGAAGAGAGCTGGCCGCAGTCGTCCTCTCCGCCCAGTTGCTCGACGACGCTGGCGACAAGTCGTTCTCTGCGCTTTGCCAGCCTCTCTTTCGACTCTCTTGGCGGGGGTTAGAGAGACTCGGTTGCACTCAGTCGGCCATCTCGAGCTGCGCGGCAAAGTACCGAACCGTCTCCTCGAGACCCGCCTTGACCGTCCACCGCGGGTCCCACCCGATCACCTCCTTGGCGAGCGTCGTGTCGGGCCTCCGCCTCGGCGGGTCGTCGACGACGGCCGGCACGAACTCGACCTTGCTCTCGGGCGTGCCGGCGGGGAGCGGCGCGATCTCGCCGGCGGCGCGCAGCTCGCGCACGGTCGACAGGATCTCCTCGGCCCACGACAGGACCGTGCCCTCGTCTGACGAGCCGATGTTGACCGGCGTGAGCGAGTGCGACGACTCCATGAGGTCGATGAGGCCCGTGACGAGGTCGTGGACGAACTGTCGAGAGAAGGAAAGGTGTCAGGGCGGGTTCGTCACGGCGTCGCCGAGAAAGAGAGGAAGAGAGACGAGGGGAAGCTCGGGACGCACCATGAGAGACCGTGTTGCCTGCCCGTCGCCGTACACCTGGAGCGGCTCGCCTCGCAATGCGGCGACGGCAAAGTTGCTCACGAGCCGGCCGTCGTCGGTGCTCATGCGCGGACCTGCGCAACGGTGAAACGTCAGGACGGCTCGAGACCCAGTCGCGGCAGGCCGAGAGAGGAAAGGGGGGACTCGCCGAAGCAGTTGAAGATGCGGGCGACGCGCACGTCGACGCCGTCCTGCCGAGCGTACCCGTACGTGAGCGCCTCGGCGACGCGCTTGCCCTCGTCGTAGCACGCCCTCGGCCCGTTTGGGTTGACGTTGCCCCAGTAGCTCTCGGGCTGCGGGTGCACCGTCGGCGAGCCGTACACCTCGCTCGTGCTGCTCAGGAGGAAGCGCGCCTTTGTGCGCTTGGCGAGGCCGAGCATGTTGAGGGTGCCGACGAACGACGTCTTGAGCGTCTTGACAGCGTTGAGCTGATACGCTTTGGGCGATGCTGGGCACGCGAGGTGGTAGATCTGCAGGAGGTGGAGCGAGTCAGTGAGGGACCGAGCGGGAGGGGGAGGGACGGGGTCGAGGGCGACGCACCTGGTCGACCTCGAGCAGGATCGGCTCGACGACGTCTCCTCGGATGAGCTCAAAGTTGGGGTGACCGCTGCAGGAGGGGAGTAAAGCGGGTCAGGTCCGTGCAACCCGAGAGATCTCGAGTGAGGTGGGAGGGGGGACGCACACCCAGTGGGACAAGGTCGTCTTGTTGCCGCTGAAGAAGGAGTCGAGGACGACGACGTCGTGACCGAGAAACATGAGGCGGTCGACGAGGTGGCTGCCGACAAAACCTGCGCCGCCGGTGACGAGGATGCGCTTGCGCTCGGTGCGGGCGAGCTTCTTGACGGGAGGATAGCTCGTGCGGGTGGCGAAGGCGACGGCCGAGGGCCAGCCGGCGACGACGTGGGGCGAGAAGCGGTCGGACGAGACGGACGGGTTGCGGACGTGGAAGGGAGGCGGAGGCGAGTCGGTGGTCGGGGCGCCGCCGGGGTTGAGGTACAGCGACTGGAGCTGTTGGCGCAGGGCAAGCTGTGAGTCCTCGAGAGCGAGGGGAAACCTGGGCGAGGGTACGAGGCGCACCAAGTCGAGCGGAACCTGCTCGCCCTCGGTGCCGACGTCGAGCATGTCGTTGCCGTCGCGGTCCTGGACCGAGCGGGCCGAGGGAGCGCGCTGATGGGCTCGCGGTGCGCGGTCGAGGTGCTGGGCCTGCGGCATGTCGCGGTGAGGATGGCGAGGCGGGGATCCGGAGGTGGGCGAGGTGGTGATGGCGGCAGGCGGTTGGAGCGGGAGTGTGGCGAGTCGGAGAGCAGTAATCGGTGCAGGGTGCACGGTGGAGCAGTCTGTGCGAGCGAGAGGCGGCGAGAGCGACGACAAGGGGCGAAACCGAGTTCATCAGGTGGATGCTCTGGTCGCTCTCTCAAGCTCTCCCACACCGCACTTGCTGCTCCAGCTTGATCCACCATGGGCTCTGACTGGGGTCAGTCACCGCCTTCTCACCCTCCCCTCGCCCCTCCACCGCACGCTGACTTCTCGCTCCCCCCTCCTCTCCTTCTTTCCCTCGCCTCGCCTCGCCTCGCCTCGACCCGCAGACGCATCCTCTGACGACGAGGCTTCGGCATCCGCCGCCGCTTCCTCGTCCACCCCGGCAAAGCTCGCACCCGCCATCCCCGCCGTCAAGAAGGGCGGCAAGTACGCCGACGAGGACCTGTCGGACGACGACGTCAAGGACGACTGGGACGTGTCCGAAAGCGACGACGACGACAAGCTCAAGAAACCCGCCGCCGCCGTCGGCAGCATGCGCAACAAGGGCGTCACCAAGCAGAAGATTCTCCAGAAGGAGGAGGAGGACCGCCGAAAGGCAGAGGAGCAGGAGCGCAAGGTGCGCCCTCCTTCCCCTTCCTCTCCCTTTCGTCGTCGAGACACGCATCGACAGCTGACCATCTGAGCCCACAGGAGCGCGAGAACGACCCGGCGGCGTTGAGGGCAAAGGCCCGTGCGGCCCAGCTCCGGTCCGACATGGACTCGGCCGCGACCCTCTTTGGCGAGTCGAGCCTGGCCGGTGCGTCCCTGTGTCCTCTCGTCTCACTCCTTGACGAGCCGGTACTGACAGACCGCTCTCCTCTGCGCCCAGACAACCCGCTCGACATGGAGTGCCGCAACAAGGACGACTTCTCGGCCCTGTCGACCTCGCTCTCGGACCTCCTCATCCAGACGCACTCGTCGTCCAAGCACTTTGCCGCCTTCGTTGACGAGCTCACCAAGGCGCTCGCGCAGCCGCTCAAGGCCGACGAGGTCGGCAAGGTGCGCGCGTCGATGGCGTCGCTCGCGATTGACAAGGGCAAGGCCGAGAAGACGGCCGCGTCGGGCAAGGGCATCGGCGGCAAGGCGCCCGTGCGCATGGTCGCGAGGGGCAAGGAGGACCTGTCGTCGTTCGGTGAGGTCCTCGACGACGAGGCGGCGGCCGCCAACTTCGACCCGGACGAGGACTTTGTGCGTCCCTCCCTTTCCTCCCTCTCTTTGTTTCTCTCGACCGCAGCACAGTCTCACTGACTCTCTTTTCGCGTGCAGATGTAGATTCACGCTTCGAGATTTGCCTTGCAACACGGCGCTAGATGCCTCCTTCTTCCGCGACCTCGAGAGAGCGTTGTCGGCTCTCCACGCGCCTCTCCCTCCCCCATTCCCGTCCCGTGCGACAGGATCACTTCCTGCGAGCGCGTCGTTGACCGCAAAAGGTGCGACAGGCCTGCCACTCAGCTCGCCGAGGCCGACACCGGCTCGTCGCTGGTCCGCGGACCCTCCGGCGTCGCTCCTCTCGCTCCCTCGTCTCTGCCCTGGCTTGCCTCTCACACAAGCTGCGCCTGTCGCGCTCTCGAGCGGCCCTGCCGATCCTCCAGCCGCAGCGCACAATGCCGCCCGCTCCACCGGCTCGCGACGAGCTGTCCCTCGTCCACCGCTCGCCTCGGCCGCTCGACACCGCCTCGTCGTCCCGCCCGAGTCTGCTGTCGCCCATACGCAGCCTCGAGGACCACCTCATCTCGTCGGCGTCGGCCATGGAGCAGATCAAGGCCGAGCAGCTCGAGCACTTCCCCGACGCGAGCGGCGCGACCCACACCAAGCCGCTCCTGCCGAACGAGCGCCGCAAGGTCACCTCGGTCTACTACGCCGACATGAGCGTCGTCGCCGTCAGTGGCGACCTCGTCGCCGTCGCGGCCGGTGTGCGCGCCGAGCTGTGGAGCGCCAGCAACGCTATGGCCGGCTGTGCGTCCACCTCTCTCTCGCTCTTTCTCCTCCATGCCGCACGATCTGGCCCTGACAGTTCGACTCGACGACGCTTCTACAGGGTGCGAGGCGGGCATGCACGGTTTCGGCACGACCGAGGTGACGGCTTTGTGCTTCTCGCAAAGCGGTCGGTGCGCACCTCCTTCCTCTCTCTTGCCCTCCCTCTCCCGCATCAGCGAGCCCCTCTTCTGACTCGACGTCGCCTTCAGGTACCTCTGGGTCGGCACCCACAGCGGTCAGCTGTTCGAGTTCGACACGGCCGCCTTCACGTCCCGACCCTCGCTCGTCACGGCCATCTCGATCCCTGTCGTCGCACACCGCGCCGACGCCCACCCCGAGGGCTCGCCCATCACGCACATCTCGCGCTCGTCGGCCACCGAGATGTGCACGATCGACGCCGCCGGCACCGTCGTCGTGTGGCTCCCCGACTCGCGCCTCGGCAAGCTCGCGTCGCTCCACTCGCACTCGAAGGTCCTGCGCATCCCGCACGGCGCGTCGTTCGTCAAGGTCGTCGACGGGCGCGTGTGGGCGAGCTGGAACCTGTACCCGGCGGCGACGGGCGCCCACAAGACGTGCGTCGTCCGAGCGTTCGACATGAGCGGGACGGTCGCGGTCCACGCGGGCGAGCGCAGCTGGACGGTCGACGTGCGGCAAGGTCTCGGCAAGGTCACGAGCGGGTGCAGCGTGCCGTCACATCCCGACCTGCACTTCTTCGGCAATGAGTGCGTCTCTTCCTCCTCGTCGCCTCGTTCGAGGCCAAGTACTGACTCAGCCTTGCCCGCCACAGCTCTGGCCACATCTCGATTTGGCGACGCGTCGACTACAAGATGGTCGCCGTCAAGAAGGTGTCGCTCGTCGCCGTCACTGCCCTGTGCGGCCCGTCGCGCTTCTTGTGGGCCGGCTTCGACAAGTGCGTCCTGCTCTCGCCCTGAACATAGTCGAAGCCTGACCTCGGTCATCTCCTACAGCGGCATGATGGAGATCCTCGACGTCGCCGGCGCCGAATGGCGCGTCGTCAAGCGGTGGCGAGGGCATCATGGCACGGTCCTTTCGCTCGGCCTCGACCCGGGCTCGCTGTGGACGGTGCGTCCTCCTTTCTCTACCTGTTGCGCGATCGGATGGGTCACAGCGCCCTGACGAGCAACGACAGGCATCTTCTTTGCGCGTCTACAGCGCCGGCGCCGACCTCACCGTCCGTTTTTGGGTGCGTCGCCGCTGTCTGCTCCCTCCTTCTCCGCCCTGTATTTGCCCTCAGCTCTCGAGCGGTCCCTGATCTCTCGTCTCGTGCAGGACGGCCTCTTGCGCCAAGACTGGATCCGCAAGTCCTCGTTCCTCCCCTGCGCGCCACGTGTCGGCCTTCCTAACTTGCCTCGACCCCTTCGCAGTGTCCCGCATGGCGCGCACGGTCGACTCGTACTGCGACTTTTCGTCCCTCAAGCTCGGCATCTTGACGTGGAACGTCGACGGGCAAGACCCGGATCAGCTCGAGAACTCGGGCCCGGTCGACAAGGAGCTCCTCGGCAGTTTCCTCATCTCGCTCAAGGGACCCGACCTCGTCGTGTTCAACTTTCAAGAGGTGCGTCATTTCTCTCTCGCGGCCTGCCTCGCAAGATTTCGGCGACCTGACTCGCCTTCACCTGCAGCTCATCGACCTGTCCGACCTCACCCTCGCGGCCCGTGCGTCCTCGTCCACCTCCGTCTCGGTCCCGCTCCGCGCCGCCCTGACTCTCACCGCCGACAGGTACCGTCCTCTTTGCGACCAAGACGCACGACGTCACGGGCCGCTACCGCCATTGGCTGCGCGTGCTCGACAAGGCGGTCAAGCGGTACCTCGGGTCCGAGTTCGAGCTCGTCTCCAACGAGAAGCTGGTTGGGGTTCGTCTCCCCCTCCTCCTCTCTTGCGCCGCGTCTCGAGTCGAGACGGACCTGACCGGCCACATGATGCGCAGCTCTTCACGGTCATCTTCGCCCGCCGGTCGGTCAAGTCGCGCATCCGAGATCTCGCCGCTCACCACGTCAAGACCGGCTTCGACGAGGCGTACGGCAACAAGGGATCTATCCTCGTCCGCTTCGTCCTCGGCGACAGCTCGTTCTGCTTCGTCAACGCCCACCTCGCGGCTGGCAAGACGCACCCGGCCGAGCGTGAGCGCGACCTTGTCGAGATTCTCGACGCCAATCCGGTCTTTCCTCGCCCGAGCGAGTGCACGCACGAGGCGTACGTCGGTGGCGGTGACGGCACGCAGGTGTCGGACGCCGAGGTGACCTTCTTTGTCGGTGCGCACGCTTCTCTCCTCTCTCGACGTCGAGCGCACCGACCGACCTCCTCCTTCCCCCCCCCCCCGTCGTCCTCGTCCCTCCCTCTCTTGCGCCTCCGTCACTCTCCTGCATCTCCCTCCCACCCTTCCAGGCGACCTCAACTTCCGCATCGAGCTCCCTCGCGAGCAGGTCCTGCGCACCTTGTCGTCGTCCGACTCGCCGGAGGCCGCCTATGAGCAGCTCCTCCCGCACGACGAGCTCAACCACCTGCGCCTCACCTCGCCGACCTTTCGCCTGCGCTCGTTCGACGAGGCGCCGATCGCGTTCCCGCCGACGTACAAGTACGACCGCCGGTCGGGAAGGTACGACACGAGCTCGAAGCAGCGCACGCCGAGCTGGTGCGACCGCGTCCTGTGGCGCGCTCAGCGACCCCAGAGCGTCGTGTGCGACAGCTACGGCCGCTTCGAGGCCGACCTATCCGACCATCGAGTGCGTCCACCCTCTCGCTCCCTCTCGCCCCTCCCTCGCCACGAACGCGCCTTCCTGACCCGCCCTCTCTTCTCCCGCGTCACAGCCCGTCGCCGCAGCATTCACGGTCCAGGTGCGCAAGGCCGACCCGGTGCGCAAGGAGACGGCGTACCGCCTGGCGGTCCACGAGTGGGCCAAGGCGGCCGAGGGTCTGCTCGAGACGGCGAGGGTGCAGTATCCGCCGGGCCTGTAGCTCGCGGTGCAAGTCCAGCAGTTATTCTCGCGCACTGGACACGGGTCGACGGGCGAGAGCTTGTGCGAGCGAGAGCGTGAACGCGAGAAAGAGCAGCTCTCGCGGCAGGCCTGAGCGCAAGCTTCGAGGCCTCCTCGCAAGGCGAGAGCTGCTCAGCTCCATCTTGCATGCTCTCCGAAGGCTCTCGACAGGGAACGCGAGCGGCTTTCTGCGCAAATGGCTCGCTTTCGGCGTCCTCTCGCAACGTCTCAACTTGGGAAGGTCGAGACAGCGGGAGAGCGAGATGCCACCGGCAACGTTGCAGAGAGAACAGGGACGACGAGAGAGGACGAGGAGGGACTACATCAAGAGATGTGGAGCCGCTCGGCGAGGGCGAGGACCTAGTACGCGCGACGAGAGCCGGCGCGCGAGCTCGAGCGGCGCATCGACGCACGGCTGTTCGAGCGGCCGAGGCTCATGCCGGCGATGGCGTCGTCGAGGTCCCTCGCGCTCATCGACTCGCGACGAGCAGGCCTGCGACCGGCACGGCGGCCGGCGTACTCGTCGTCGTCGTCCGAGGTCGAGTCCTCGTCGGGCGCGATGTACGAGCCGCGGCGGGAACCGCCACGAGCGCTGCGAGGAGCCTCGTACGTGTCGTCGAACATGCTGTCGCGGCGAGCGGTCGAGCCACGGCGGCGGCGGGACGAGGTCGGCGGGAGGTAGGCCTCGGGGTCCGAGTCCGACTCTTCGCCGGCGCGGATCGACGAGAACTGGGTGCGGGTACACAGGGTCAGGAGTCGAGTCGAGCTGCTGGGAGAGAGATGGAGAGAAAAAGAGGGACGCACCCTGTCCTCGCCACGGAGGTCCTCGCGGTTGCAGTCGAAGACGACCGTGACCGGCCAGAAGCTGCAAGCCAAGGCGCACTCGGGTCAGTCCCGGGTCCAGAAGAGCTCGAGAGAGAGAAGGACGGACCCAGGGTGCGTCACGGTGAAGTGGATGGTGCCATCGGCCTCGTCCTCAGAGCCGATCGGGGTCCATGAGGACGTCTCGCAGTTGCGCGGCGTTACGAGCGACGGGCGCGACGGCGGGAGGCTGCCGACCATGACGTGCACGAACGGGTCCATGGGCGTCGGCTGCGTGCGGGAGAAATGCTCGTCGGCTCGAGTCGAGGAAGGAAGAGAGCGTGGAAGGAAGGCGACGCACGTCCTCGGTAAAGAACCTGGACGCGGGCGAGACTGGGTCAGTTGCTGCGTCAGGCTCGAGGGCGTAAAAAAAGGACGCACTGGACGGTCGAGCGGTGGACTTTGCGGACGCCGGCGCGAGTGAGGAACTCCTCCGAGTGCGAGGCGAACGACATCTTGGAGAGGGCGTGCTGGTAGCGGGCCGTGATGCGAGCCTCGGACGTGTCGAGACGCTGGAGGTAACCGGCAGCCTCGAGACCAGCGAGGAACTTGGGCCTGCGCGGGAAAGGCTCAGTCAGTGCGAGTTCGTCGAGGAGGAGGAGGAGAGGCTCGTGCTCACTCGGAGAGCGGGTCGTCGTTGGTCGGGGGAGGGCCGTAGCGGGACGAGTAGGAAGGCATGGCGAAAGACGAGTGACTTGAGGAAGGAAGAGAAGCTGGAGAGCTCGAAAGGCGGATGAGAAAGAAGAGGAAGCGAGAAGCGAGGCGAGCCGTCCTCGAGCCACGGGCAAACCGACGCTTCCGCGGACAGTCCGCGGACCAACTCGTTGCTCGCCGGCCCAGGTGTCTCGCCAGGGGGTCCGGCGGACAGGAGAAGCGACCACAGAGCGTGCGGCGAGCGGACGAACAAGCGACTGCCGACGAGGAAGAGGCTCGAGCCAGCGGGCAGGCTCGAGCGCATCGCGCGAGCTTCAGCAGCTCACAAGGGAGTGCTGGCGAGTGCACGCGGACACGGTCGAGCTGGCGAGTTGCGCGGCCGCAGAGAGAGAGAGAGAGAGAGACTGCGTCACTCGCGCGCGAGCGCTCTCCCCCCCGAACTTGTGCAGACAGCAAAGGTTGCGGCGGGTTGGGTCCCCGAAGGCGATGAAGTCACAGCAAGCTCGAGCGAGCCAGCAGCGACGGTGGACTCGGTCGGGAGGAGGTGAGGAGAAGCGGGGCCCGCGGCACCGAGGGGAGCGCGAACGATTGACGACGCTCCTCTCTCTCCTTCCTCCTCCTCACTCGCAACCACCACCACCACACTACCTTCTACCACATCATCATCATGGGCGTCCTCGACATTGTCCCCGTGCGTCCCTGCCCTCTCCCGCCTCCTTCCCCTCCCTCGAGCCGGCTCGACCGACATCGACATCATCCGGATTCGACCCGATTCTTCTCGCCCGCCAGGCGAGCACTCTGCGCGCCGTGCAGCTCGCTGACCTCCCCTTCGTGTGCACAGGCTGGCGTCATCACCGGCAAGAACCTCGTTGCTCTCTTCAAGCACGCCAAGGACAACCACGTGAGCCTCGCCGTCCTCCTCCTCCTCGGGTGACCCCGGGCGCACCGTCTCTCGCCCGTGAGCAACTACTGACTCTATTGCCCTGTCCTGCAGTACGCCATCCCTGTGAGCATCGCCACCTCTCTGCCGTTCGCTCGGCGACGAGCCGTGACGAGCCTCGAGATGAGCGCATCGATGGATCGTCTCGCTGACCCCGCTCCTTCCTTCCTTTCCCCGGATCCCTCTCCTTCCAGGCCTTCGTACGTCCACTCTCCCTCCCTCGAGCCTGTCCCATGTTGCGCAGGACTGACGGCGGCCGCCTCGCCCGCAGAACTGCACGTCGTCGTCGACCGTCGTCGCCGCCCTCGAGGGTGCTCGCGACTCGAAGTCGCCCGTCATCATCCAGGTCTCGCAGGGCGGTGCCGCCTTCTTCGCCGGCAAGGGCGTCAAGAACGGTAACCAGGAGGCGTCCATTGCCGGCGCCGTCGCCGCCGCCCACTACGTCCGCGCCATCGCGCCCACGTACGGCATCCCCGTCGTCCTCCACTCGGACCACTGCGCCAAGAAGCTCCTCCCGTGGTTCGACGGCATGCTCGAGGCCGACGAGGCCTACTACAAGGAGAAGGGCGAGCCCCTCTTCTCGTGCGTCGCCTTCTCTCCCCCTCCCCCTCCCCCACCTTCGGCTCCCTCGCGCCGCGTCCTGACCCACGCCCTCTCGTCCTCAGGTCGCACATGCTCGACCTCTCGGAGGAGTCGAAGGAGGAGAACATCGAGACCTGCGTCAAGTACTTCACCCGCATGGCCAAGATCGACTTGTGGCTCGAGATGGAGATCGGCATCACCGGCGGCGAGGAGGACGGCGTCAACAACGAGAACGTCGACAACGCGTCGCTCTACACCCAGCCCGAGGACATCCTCGACATCCACAACGCGCTCCACGCCATCTCGCCCATGTTCTCGATCGCGGCCGGGTTCGGCAACGTCCACGGCGTCTACAAGCCGGGCAACGTCGCGCTCCGCCCCGAGCTCCTCGCCAAGCACCAGGCTCACTGCCACGAGCAGCTCAAGAGCGAGAGCAAGCTCCCGATCTTCCTCGTCTTCCACGGCGGCTCGGGCTCGTCCAAGGACGAGATCACGACCGCGGTTCAGAACGGCGTCGTCAAGATGAACGGTCCGTCCTCCCTCTCTCCTGTCGCACCCGAGCGTCGAGCGCACGTGACTGACCTATGTTGCCCTTTCCCCCGCTCGCAGTCGACACCGACACCCAGTGGGCCTACATGACCGGCCACCGCGACTACTTCCTCTCGAAGCAGGACTTCCTCAAGCAGCAGGTCGGCAACCCGGAGAAGGGCCCTGACGCGCCCAACAAGAAGTACGCCGACCCGCGTGTCTGGGTTCGCGAGGTGCGTCTCCTTCCTCTTCGTCGTCCCCATCCTCCCCCCCTCTCTCCTTCCCCTTCCCCCCTCGCCTCGCCCTCACTCTTCTCCTCCTTCTGGCCCTCGAGCGCGTACACGGACTGACTCGTTCCTCTCGTCCGCCGCGCAGGGTGAGCTCACGATGAAGAAGCGCTGCCAGGAGGCGTTCCACGACCTCCTCAGCGAGGGCAAGCTCTAAACCGAGTCGACGATTGAGCGGGCTGCGGCCGACCTTTGTGCATGACTGAAAATGAGCAGTACGTTCACCTGTGACCTGGCCCACAGCATGAGAGGGCGCGCGAGCGAGGAGCGAGAGCCGTGCGAGCGAGAGCAAGGGCGACAAAGGTCCGGGCGCCTCTGGCTCAGTCTCTCGACACCGAACCTGTGCTGCATGAGCGCTCGCCTTAGCTTCTGTCGCTGCCCCACCGAGGGGTGCGCAAGGCCCGCTCAGAGCGGGGCGTGGGCCAGTTCATCAGCGTCGTCCTCCTCCGTCCTCATCTCCCCCTCCTCCTGTGCACCGACTGGAGCTCGTACCTACTCGCGCCAGTAGCGGACTCGTCGCACACCGCTCGCTCGCTCGCCGCTCGCCCTCAGCGCCCGTCCACCAAGCTCCCCCGCGCCTCTCCACCTCGTCCTTCGACCCCACGCGCTCTCCGACTCTGCCCAGGTGCGCCCAATCCCTCACCTTGTCACATCGGGCACGCTCTGACCCTTCGCGAGCCTCGCAGCCAAGATGACGCTCATCCCGACCGGCCACGAGCAGAGCCCGCCCGACAACCTCGCCCAGCCGCCCGCCGTCGACTTCCCTCACGAGATCCTCTGCTTCATCCTCCACCTGTGCGTCCCGCCGTCCGGTCACACCAAGGCCGAGATCCGTCGTCGTCGGCGCGCCCTGTACCGCTACGCCCACGTCAACTCGCGCTGGCACGCCGCCGCGTTCGACCAGGCCGTCCGCTCCGTCTTCATCAACGCGCACGCCAACGGCTGGAGCCAGGACGAGGCGACGGCGACGCGCTGGGTCACCGAGGCCAAGGAGCACGCCGACTCGAGGGGCCGCGGCATCCGCGAGCTCGTCCTCTTCGGCGAGAAGCACCTGCCCGACCAGTCGTTGCAGGCCATGTTCCAGCAGTTCGACCAGCTCGAGCACCTCGTCGTCGTCAAAAGCCGCAACCCGAGGTCCCTCCTCGGCTCTACGAGTGCGTCCTTGCCCCCATTTCTTCCGCCCTTTCCCTCTGGATCATCCCGAGCTGACTCGCCCTCGCACAGCCATTCGCCACCTGCAAGTCCTCGAGACTGCCTCGCCCTCGTTCCTCGGCATCTACTCGAACCTGCGACGCCTCGACATCATCGGCTGCCGCGGCGAAGCCCTCCCCTCGACCCTCACCAACGCCAACTTTCCCTCGCTCGACACGCTCGTCCTCGACCTCCTCGCGCCTCGCCGCGGGATCCAGATCAAGACGTACCAGGGCAGAGGCGTCACCGACAGCGTCCGACCGCCCAACGTGCGCGCCCTCGCGCTGCGCGGCCAAGGCCACCCGTTCCTGCGCGAGGTCCTCGCGTTCCAGACGCGGCTCGAGCACCTGTACCTCGGCGTCCCTCGCGCCGAGACCTTCGACTACTTGCACGCTCTGCCTTGCCCGATCTCGTCGCTCTGGGTCGAGCACACGGTCGAGGAGCAAGCCGAGGACCACGCGGCCCTCCTCCCGTGGCAGCCGCACCTGGCCCCTGCGCTCTCGGCGACGGCGTTCGACCACACGTCGCTCAAGCGCATCGGGCTCGCGTACTACGACTCGCCGGACCAGGCGGTCGACCTGCTCGACGACTGGCTCATCTCGTTCGCGAGCGCCGTCGCCAAGGCCATGGCGCTTCGCGGGCTCGACCTCGACGTGCGGTGGGCGACGCCGGCGTGCGTGCTCGAAGAGTGGGACCCTCGTGCGTCCTCTCTTTCTCCTTCTCGCCCACTCGAGCGACACTGACTCGCCATGCGCCCTTCACAGTTCGTCAAGAGGAGCCGGCGCGCTTCCTCGGCCTGGGCATCCGCGGTTGAGCCCCGTCCTCTCGTTCCTCTCTCTCTCTCTCTCTCTCTGTGTCGTTCCTCCTCTCTGTCTGTCAATGTGAACGACGATGCGCTTCGTCCCTGCTCGCCGAGAGGAGCGAGAGAGAGCGAGAGACTGTATGCACACGCCCCCTCGAGAGGGACTTGGGCGGCGCCGGCCGCGCACCTCTTGGTCTTCAACCACGCGCGCCTTAAATTTCCGGCCTGCTCCTCGCGGCTCGGGCCTTGCGCTCTTGACTGAGTGCAGGGCCTGCACAGCCGACCACAGCAGTCGGACCAGACAGCGTCGCCAGACGGACGCCCCAACGGCCAGCTCTCGACCTCGTCGAGCTGCTCGGCCAGCCCTCTTCAAAACAGTCGCCTGAGCTCATTCCCGGGCGATGGGTAGGACCTGATCCCGGTTGAAGTGCTTTGCGCGACTACCTGGAAGAGTGCACACTCGGCCTCGCCTCGCCTCGCCGTCGTCGTCGCCCTTCCTCCCCCCTCGACCACCTCGCTCTGCAACCCGCATTTTTTCCCCTCGCCTTCGACCGCGACCCGAACGAGAGTGTGGAGGACAGCGATGGAGCAGGACTGGAGAGCGGACCGGGCGAGCGGGCGGCGTGCGCGAGGAGGGCGAGCGGCCAAGGTCGAGTCGAGTCGGTCGAGGAGCTCGTGGCTCTCGCGGCATCGACGAGGGGGGACGGCTCGCTCGCTCGAGCGGACGAGAAGAACGGCAGCTTCGACGGCGGCAGCACGAGGACGGCGCAGCGGGTGCGGTGAGCTGGGTGGAGCGAGGTCACGGTCGTTCAGGTGCGTCCTCTCTCTCCTTCTGCCCCTCTCCCTCCCACCAGCGCTCCCTCGCGCCCAGTGACGACACCAGCATTAAACTGCAGGCAACCGGGGCGCTTCGGCGCTTCCCTTCGTGCTCCGAAGGGCCCGGCATCCAGCCTCGAACCTCGTCGACGGCGGCTGTCTCCTCTGGCGGCCGCCTGAAGCAGGGTCGGGGCGCCGGCGCGGGTTGCACACGAAGCATCTAAAGGCGAATCCGAGGGCGTGCGGGAGCGCGCCGCACAGCAGTGCCAGCGACCGTCACTGACCCTTCCTCTCCCTCGCCGCCGCCGCAGACTCTCGCCCTTTCCGACGACCCGTGTCCCCTCCAGCCTGTCCACCATCATCATCTCTTCTTTCCCTTCGTCCTCTCGAGACGCAGGTGCAATACGAGCGACGTCTCGTCCTCCGCGGTCCGTCGCGAGCGGTCGAGAGGAACCTGGCGCCTGGAAAGCTCGTCTCTGTCTGCTTCGGTAGCTCGAAGCGCCACTTTCGTCTGAAGCGAGAGCGTCGTGCGTCTGCAACAAAGAGAACCGCAAAGGCTGCCGCTCGAGGTTGGCCCCGCGGTCGTTCGTCGGCGTCGGGCACCACTTGGCTTCGTGCCGCTCGCTCTCGCCTCCTCGAGACCCGCTCCGAGGCCGCCAGAGCCTCGCCCGGAGCCACTCGACACCGATGGACTCGAACTTGCCGCCGTTCTCGTTCTTCACCGCGCCAGAAGGTGCGCCGGCCTCCTCGTCCCTCCCCGCTCGGCAATCGCGCGCTCCCCTCGCGACACGAGCCTGACCTCGAGACTGCACACAGGCGTCTACACTCTCGTCTCGAGCCTCAACGTCCCCGCACCTGGCGCACCCAACGCCCCTGCGTCCTTCCCCTCCACGGGAGGGCCAGCTCCCCCCGCTTCAGCCGGCCTCGGCGGCCCTGCCGCTCCCGCACCCGAGCAGCCCGCCGCACCACCGCCAAACCCTGCACGGCTCGCCGTCGTCGCGGTCCAGCTCCCGACCAAGGACGCCGGCGCGGGAGGAGGAGCAGGAGGAGCCGGCGGCATCTCGGGGCTGGGCCTCTCTATCGGGCGCGGCAAGGGCAGGGACGACGGGCCCGGCGCGACGGCCATCCCGGGCGCAGGAGGAGATGGAGCGGGCTACGGCGAGGGCGGCGGCAACGGCGGCGGCGCCGGAGCGGGAGGCCCGAACGGCCAGGGCGGCGCGCCGTCGAGCCCGGTGCCGAAGCGCAAGCCGCTCACGAGCTCGTTCTCGATGCTCGGCGGCCTCGCGCTCGCTGCCGAGGGGGCGGCGACGTCGCGCCCGGCGCGAGCGCTCAAGGGCTCGAGCTCGTCGTTCGTGCGCAGCTGGGAGGGCCTCCCGCTCTCGCAGGTCCAGCTGCGCGGCATCGCCGACGCCAACGCAGGTCGCGACACCGTCTTCGGCTTCCAGACGGTCGGCAAGGCGCTCGTCATGAGCGAGATCGCTAAGGGCAAGGTGCGTCGCCCACCGTTCCCTCCTCGACGTGCACTCACTGATGAACTCTCTCGCCCACCTCTGCAGGACGCGCTCGCCAAGATCCTCTTCGCCTCGATACCGACCTGCATCGACGCCAACCAGCACACGGCATCGGCGGCGCAGATTGACGTCCTCGTCGGATTCGCGACCGGCGACATCATCTGGCTCGGTGCGTCCTTGAGCGTCACTCTGCCCGCCCGCCGGCCAAGCCTGACTCTCTCCCACTCCTTACACAGATCCGCTCACGGCACGGTACTCGCGGTACAACAAGTCGGGCTGCATCACGTCGTCGCCCGTCACGTCGATCCGGTGGCTCCCTCCTTCCCCTCCGACCTCACCCTCGTCCCCCTCGCTCGACGGCGGCCTGCCCTCGCACCGCTCAAACCTGTTCGTCACGTCGCACGCCGACGGCTCGATCGTCCTGTGGGACAAGGACAAGGAGGACTGGAACGGCTTCGTCGCTCAACCTTTTCCCGCCCGGCCCGGGTCGGCGGTCAACTCGCCGACGCTCGGCGGCGGCGGCAACGGCGTCGGTGATTCCTCGAGGGAGAACGAGTGGCCTCTCGCTGGAGCGGGCGCCGCGGCGGGACGGCCGGCCAAGAGCGCGGCGGGGCAGGAGGACATGGTCGTCAGCCGGCCGCCGGCGACGGACCGCAAGGGCCAGAGCACGGTCAAGCACAATCCGGTCGCACATTGGAGGCTGAGCAGCAAGGCCATCACGGGTACGTCGACGTCGTTCCTCCCTCTCTCAATCTCCCTTCCTCGCCTTCCCCTGTCGCCTCCACCCGAACCCTCGAGCCGAGCCTGACCGCCCTCCCTCGCCCTGCGCAGCATTCGCCTTCTCGCCCGACTTGACGCTGTGCGCTGCGGTCGGCGACGACGGCTGCCTGCGCATCATCGACGCCGTCGAGGAGAAGTGCGGCCTCGGCCCTCGCGCGCTCGCAAACCAAGTCGAGCGACCGTACTGACACTCTCCTCGCGCCCGCAGGTTGCTCGACGTCTTCTCGAGCTACTTCGGCGCGCTCAACTGCGTCGCGTGGAGCCCTGATGGGCGCTTCGTCGTCGTACGTCCCGCTCAAACCCCCCGCACGGCCCTCTCGACCAGACCGGGCTCACCTACCTTTGCGCCCCTCCTGCAGACCGGCGGTCAAGACGACCTGTGCACCGTGTACGCTCCACTCGAGCAGCACGTCGTCGCGCATTGTCAAGGACACGCGTCGTGGGTGACGGGCGTCGCGTGGGATGCGTGGCGGAGCGAGGACCGCACCTTGCGGTTCGCCTCGGTCGGCGAGGACTGCAAGCTCGTCCTGTGGGACCTGTCGAGCGCGTCCCTGACTCGCCCAAAGGCGCATGTGCGTCGCCTGCTCCCTCTCTCTCTTTCTCGGGCGTCGCCGCCAGGACCTTGCACTGACCCCTGCCCTTCTCGTCGTTGCAGGCTCACCCGCACGCTCGGCGCCACTCGACCTCGTCCCAGACGTCGCTCCACCGCCGGTCGATGAGCGAGTCGGGCCCGCAGGCGCCGCTGTACCCGTCTGAGCGCGTCGGGCCGGCGTTCCACCCTGCGCCTCGACGAGACGACGTGTCGCTGCTGCAGCCGATCATGGTCAAGGCGCTGTCGGCCGACCTGTTCTCGGACGTCGCGATCCTGCCAGAGTACCTCGTGCTCGGAACGAGGAACGGCCACGTCCTGCAGTTCGACCGGCCGCCGACGGGTGCGCTCGAGGGCCTCAACAGCGAGTTTGCGGCGTCGGTGGTGCGGATCGACGCGAGGGCGCGGTAGCTCGAGCGAGTCGTTGTCATGCCCAGTGCGCGTTGCAGTTCTTCAGCTGTTCGAGAGAGACGACGATGTGGCGGTGCCGGGCCCCCGCTTCCGAGCGGCCGAGTCGAGCGACGACGTCGCTGATCTCGCCGCCTCGCGCCTCCTCGTGCGGTACCACCACCGCTGCTCGCTGCTCGCTGCAAGCATGGGACCAGTGCCCACCACGTCGCCCGTCACGGGCAAGCCTGTGCCCGCCCACTGGGTCCACAGCTCGTCGGCCCACTTCCGCCTCACCGACGGCCGCACTCTGCTCCTGCGCGGCATCAACCTCTCGTCGTCGGCCAAGACCCCGCGCGGCCAGCCCGGGTACCAGCTCGACGGCTTCTGGGAGGGCGCAAGGGAGGAGCGCGACGTCAGCTTTGTCGGCCGCATCCTCGAACTCGACGAGGCCGATGAGCATCTCGAGCGCCTCAAACGGTGGGGCTTCAACTGCCTGCGCATCGTCACGACCTGGGAGGCCATCGAGCATGCCGGACCGTGCGTCCCAACCTCCCCCTCTCTCTCGCCCCTTTCCGCGCCGGCTGACCCCTCGTCCTCCTTCGCAGCGGCAAGTACGACCAGGCCTACCTCGACTACGTCGTCGAGCTCCTCCGCAAGTGCAAGCAGTTCGGCTTCCGCTGCTACATCGACCCGCATCAAGATCTTGTGCGTCCCCCTCCCTCCCTCTCGACGACGACGAGCCGCACGGACTTGAGCGCGTTAACCCTCGCCCCTCGTTCCACAGTGGTCGCGCTTCTCGGGCGGGTCCGGTGCGCCGTACTGGACGCTCCTCGCGTGCGGCCTCGAGCCGCAGAACTTTACCCGTACCCGCGCCGCCGTCATCGAGTCCGAGTGGCCCGACGCCGCCTCGCCCGACCCGGCCGCGTTCCCGCCCATGATCTGGGCGACCAACTACCAGCGCCTCGCGTGCTCGACCATCTTCACCATGTTCTTCGCCGGGCGCGACTATGCGCCCAAGTGCATCATCGACGGCATCAACGTCCAGGACTTCCTCCAGTCGCACTACCTCGCGGCCATGCGCCAGCTCGGCGAGGCCATCTCGGCGGCGGGCGACCTCCTCGACGAGTGCGTCATCGGCTGGGACTCGCTCAACGAGCCGAACCCGGGCTTCCTCGGCACGGCCGACCTCGACAAGCACAGCAAGGAGAGCGTCCTGCGCGTCGGCCCGACCCCGACCGGCTTCGAGGCGCTGCGCCTCGGCATGGGCGACAAGCTCACGGTCGAGAACTGGAAGTCGGGCCCGCTCGGCCCGGCTCGCGACGGGAGCGTCACGGTCGACCCGCAGGGCACGGTCGCGTGGCTGTCGCCCGACGCCGAGCCCGACGGCAAGTCGCCCTGGGGGTGGACGCGCGACCCGGGCTGGAAGCTCGGGACGTGCATCTGGGCGCAGCACGGCGTCTGGGACGTCGAGTCGAGGACGCTCCTCCGTCCCGGCTACTTTGACGAGTGCCACGGCGCCGTCGCCGCCGCGTCGGGCCCCGAGCGCGAGGTCGACTTTGGCGCCGACTACTGGCTTCCGCATTGGCGCTCGTACGCCCGCATGGTCCGCGAGGTGCACCCCGAGGCGATCCACTTCATCCACAGCCCCGTCTTCCAGATCCCGCCGACCATTGCCGGGCCCGAGGTCGGCAACCGGGCGGCCCACTCGTCGCACTTCTACGACGGCCTGACGCTCGTCACCAAGCACTGGGTCCGTCCATCTTCCTCCTTGCGTCTCTACTCGACTCCCTTGACTGACCGTGCGCCTCTCTCCCGAGCAGAACTGGTTCAACGCCGACGCGATCGGCATCCTTCGAGGGTGCGCCTCCTCTTTCCCCACCCTCTCTCGCTCCCCTTCCTCCCTCTCTCGATCCTGACACGCTCTCCCACGACGCTCGCAGCAAGTACGCGTCGATCGTCCTCGGCGTCAAGGTCGGCGAGTCGGCCATCCGGCGGTGCATGCGCAGCCAGCTCGGCGTCCTGCGGCAAGACTGCTTCGACAAGCTCGGCCAGTACCCGACCATGATGGGCGAGATCGGCATCCCGTACGACCTCGACAAGAAGAAGGCGTACGAGGACGGCAACTACGCGACGCAGGTCCGAGCGCTCGACGCGAGCCTGAACGCGTGCGACGGCGCCAACGTCCTCAACTACACCGTGTGGTGCTACTGCCCCGACAACTCGCACAAGTGGGGCGACAAGTGGAACGGCGAGGACCTGAGCGTGTGGAGCCCGGACGACGCCGTCCAGATGGCGTCCTCGCAGACGACGGCGGCTCGTCGTGCGCGCCAGCTCGGCAACGTCAACCACGACCAGGTCAAGGGCATCCACGCCAAGGGCTCGACCTCTTCGTCGACGTCCGAGGGCGACTCGGGCACCGTCACGCCTGTCGACGACCCGCTCCACCCGATCAACCTCAACGACGGCGCGCGCGCCCTCCCCGCCTTCGTCCGCCCGTTCCCGGTCAAGACGGTCGGCACGCCGACGTCGATCGACTTCGAGATCAAGTCGTCCAAGTTCAAGCTCGAGGTGCGCGTCGACGCCGACGACGTCGCCGACCCGGACCTCGCGACCGAGATCTACATCCCGCTCGCCCAGTACGCCGCGCACCCGCAGAAGGTCAGCTACCACGTCCGAGCGGCGGCCAAGATGCACCACCCGGGCAGCAAGATCAAGCACCCCAAGTCGGGCGACGTCCAGCTCGCGCTCGACGGCGAGGGCGAGGTCGACGGGTCCGAGGGCGAGCAGGACGGCGCGCCGCACGACCTCGCGCTCAAGGTCAAGCTGTCGACCGGTCGGTACGAGCTCGACCACGAGAACCAGACGCTCAAGTGGTACTACCCGCGCCCGACGTCGGGCAGCGTCGTCGTCAAGCTCGAGCTCGAGCGGGTCGGTGGCGCCGTTCCGCTGTGGAAGGCCCAGTGGCTCAGTACGTCCTCATCTTCTCTCTTCTCTCCTCTCGAGACTCGTCCTGACGACATTGACTCTCACAGGGAGCGGCTGGGAGCGCATGGAGGAGAAGAACTGGCAGGGCAACACGTGTGCGCTTCTCGGCGTCTCGCTCCTCGGCGCAGCCGGCGTCGCGACGGCTTTCATGCGCAGCTGAGCGCGCTATCATGGAGCCTTTGTACTCGTGCCTTGTCTATAGCTTTCTCGTCGTGCAGTGCAGTCCTCCCTCTTCGCGCCTCGAGGACGAGTCCGAGCGAGCGAGCGACTCGTTCTCTCTCTCTCTCGCGCGCGATGAACTCGCGCTCGGGCCTCTCGAAAAATAGAGAGAACGAGAAGGTGCAGCTAAAGTTTCGGTGCGACTGTCCGTCGAGAGTTGCTACAAGCACGAAGGGGAGGGGAAGAGAGGAGGGGAAAGAGCAGAAAGCGAATCCGACAGGGCGAGGAAAGGGGAAGAGAGAGAGGAAAATGCGGGCTGGGAGGGGGTACGGCGGGTGCAGTGCGAGAGAGTAGACTCGAACAGACGACGGGCTATGCGAGGGAGAGGCGGAAAGAGGGGTAAGGGAGGAGGGAAAGAGGTGTGAGCCTAGTAGCCGACGCCTGCGAGCGTCGAGTGCAAGTAGTCAGGAACGGGGCACTCGCCAAGAGGAACGAGAGAAAGGAGGACGCACTGCCGGGGTGACCCGCACCGACGTCGAAGGGCCCGCCTGCGCCGTTCTGCTGCGCGGCGAACGCGCCGAAACCGCCAAAGTAGGGCGGCGGCGGCGGCGGTGGCGAGCCCATCGGCGAGAACGCCGGGTTGAAGCCGCCGCCGTCGCCGACCCTGAGCGCAGAGAAAGGGTCGGGGCTGCTGATCGACGGGTAGCCCGGCGAGACGGCGCCTCCTGCGCCACCGACGCCGCCGGGGCCGAAGCCGGGCGAGAACGGCGGCAAGCCCGGGTGCTGCATGTGTGGCGAGCGAGCTGGCGACGCAGGGCCGCTGCTGGCCGAGCCGGGAGGGGCGAACGACGGCGAGTAGGGCGAGCCGGGGTTGAAGAGGGAGGGAGGAGGAGGAAGGGTCGCGCCGTCGCCGCCGTAGTACGGGCTCGCGTAGCCGCCGTAACCGTTGGGCGCGCCGTACTGAAGGAGATACCCCATAGGCGGCGGGCCGTACGGGTACGAGGCCATGGCGGGCGAGCCGAAAGGCTGATGCTGAGGGTGGAGGTGGTGCGAGTTGAGGTGCTGGTGGTGCGGCGGCGGTGGAGGAGGGCCGAGCGGACCGCGGCGCTGGAACTGCGGCGAGACCGAGTGTGGCGAAGAAGGAGGAAGAGGGAGGCCGGAGGCCCCGCCGCTCGGACCGCCGAAGCCCTGCTGCGGCGACGCGCGCGGGTTCTGGCGCCCGCCGCCGTAGTGCCCTTGGCCCTGCGGCGGCGGCGGCGTGCTGCCCGGCGACGGGCCGAGGTACTCGCCGCCGACCTCGTCGATGAGCTTGCGGAACGCCGGCGCGCCCTGCACGCCGAGCGTCTCGAGGACCTCCTTGACGCGGGCAAAGACCTGCTCGCGACGCTCGCCGCTCAGGTAGGTCGAGGCGGCGACCTTGTGCACGCACGCGACGCCGTTCATGTGGTCCTTGAGGACGTCCTCGAGGACCTTGGCGGCCGGGTCGACGAGGGCGTCGACCATGATGCGCTGCGCCTCGTCGTCCTCGCGCTGGTTGATGACGCGCATGAGCGACTGCGACGAGAGCTTGTGGGTGCACAGGTGCGACAGGTGCGACACGAAGCGCGGCGCGACGAGCGAGTACCGGTTGGGCAGGCCCGACGACTCGAGGAGCCACGTGAGGAGGAGGGCGCCGTTCGAGCTCGTCGCGAGCGGGATGGCGTTGAGGACGATGGCGGCCGCGACGCGCTTGCGCTGAAGAGGCGGCGTCTCGGGGCTCTCGAGCGTCTGCCGCGTGCTGCGCGCGCCGAAGCGGCCCGAGCCGATCTCCCAGATGCGGTCGACCATGGCGTCGAACACGAAATCGGACCATGGCGAGCCGAAGCGCAGCGCGCCCTGGACGACGTAGTTGCCGACTGCATCGACGAGAGTCAGTAGGCTATCCTGGATGAGGAGGGAAGGCTGGACGAGGACGCACAGTCGTTGAGGAGGAGCGGCGGCGTGTACGGCGCGAGGCTCTGCTCGATGATGGCGAACTCGTCGTCGTCCTCGGCGCACTGGATGATCTTCTGCACGGCCCAGGTACCGTTCTTGTGCGTCCTGCACGGGAGAGAGAGAAGAGTCAGTCCTGAAAGGGGGACGGGGAGAAAAGGGGAACGTGCACGGACCCGATCGGGGCGAGGTGCGGCGAGATGCGCTCGAGCATGAGCTTGCGGACAGGCTTCGACGTCTGCTCGAAAAGCTGTGAGGCGAGAGGAGGCAGGGACGAAAGGCTGTCAGGCAAGGTCGGCGGAAAGGAGGGAGGGAAAGCGTGCTCACTTTTTGGACGAGCGTGTTGCCGATGTAGTCGGACGCGAGCGGGACGACCTCGTCCATCAAGTCGGCCGCGATCTGTGGAGAGCATGTACTGGGTCAGGACACGCGCCCGCTTCGAGGAGGTGGCGAGGAAGAGAGAGGGCGCAGCTCACCGCGTCAACCTCGTCCGTCGACGGCTCGGCGTCGAGCCGCTTGCGGATCTCGCGCAGTCGGGGCGCCTCGTGCTGCGCATAGCGACGGGCGAAGCGCGGGTCGCTCAGGACGGCGAGCGGGATCGACGTGTAGTAGGTCTGAGGCGGACGAACTTCTGCGACGAGCGGGACGAGAGCTGGGTCAATGACTACATCTGGTAGGACAAGAGGGCGAGAAGGAGAAGTAGGAGGGGAAAAGGAGGAAGAGAGAGGGACAGGAGGACGCACCTGCGACAGCGGCGACATGCTCCTCGAGCTCGTCGTCGCCCTGGCTCAACTCGCGCATGAGCATCTGCATCTCGTTGACGGTCGCCCTGCTCGTCTCGACGACCTTGCCGTTGCCGTTGACCTCCTGCTGCTGCTGCTGCTGCCCGCCGAATGCGGCCGACGCCGACGAGGGCCCGCCCGGCTGCTGGAACGCGTGCGCGCTCGCGTAGTGGCCGTTCGAGACGAGGCCCATGACGAGGTTGCTGCGGTAGTCGTGCACGTGGCCGTCTGCGAGTTGGCGCTCGACCGGGATGCCCGACGCGCCGCTGAGCTGCGACACGGCGCCGAACACGTGCGGGAACGAGCCCACGCCGCCGCCGTTGATGCCGTTCGAGGCCGACGACGACGAGGCGGGCGTGCCGTCGCCGTTGACGTGGTGGGCGAACGGCGCCTGCGACACCTTGCTCGGGACCTTGGCGAACCCGATGCGGACGGGCCCGACCTCGACGCCGAGGATCTCGCGACCCGACAGGGCCTTGCGAGCGGCGACGGCGTCGTCGAGGCGCTCAAAGTTGACAAACTGTGAGGCAAGTCGATGTCAGTGAGAGCGAGTGACGAGGGCGAGAGAAAAGGTGGACGCACGCCGCAGGACTTGTGCGTGAGGACCCTCGCGCTCTCGATCGCGCCGAATGCCGAGAAGACGGCGAGCAGGTGGTTGGGCGTGGTCGTCGGCGGGATTGAGCCGACCCAGAGCGCCCTCGTCGGCTGCGTCTGCAGGTTGAGGTCGCCGGGGAGCTGCGCGGGCGCGGCGGTCGAGCGAGGGTGGATGAGGCCCGGCGCGGTCGGGGCCGGGGTCGACTCGGCTGCGGGATGGCGAGATTCGTCAGTCTCTGAGCACGACAAAGGATGGACGGACGAAGGAGAGGGACGGACCCTTGCCGTAGCCGATGCGGACGAGCCCGCTCGTCTTGGTGAGCTGCCCGCCGAGGCGGTTCAGGACGTCCTCCTTGGCGCGCATGGCGTCCGAGACCGACACGAAGTTGACGAAGCCGCACTCCTGCAGCGGGAAGAGGTGGTCAGAGCTGTCGGGGCGAGTAGAGGGGACGAATCGGGGGACGCACCTTGTCCGGGATGAGGCGCAAGCTCTCGATGGCGCCGTATGGCGCAAAGACCTCCTGCAGGTCGGCGGGCGACGTCTTGGGGTCGAGGTTGCCGACCCAAAGGCTGCGGGTCGGCTGTTGGACCGGCGGCGTGAGCGAGATGGCGCCCTCGGGCGTTGGCGGACGGCCGAGGCTGGCCCAGCCGGCGGCCGGGTTTGCCTGCGTGCGTGCGTCCGAGTCAGTGCCGTGTCACACGAGAGCGAGAGAGGCGGCGTGGGAGAAGAGATGAGATGGGCGAGGGGGTAAAGGAGAGGTCCGAGCGACGCACCGGGTCCTCGCTGATGCCGAGTCGCCCCATCCTCGACGCCATCGCCTGCACCGGCCCCACCCCTGCGCCTCCCGCTCCGCCGTCTCCTCCTGCTCCTCCCCCCGCCGCGACGTCCGCTCCGATGCCGAGGTGCCGCGGCGGGATGCCCGCCGTCGTGCCGGCGCGCCGGCGCGAGTACATCTCGCTCTTCGAGTCGTCGAGGATGCCGATCGTCGCTGCGCGTCCGCGAGCGGGCAGATCGTGGTTGCCGAAGCCGCCGGCGGAGCTGTGCCCGGACGAGGACGTGGTCGAGGCGACGGCGTCACTCGACGAGGACGAGGGAGGGAGGAGGGTGACGAGGGGCGACGGGCGCGGCGGCTCGGGGCCCGAGTGCGGCGAGGGCTCGGTGAGGTTGACGGCCGTGGCGTACAGGAGGCGGCTCGAGTCGGTCGAGCTGGTCGAGCGGTGGCGGGGCGTGGCCGACGACGACGGCGACGAGTGCGAGTGCGAGTACGGGTCGTCGGGCGAGGCGACGCCGACGAGAGGTGCGGGGGAGCTGACGAGGGACGAGCTAAGGTACGACGAGGGAGGAGGGAGAGACGAGGGAGGAGGGTACGACCGGTGCAGGAGCGCCTCGGCGGGCGAAGATGACCGCGGGAAGGCGGCCAACGTGTGGCTCCGCAGCCGCGAGTGCGTCGCCGCGCCGAACCCGTTCAGCCCGCTGGAGCTCGGCTGCACGCTCCCCGCCGATCCGAGCCGCTGCATCGGCGCCGCCGAGTACGCCGGCGCGAACGCGCTCGTCGACGACGGGAGGAGGCTCTCGCTCGCCGCGTTGCTTGGCCCGGACGACTCGTCGGCGAGGCCGAGGTAGTCGAGCGTGCGCAGGTGCGAGTCCTCGCCGTAGGCGCTCTCGTCCGGGCTGCGCACGTCGCCGACGCCGCCGAGTCGGCGAGGAGGTCCGGGCGCCGCCGGGCTGCTGCCGCCTGGCGCGCCGTTACCGAGCGTGTTGGGCGACCAGTCGCCGCTCGAGAAGACGCCCGAGCCGAACACGGACGACAGGCTCGAGCTCGGGAGGGTGAGGGAGCCCGAGCGCAGGCGCGAGTGCGAGGCCGACGAGGTCGAGGCGGGTGCGGGCGGGATGAGCGCCGAGGGGAAGGGCTGGTCGAGAGGCGTGGTCGGGCCTGAGCCGGGGAGGGACGCCGCACCGCCGTGCGCCGTCGTCGGGAGGAGGAGGCTGTCGGCTGCGCCGAGGCGGGAGCGCAGGCTCGACGACGACGTGAGGAACGTCGACGGGAGCGTGCCCGCTCGTGGCCGGCCGGACAGGGCGAACTGCGACGGGGTCGCGGCGACCGGGTGCGACGGACCGTGCTCTTGGACAGTCGGGAGGAGGAGAGACGACTCGGGCGACGAGTGGAGGTGGACTTGAGGAGGAGGAAGAGGAGGCGGTGCAGACGAGAGCGACGGCGGGAGGCTCGACGACAGGAGCGAGTCTTCTTGCTGCAGCTCGCGAGTACGGCTGTGGACAGGAATGGCGAGAAAGGGCGTCCCTCGTCAGCGCTCGGGCTCTTGAACGGCGACGACCCTCGACTGCGTGCGGCCCGCTCTACGCCCGCTCTTCTGCCCGGCTCCATGTAGCCCGCCCGCGTACACCCGCTCCATCTCGATGACCTCTGACCACCACTGCGACCGAACCAGATGCGCGCAAGAGAGAGAGGGGAGCGAGAGGACGCACCTCTTGAGGGCCGAGGGAGGAGAGCCCGCCGGCCTCGTGTCGGCAGCGGCGGCCATGGGCGACTTGTCGCGGCTCGCCAGACGACTGATCGAGGCGGTAGGTGGTCGACCGGGGCTTGGGCCTCGGTCGAACGAGGTCGGGAAAGCCGGCGGACGGCTGCGGGGAGGGCGACGGCGGGACGACGACGACGAGGCGGCGCCTGGAAGGCTGTCGACGGGTCGGGGTGGGGCAGGCGACTAGGTGACTGTCGGTGTGCTGGCCGGCTGCTTGACTGCAGTCGAGGGCCGGGTGAGCCGACTGCTGAGCGACGACGTGCGACGGACGGGCACGAGGAGCGTGGGCGACGGCGCTGCAGACGTGGGTTGCGGCCAGCGCAGGTGCTCGAGTCGGGTACGAGCGGGTACGGCTGCGCGGCGAGCTGCTCTGTGGGCGAGCAGGGCGAGGGTGCGACGAGGGAGCGCAGGGCCGAACGAAGCACTTCGGCTCGGCTCTCGCTTTGGGTCCAGCTCGCTCTTTGCAGCAGCAAGCTCACTCTCTCGTACTCTCACACACTCGCACAGTATCGCGAGAAAACCGGCTGTGCTGCTCTCTCTCCTCCCCGCCGGGCAACCGTCGTCGTCGTCATGGGCGCACCGCGGATCCTCACCACGAGACGCGCTCGCAACGCGTGTTCGACCACTCTCACCGAGCCGTCTGCGCACGAGGTCCGGCTCGAGCCAGCGCACGACGACGCTCTCGGGGCCACGCCAGAGCGCGAGCGCGAGCTCTCGGCCCGCACGGCCCGCCGCGCACCCTCCCTCGCTCGCTCTCCCTGCTCGACTCGGCCGCTCGAACGCCCCTGCATTGCGTCTGCCGCCGCAGCTCCGCTATGCCGCCCCTGCGCCACCGCAGCACCCGACCGGCGCCGCCTCGGCCTCGTCCGCCGCACCTCGTCGCCGCCTTCGCCTCGCGCCGCCCGTCGCTGCCGCCGCCGCCTCCTTCTTCTGCTTGATCGTGTCGTTGTCGCCGCGCTCCGTCTCCTCGTGGATGCGCAGGGCTGGTGGCGGACAGTGCGGGGCGGCGAGCGGCGGGGTACGGTGGAGGATGACGGAAGGAGGGCGACGAGGGGAGAGGGAAGGGGGAAAAGGCGAGGAGGGAGGTTAGCTCGTCTGCCCTGCGACAAGCATCGGCCCAGAGAGAAGTACGACAGGGACGCACCAAAGTTGCCCTCGTCGTTGCGCACGCCCTGCACGACGTTCTTGCGCAAGAAGGCCGCGATCTCGAACGCGCCCTGGATGTGCTCGTCGACGACCTCGGGCGTCAAGTCGCTCTTGGGCGCGAGCTCTGGTGGAGGGAGGATCGTGTCGCGCGGCTGGAACGGCGACACCGAGGCCGAGGACGAGGGGATGAAGCGGTTGAAGAGGACCCGGGTCTGCTCGTGGGCGGCTGCGGGCAAGGGAGGCTCGTGAGCTCGATCGCGACCTGCAGAAAGTCTCCTTGAGAGTGTGTGCGCACCTTGGAGCGCGAGCGCGTCGCCCTTGAACGTCAGACGCTGAGAGCGGATGAGGGCCTGATGAGAAAGCGAGGAGGGTCAGGACATGGACGGGGAGAGCTCGCCGCGAGAGAGTAGGGCGCACACGGTAGGCTGAAGCAGCTCGTGCGCACTGCGCGGGCGTCAAGGTGATCGGCATGGTGCGAGGAGGGTGGCGGAGGACGACAGTCGCTCGCGGAACGTCGGAGAGCGCGTTGGCTCAGCATGCTCCGCCGTCGCATTCGGTAATGCTGCTTGTCTCCGTGCAAGCCATCCACAATGCTCTTCTCCAGAAGCCCAGACCCGAGAGAAGCTCGAGCGAGAGGTCTGCGCGTGCTCCTCCTCCTCGGTCGAGGCTCGGACAGCGAGCCGTGCGATACGTGCTAGTTCCAGGAGGGTATAATCTAGAGGGACAAAGGGTGACGAGGTACATGTGTAAAGGAGGGGAGACTGCAACACCTGGGGAGCGCGGACCAGTCGCCGCCGCGTAATCCTCCTCGACCGACCGCCTCGTTCAGTCGTCGACCGCCCGCAGCGTCACCGACGACTCGCCCTCCTCCTGGATCGCCTGAAAGCTCGGCTGCCGCGAGAGGACCCGCGTGCTCGAGCCCCGGCTGACGCTGCGCGACGGCGCGCCGTCGCTCCCCTCCTCGTCCAGCTCGCCCTCGTCGTCCGCGCCGAGCGGCACGCCGCGCTCGCCGCCTCGGGGCGACGCGAGGAAGCGCGCAGGGCGCGACCCGCCCGGCAGCAGCTCGGTCGACTCGCTCCTCCTCGCGCTGCGCGACGTCGACAGCGCGCGCCGGCCGCTCCCGCTCGTGCTCGCCGAGCGCGCGCACCCGAGCGTGCTCGTCGAGCGGCTGCGCTGCGGCGGCCGCCCGCCCTTGTACGCCTCGTCGTCGGCTCCTCGGCCCTCAGCGCCGTCGGCGTCGAGCAGCGCCGCCTCCTCCTCGGCGTCGAACCCGTGCGCGCTGCGCCGCCGCCGATCCCGGTCTCGCCGCGCCTTGCGCTTCTCCGAGTAGAGCCAGCTCTGGCCGATGATCATGAGGTCGAAGCACAGGGTGCCGCCCGAGCCGAGGAGGTACGGCATCGCCTCGAGGAGGTACGACGCCGAGGTCGCGTGCGGGTTGGTGAGGATGGACGCGACGTAGAGCGAATTGCCGAGGAAGGCGGCCGCGAACAGGGTCATGGCGAGGCCTTCGACGGACCGACGACGGAACTGTGGCGAGAGGGAGGAAGCAAGGTGAGCCCACGAGGCGGAAGAGAGAGAAAGAGACGAGGAGGTGGGACGCACATTCTGCCAGATCTGCGGTAGCCGGCTCGTGAGGTAGGCGGTCGTGCACACCCACGCGCTCGTGCGGCCCACGACGCGCTCCCAGTCGTACTCGCGGGTCGGTGGTCGGTCGTCGTCGTCGCCGTCGCGCTCCGGCTCGTCCGGGGTCGAGGAGACGTCGAGAGGAAAGGTCGAGCGCTTGGCGAGAGAGTACGAGACGTCGAGCGAGGATCGAGAGGAAGAGGACGGGAGGGGGAAGTAGGCCGGGTGCCGTGCGTCGCCGATGCGCCAGCCCGCCGGCTGCACCGGCGCCGGGCTCGAGCTCCAGGCTCGCCCTGCCCGCTCGACGCCCATCGTTCCGACCGCCCCGCCGCCGCCGAGGTGCCCAAGCGTGAAAAGCGCGCCGACCGAGAGGAACACGATGCCCGTGCTCCGCCTCGAGGCTGGCGGCGGCCTGCTCCTGCTGCTGCTCGTGCGCTGCCGCTCCCGCTCTCGTGCCGGGACGACCTCGTCCGGCTCGCCCGTGAAGGCGACGTGGTTGATCGTGTGGTGGTGCGGCGCGTGGCCGAAGCCGAAGCCGGCGTGGGACGAGGGCGAGCCGTGGATGGTCGAGAGGGAGGAATCGAGGGCGCGGATGGCCGAGCGCTGCAGGGTGCGCCCGCGCTCGGGGAGGGTCGGCGAGGGAGGGACGGTGAGCGTCCCGCTCGACGTGCGCGACGGCGGCAAAGGGCGAGTCGGGTGATGGGGCGACGTCGCGGTCGACGCGTTCGACGACTCGGTCATCCAGCTCGCGACGAGCGGGTCGTCCTCGCTGTCGGCGTCGTGCGAGTGCAGGAGCCGAGTGCGCGAGCTCTTGCTGCGCCCATGTCGTGACCGTGATCGTCGGCCACCGTGGACGAACGAGGCGTGCGGCGACGGCTGGGCGTACGGGAACGCCTCGGACAGGGGAGGGAAGTGGGGGACGGGGTCGCAACCGCGAGTAGTAGGCGAACTGGCCGCACAGGGACGATGTC